GCTGAATTGATTAGTAAAGCGATTACAAGTAGTGCTGAACAGCGGTTAACATTATCGGAAATCTATGATTGGATGATCAAATATGTTCCATTCTTCCGAAATAAAGTCGATCGAATCAGCAGTGCTGGCTGGAAAGTAAGTTTCATTTAGTCCACTATGAAAGCTTTGAAAAAGCTAGTCTTTCTCTTGAAGAATTCAATTCGTCATAACTTATCCTTGCATAACCGCTTTAAACGCGTCCAGAGCGAAGGTACGGGAAAATCTTCGTGGTGGATGATCAATCCGGATGATAAGATGACTTGTGGAAATGATACATCATCATCATCGCCTGCTAGCGGAATTAAACAGCCACGTCGTCGTCTAGGTCAGGGAGCGAAATCTGCGTCTTTATCGACCACAACTCAACCAAAACGACTTCGGGGACCTCGTTCAACTAAAACTACTCGAGCAATGACTGTCGCACAACGAATGGAGCAACAACAACAACAACAACATCAAACGTCAGGTAATCAACAGATTCAGCCGTCTGACATGTCAACGATATCAATCTATGACACTCAACAATGGCCATCTCAATTAGATACAGACAATACTCCTAATCACATATATGAACAAGAACTATATTCAACATCTGTTCATACTCCAACAACGAATACGAATGGTAATTCAACTGCATGTCTTCAGTCGACCTATTCCTATGACGATATAGTAACTAATTATGTTGGTAATACATCATCAACCAACAACACAAATAATACCGGTGATTATTCATATCATCATCCACATCAGTATCAATCCCATCCTCAGCATTCGCATACATTGTATCAACATCATCATAGTTCAAATTACGATCCCGGTGCATCCGGTGGGTACTATCATCATTCAAATTCATGTCCACATCCACTTGATACATATCATGCGAATAATCCAGGAACGTATTCTTTGCAACAGCAACAGATTGATCCGAATGATGAACAGGTATACCTACGTGCTCATTCGATCTCATCACATTCATCTTCATCTTCACTTTCTCCTCCAACTTTATCGACAACTAATAATCTTTTACCTTCATCTTCGTCCGGTTCATCTTCTTCAAACTATCCTCCATCACATCCACATAAATCGTCCCTATCCGGTGGTTATCTTCATCCGACTTCGAATGGCACAGTAACTCTCTACAGTCACCATCATCAGCCACATCATCCAGATATCGAAACTTTACTTGATTTAAACACTCAAGATGATGATATCGATGATGATGACGATCTTTCAACTCTTGTACATCATCATCAAGGAATGATTGATGATCAACATCAACTCTCGTCATTCTTTTCTCCTGACCATAATCATCAAGTCATTTCTCACAATGATGCATCACCATCACTTTTACGTACGGTGCTGAATAGGCCGATTGTCGGTAAATAAATAATTCCACTCGTTTGAAATTGACCTCGAGAAAAAAAAAAACTTCTCTTTTCCTTTTATTTAGATTTGTACAATCATCAGGTGTAAACTGACCGGTTCTCTTCTTTTTTGTTTTGTTTTGTTTTCTAAATCTCCCCGTTTTCAATCGATTCAAAACTATCACCAGCGATACGATTTTCTTTTGTAGATATTGTGCAATGTATTCTTTCATAAAGCAGTCGTTTTTTATTCGACAGTCGAATGAATACATTTTTATCCTCTGTTGCTATGTTTTTTTTCTTTCTCTTCAACCGTAAAGTTATTTTTTCTCTCACTTTCCTTTCTTTTTTTCTTTATCATTAAAAAAAGAGATTCTGTATTCTGATCCTTTCGTTTTCAACTAAAATGAATAACCGGTGATAATCAATCTAATGGCAAGCTCGCGAACAAAATGAATTCAAACTTGAATATATACATGTTTATTTATTTTTCTTTTTTTAATGAGAAAGAAAGATCTTTGTCCTTTCTAGACACTCTAAGTATATTTTTGGTTTGTTTTTTTCTATATTTTTTCTTTTCTCGTGTGTCTAGATGTTTGTCGAACGTTTGTTTTTCCTAAATTTCACGCGCACTTGTAATTCACATGAGTTCGTTTTCCGCTGTCTTCGATTTTCTTCTCCCAGTTTCGTTGATTTGTTTTTGTATTTTGTAAACTTCGACGTGTATAAAGAAAATCAAGGAGCAAGAGATTATCAAAGAAAGGATATTCATTCGAAAGCAAAATTCAAGATTTTCAACAACCTAAATGACGTACATTGTCATGTTTATCTTTCATTTCCTAATTATCAACTGAAATATTCGATGAATGTTATTCATTCTGTCTCGACTAGAGTGTACACGATGGCAAAATCCATTTGCTATTTTACTAGAGCATCTAGTATTTTTCGGTACGTATGAAATTTAGTTCCTTACTGTATTCTCCTTTTGATGAATTTCAGCGAAAAGCCCGTGACATGTTTCTTTGTGAGAAAAAAAGCTCAGGTTAACATTGAACACAAATTGATTACAGAAACTCGATTTGATTTATTAGAAAAACCATGTAAAACATTATTTGTCTAATAAGATCTCAATTGAATATGTTTTAGAAATTAAACCACCATGTGCAAGCCAAAAAACTGCTAATAAAGATGCGAAATAAGCAAATAGAAATGCAATTATTGTTAAATAATATGAATACCCATGCGTAGAGTTGACAAAATTAAGATACGAGACCAAAGAAGTTAATAAAAAGATATTTGTTAGGCAAAGTAAGAAAGGAATCAGGCATCGAATGAAAATAACATGATTTTCATTGATAATTTTGACTAGAAGGAGTATAAGAAGAATTATACAAATAATTAATAACATGATTGAAATAACGGAAAGAATACTCGGCGCTTTTGAACATTGATCACAGAATAAATGACGATATTCATGAAAAAACCATCCAGGTGTTGATAAACCGATTATCGAAAATAGTGTTGAGAACATGATACTAACTAATATGATTAATATCAAAGCGAATTCACTCAACACTCGCATTTTACTAGTGTAAATGTGCAAATAACTGAAAATATCTTCTACATATCTTATCAAGTCATTGTTACGTAAAGATACTCAAACAATATCACTGAACATACATATCTTCGTGAAATTATTTAACCAAAGAAAGAAAGAAACGAACAAAATGCACGTTTGAATCATCGAAAAAAAGTCTGTATATAATAAATACTTATCGATAGTCATAATCGGTAAAGCATTATTGGATTGGTAGATTAGATTCGATTTGTTTTACATAGCGTGTGTTTGTCATACATTTTTGCGCTGTGCACGCAAATGTATTTGTCGTGTTCGTATAATAAATAGGTACTCGATAATACACATGGCATCTCAGAAAAAATCTCCACCGAATAGAAGGAAGACTTGTTTATCGAAATGGTGGAAGCAAGAATACCATTGTCAACAAGTGCTTTCGAACCTTATTGAATCTTTTGAATTTCAAGCTTTAGTGATTTTCTTAGTTGTCCTTGACACATCTTCAGTAGTCATAGAAATCCTCCTAGATTCCTTCAAAATCCATTATGAATGTAAGCACAATCATCATCATGCGTCGGTTCATTCAAAACTGAAAGAGGAACATGTCGAATTAGTCATGGAAATTGCACATTATTTCTCGATTGGTATTCTGACATTTTTCGTGATTGAATTACTCGTGCGAATTTTTGCAAGTGGAAAAGAATTTTGGAACATTCGACGAAGAAAAATGCAATATCTTGATGCCATCATTGTTATTACGTCGTTGATTATAGACTTGTCGTTTTTACGAGGTGAGAAGAAACTTCTTGGAGAAGAACTGATTCTGGTGTTGGCATTTCGTCTATGGCGATTCGTTCGAATCATCAGCAGTGAGTCGAGTCTTACGATGAAAATTTTAGAAAGACGTCAGTTGATTTAGGTGTAGCGGAAAGTACTCGTCATGGCCAAATGAAACACAAGGATCGTTTGAATCAACAGTATCTCAATGCCATTCGTCGATTGGTCGAGTTATTTGTGTATAAAACGAAGTATATTGAAAAGAACGCAAATGGACAAGATTTCAGTTCCCTACTGGAACATTTTCAAGATATGGATCAACAGTGCCAATCGTCATTGGAAGCTTTGGATAAAAATCGTGAATTAACGTCTTCAGCTGTTATTGAACAGTTTGTCGATGAACTGAATAGATGCGGAAATAACAAATACGAGGATAGTGTATTGACATCATTATTGACACACGCACCAAAAAAAGTTTAAAATGGCTTCTGCGAATAAAAACTTACTTTTATAACTTCTACCTTAACCCATCACGCAAAAACGTGACTTTTCATTGCGAGATGTATAGCTGTGTAGCATAAAGTGTTCTTTTTTTTATTTCAAAGAAGAAATTCAATAAAAAAAAGAGTACAAACACTGCACTGTCAAAAGGGATTACAATGCTAAAAGGACAACTAACTATTTTTATGTTTCTACTTCTCGACCTTTTTCTGCAGTCTGACATCTTCACATCCGTTGTTCTTTTTGATAGAGGCATGCACACATACATACTTTCACACACTCTTATCGGCGCTGCTTTTCTGTTATCGTCTTCAAACGTTGTACTTGATAGTACTTCGAAGATACTGACGGGTACTTGTTTCACAAATAATTGGAACCATACAGATGGCGATCAGAGAAGAAACGGACAAGTTTATCACGATTCCAAATGGAAAAAAATCCTCGTTAGATGCAGCTGGATGCTTTTCCAGATGGTGGAATGAGAAGCTTTCTTCCCAAAAGCTGATTTCGCGTGCGATCAAATCATTCTATTTTCACTTTTTAATCATTTTCTTAGTTGTGCTTGATACCGCATTAGTCGTCACAGAAATTCTCTTAGATTCCTTCAACATTCATTATCAATGTAAGCGGCAGGGACATCGTTCACTAATTCGTTTTGAGAAAATCAATGAAGAGCATACTGAACTAGCCATGGAAGTCGCACATTATCTCTCGATTGGTATTCTCGTGTTTTTCGTCGTCGAGTTAATCGTTCGGATTTTTGCCAGTGGAAAAGGATTTTGGAATATTCGAAGGAGAAAAATGGAATACTTCGATGCGTTCATTGTTATTACCTCGCTGGCCATTGATCTAACATTTTTACATGGTGAAGAGAGACTTGTTGGAAAAGACAAAGTTCTAGTATTAGTGTTTCGTCTATGGCGATTGGTTCGAATTATTAGCAGTAAGTTGAATATTTTCAGCACTGTCATTAACCAATGATTTCTTTGAGGCGTTGCCGAAGCTACTCTTCAACAAGAACAGAAACATAAAGATCGTTTGAATCAGCAGTACCTCAGTGCTATTCGACGATCGGTTGAATTGCTCGTACATAAGACGAATTATGCTGAAATGAATGCGAATAAGCAAGATTTGAGCTCTTTATTCGAATATTTCCGAAGTATTGATCAACAATGCCAATCTTCGCTCAAGACATTGAGTCAGAATCGTGAATTAACGGCGTCAGCCGTTGTTCAACAATTCCTCGATGAGATCGATGGGCTCGAAAATGAAAACTATGATGCTGGGTGTCTCAAAAAATCGTTGTCAAAAGCCTCACACGATGTTTAAAATCTTTTTCTCTTTCTTAATATTCAAAACAGAATTTAGTTTTATGACTCTACAATAATCAATTGCAAGTCTTTGATTTTGTATCCTGAATACATATTCTCAGCGAGAAATGCTTTTGTACTGAGAAGAACTCTGATAAAAGAGCCAACCCAACCTAACCATCGTAATGTAGAGAACAGGGAAAATTGCTTGTTTTTATATTTATACTTCTCGACATCCTTCTGCAGTTCTACGCCATCGTATTCATTGTTCTGTTAACACCAATAAACCATCGAAAGTATACAAATGGTAAACAAAGTCGAAATGGACAAGTTTATTGCGATAAATAATGAAAGAAAATCTTCCTCAGATACAATTGGATTCTTTTCCAGATGGTGGAATCAAGGATTTCATTCTCAAGAAGTTATTTCGTGCGCGATTGAGTCATTTTATTTTCATGTTTTAATCATTTTCTTAGTCGTGCTCGATACTACACTAGTCGTCACAGAAATTCTCTTAGATTCCTTCAAAATTCATTATGAATGTGAATTTCACACTGGTGACGAACACAAATCTCACTATCATTTGACGATAGTACGTCTTGAATTCGCCATAGAAGTTGCACATTATCTCTCAATTGGTATTCTTGCGTTTTTCGTAATTGAATTACTTGTGCGAATTTTTGCCAGTGGAAAAGAATTTTGTAACATTCGACGAAGAAAAATGGAATATTTCGATGCATTTATTGTCGTTACATCGCTTATTATCGATTTGTGCTTTTTACGAGGTGAGAACAAACTTCTTGGAGAAGAACTGATTCTGGTGTTGGCATTTCGTCTATGGCGATTTGTTCGAATTATTAGTAGTAAGTTCATTACTTCCGATATTTTCATCGACTGAACGTTCGCTTACAGGTGTTACTGAAGCTACTCTTCATCGGCAACGGAAACACAAGGATCACTTAAATCAACAATATCTTAATGCTATCCGACGACTAGTTGACTTGCTCGTGCATAAGACGAACTATGCTGAAAAGAATGCAAATGAACAAAACTTGGGCGCTTTATTGGAACATTTTCAAAACATCGATCAACAGTGTCAATCGTCATTGGAAGCATTGAGTCAAAATCGTGAATTAACGTCTTCGGCTGTTGTCGAACAATTCGTTTATGAAATCAGTGGGCTCGAAAACAAGAGTAGTCATAGTATTATTTCAGCAATGTTTGCAAAATCCTCCGAAGTCTGATTTTGTGTGTACCTTTTGTCCTTGTTCTTCACTAGGTAGATTAGGAAAGTACCATAGTGAATTGTTCTGTTCTCTTAGCTTATTGCCACATGCTCATCCTTGGTATAACAGCGATATCTGAAAGCATTCATCTACGATAAAAAGTCTTAAAACTGTTGGGAAGAATTATTGAAATCAAGTAGACTGATTGGTCGTAAAAGCATCAGATCATCAATGTGAAGAAATGTGTTGTTATGCAGAGCATTAGATTCGTTCTCAACATAATAAATATACCAGCTACTACTAAAGTAGAAGAATGAACTAAAGATTTCGAACGATATTCCTCAGATTACCAAATGTATTTATTTTCTATTTTGTCTAGACATTGTATCCGTCAATTTTCATTCCAGGTCACGTACTTTCTATTCCAAAAGTTATACAATGTAGCACAACTCGAAAGATGTCGCTTTTCATAAAATTATAGATTTTTGAACAAGAAATTATCGAAATAAACGTTATTTATTCCACAAGATAAAAATCTTTTCATTAGCATATAATTTTTCTTATTTTCAAAAGTTTCATCATAATTAATAAATTATTAAAAAGCAATCAACATTTTTATTTATTTTCTAAAATTTTTCATTTTTACTCTTTACCGAATCAGAAGATTATTATTCATTAAATCTGATTTTCATTGGTGAACATAAAATACCAAGATAATTGTTCGACCAGACAAGCATCGAATACTCTCGACAACAATCCTATTAGAAACAAATAAACAACAGAAGAGAAAAAGAAATCTTCGTCGAGGAAAGCAAAACAAATCCTCCTATGATATTGTTTAAACCCAAAAAAATGAACCAATCGTTTTAGAAAAAGCAAACAATTCGATCCTATCTCAGATCTATTCTCATATTCAATTAAATTTAACTGCGTAATTTATTTTAATAAGAATTCTTTGTAGATGATGATTGTTAGGGAGTACAAAACCATTGAACTCATTATGTAGGTTCAATCGACGGTTAAAGTTCAAGTCTTAGTCGAATCTCCAGAACGTTTTTTGTTTGTACCTTCTCTTTATTATTCTATTGTGTTTTACAATGGCCGTAAGTTATTTATTTACTTATCTCGATATGAAATCATCGTCGACATTTGTAGGATTTGGTTTTTGGTGATTTTTCTAAACAAGAAACTGAGAAATTCTTCGGTCATGATAAACAATCTGTGAAAGTAAACGAACCTGAAGTAAATATTCCATAGTTTTCTGTTCATTTCAAATCCACATTATCTATTTCAGTTTCCATGGGCAACTGACGATTGTATGGCAACGACAATCGAATTTGGTTTTGGTGTTCCACCTGTCATTTCTCCCACCGGCGGCACCGGTGTTTCATATCCAAACTACAATTCGTGCAATGGAAGCTCATCTCATCAAGAATCAACTAGTTCAGCATTAACATCTCCTCCATATTCATCGAAAAGCTCATCGGTAGAAAATCTCAAAATAACTAAGCAATCATCATCCCACAGTCGTCATCATAGTGATAGAAAACTAAAGAAGAAACGTCCACCGAATTACTATCGACAAGAGTATCAGCAAATGCTTGAACCGGCTGCTCTTCAACAGCAATTAAATGGACAAGCTGACGAAACAACGCCAATTCAAATGCGTTCAAACGAACAAACACCACAAATAGAACAAAATTCCAACGAAACAAATGTACTATTACTACCATCAAACGATGCGAGATATATTTCATGTGATCAATGGGTCCATTCAACAATGAAACACCAACAAATGACCAAGAATGATGACGATCAATCTTCATCGAAACAATCAACAAATGATGACGACGATGATGAAATTGATTCCGATGGTAATACAAATTTACTTCTAAAATAATTTCATTCGAGATGTGTTTTTCTAGTCGCTGGAACAACAACAGACACCGATAATGATAATGATCTTCTTCAAAGCACATCAACAACTCGTCCGAGTTATCCTGTTAATATAATTCCACCTGATCAGCGATTACAAAACAAATCGAATTTGAATTCGAATCAACATTTACTAAATGCACCCAATCAACTAACAAATGATTTGAATATTTACTCAACATCTGTTGCAAGTGGAGCGTCAGTCGAAACACTAAAACCTTCCAATAATCTCTCCTCGCCATCATCTTCGCCTGTCAAACAAAACGAAGTATCGAAGTCGAAACCTTCCTCATGGGCAGATCTATTTCGTAGTCAATCAGCATCAAATACGCAACCATCATCTCTTCCACCTCCAACCACTAGTCCTCTGAAAAAGTCACAAGCTCCATCATCTACACCAACTCAATCGACTTTAACGTCAACAGTTCCAACTCAACAACAGAATGGCAATCTTCCAACGAAATCAACGAATAATACTTTTCATTCAAGATCAAACTATCATGTCTACAACAGCAATGGAGGAGAATCGAAATCTTTAGAAGATTACTTTTCCAAATGTGAAGTTCGTCCATCAGCAATGGCAATTAAACCACGTGGTTTATTCAACAAAAACAATTACTGTTATGTCAACGCCACTTTTCAAGCTCTTCTTGCTTGCCCTGCTTTCTTCAATGTTATGAAATATATACCACTTAATGAAGATCCTGTCAATCATCCTGTTCCATGCATTAAGGCTGTTCATTCGTTTGTTAATCAATTTGAGAAAATGGATCGAAGTAAATCGAACGCAGCGAACCATAAAGACATCATTTGCGGCCAACCGTTTGATCCAGTGGATATTTTACAAGAAATTGCACGCCTTCGTCGTGTATCAGTCGATGTTGTGAAATCGAAACAAGAAGATGCTCATGAACTACTATGCCAACTACTGAGTGAACTTCACGATGAAATTTGTTCGATTTTGTATCGAACATCAACAAATAAATCAGGTATGGCACTTGTTCAACGGAAAACTTGATGAAATCAACCTAATTTTGTCTTGAAATAGAAGAATCTATGAGCACATCAGATGTCTCAACAGCAGCATCACTGCAGAACGGAGAAGAAAAAGCGGAAGATTGGTTTCAAGTCGGCAAAAAGCACCGCACTCATGTTCTTCGAACGGTAAATACGAACCGAATCGATTTGAAGTGATTGATGATGTATTTTAGAATGAAATTCAAAAGAGTCTTATTGCGGACATATTTGCTGGCAAGTTCCGTTCACCAGTGCAATCAGCCGGAAATCAAAAATCAGTGATACACGAACCATTTTTTACTCTTTCACTCGATATTAAAGTAAGAAGAAACAATCTCGTCTATATGACTTGATAATATATGCTTTCGATAAAAAGAATGTCAGTGGTGCATGTGACTGTTCTATTCTCGACGAGTACGTGCTTGTCGATTGCAAACAGTTGATGCATTATTTTTGTTTATATAAGATACGAACATAGATCATTGATGCTGATGTTTTTTCTTGTAGGATCCCAAAATTACTTCGCTAGATGAAGCTCTCTTACGTTTCGGTGAACAATCAACAAATTCCGAGCATATTGATAGTAAAAGTCGTCAAAATGTATGTCACTGATCAGTTCAAACAAAGACCATAAGCCCATCTCTCTTCCTTTTTAGGTCCACACTAATAAAACCATGCTAATCGAACAACTACCACCAATTCTGATTATACATTTAAAATGTTTTCTCAATGATGAATCAGATGGAACAAAGAAAATCAATAAATCTATAAACTATACAGTCAATTTAACGTTACCAAAAAGTAAACCCGTTTTCTCTTCATAAATCTCGCATTCTTCTTTTCTTCTGATTCAAGCTATTTTAACCGAACAAGCCAAAAAGCATTCATTCGATCGCTACAAATTATTTGCTGTTGAATATCATCAAGGTGAACGTGCAACTGATGGACATTACATAACCGATGTTTTCCACCCTGGACTTCAAGGATGGATTCGATATGATGACGATAATGTTCATGTTGTTCCTTCGAGTCAAGTGATGAATTCATCAGCGGACAAATTGACGCCTTACTTACTTTTTTATCGTCGTGGCGAATAGAACGGTTGATTTTCGTTTTTGAACAAAAAACAACTCTTTTTCTTTCTTGTTTGATTGGCGCGCAATAGACTTTTTCTTCTCACTTGTTTTGTTTTTCTCATCCGAGTGTATTCCCTCCTTGTCTATCTCTATCTGTCTGCTCAAACCAATTGTTTTTTTTGTTTCCCTCTAACCGGTGTAGTTTGACGAGCAAACATTTTTTTTTCGTTTTGTTTCTTCTTGATGATTATGGTGATGGTCTTTTGTCTTTTATTCATTTGTTTTCTTTGTCACGTACAACACATCCGGTTAACCGACTTTTGACTGGTACCGTGCGTATTGAATCGCACATTGTTTGTAATGACAATTGATTGTTTTTTTTCTATTCTTAGTCTTCTTCACGCAAACATAGAAACCTTTCACGTTTTCTTTTTCTTGTGCTCGTTTTCGTTTAGCATTTTTGTTTCTCTATCGTTTTTTTTTCTTCAGTGTGTTTTCTCATTTCTTTTTCTCGTTTTTCGCGCAGCTTTTCTGCTCCATATATGTCTGTTGTTTGTTTATTATTGCCTTTTCAGCGCATACACTCACTCACTCACTCACACTCATACATATTGTCGTAAACTCCTTTTGCTTGTTGCTATGCGCACAGACACATCTTCTGATAATGAGTGTCGTAATAAAAAAAAACAACGGTTGTGTAATTTTTGACGATACTAAAACGATTATATGCATGCTACTGTAATCCATTATAGAATACCGAAAACAAAAACAAGCGAGGTCATATTAGAGTTTTTAAGATAGGAACAACAAAGAGAATGTTGTTATTGAATATGGGATTTTGTTTATTCTGCCACGATTAATGAAAGGAATGATGATATTGTTGAAAACATGAATATACAATGAAAACCTATGCTCATCTTTGTTTCAGATTGTACGATGCCTTCCTCTCTCATGGTTTCTCGTCTGTATACAAAAACTAGAATACCACCGTTCGCCCATGTTCTTGTCCAACAAACAAAAGAATTAGCTATACCAAATCAACGACGACACTATAGAGGAACTTGTAAGAAAAGATTAAAAAACTTGTTTCGTTAATTTCTAAGGTATCTATTTCTTTTCTCTAGTACCTACGGCATTGATTACAACTCTCCTATTGTTTATGATTAAATTACCATCATACGTCAAACGATATTCTCACTAATCAATAATAGATGCGACGTTGAATTGAAAATCACGAAGCAAATAATCTCTTTTCTTTTCTTCTCTTCTAAACTGCCTTGAGAAATCATCTTTTTTATACCTGCGAAAAAAGAAGAACGAAATTCAATTTTATGAAAAAATGTTTTGTAAATCATTTTTTCTCTTGTTGTATATTCGAAATATTTGATAATAAAAAAAGACCACTATCACAAATGTAGTGTTTTTCAATACATTTTAAAAAGAAATCTTTTGCTTGAACTGGAGCAAGAACGCCTATTCTTCTTCGCTAACCAACAGTTAATGTCACAATAATTTACTTCAGATCGAGATCGAAACATTATTTCGTTCTTGTCCTTTCGTATGTGTTTGAATACAATCTGATGCTGAAAACGAAATGGTTTTGCTCTTTGCATCGTATATTCTTTCTCTCTGATAATGTTTCAATTGCTTCTTTAGTATTGATTCATGCTTTTCTTTTCCTAATTCACTAACGACGTTAACGTATGATTTTTATCAAATTTAACTGTCCCTCGTCGACTGTCTTTGTTCCTTTTTTCTCTCAATACGCAAATCGGAGGAAAATACTACACGTTCACTGCGAATTCTCTTTGAGTGAATTTTCCTTCCGGTCGACGTCCGGCCGATATGTTCTCATTGCATATATAAACGCATGTTTTTCTTGAAGGGGGCGATAAAATCGCTCACATAGATATCAATGTGTAAACCGACATACAAAGTAAGTTCTTTGTTGTTTTTCTAATGAAGTATTGTGATTGTATCTTTTGTAGTAAAATTGAACCTAGATGTTTTCACGTTGGATCACAAGGATGGTTGTATGAAATAGTTTCTTTTAATGTTTCTTGCAAAGTCGAAAATTCTTTTTTTTTCAGGAAGACATGTCGACACAGTCAGAAATCAAGGCGATGGTTCAGAGAATCGAACAAATATCTTTGGCGTACGAAGAAAGTTTAAAATAGAAAGATTATATACCCAGGTCAACAAATCCGATGCTGGATCTGATCGGATTCCGACTGGAAAAATCCCGTCGGTTATTGCAAATTTTATGAGCAATCTTTCTAGCTATGTTCTATGATGACCCTTAGAAAATCCATGTTTCGGATCCGAGACCGTCGGAACCCAATGCGATTCCGTCACCAGGATTTCATCAGATCCGTCGAATTCCTGTAGAATCTGATAAAATCATATATTGGATCCGAGTATGGGATTGTTCGACCTGGAATGCGTAAAAATAAATGACTTTGAATTTCGTTGTTCGCGTTGTCTTATCGTTTCAAATGTCTTGTGTTTCTTAATGTTGATATAAATAAATATTCAGACTAGTTCAAGTCCATCATCAATGTGTCTCGATTGGTGTGAAATTTGCTATGGTGTTTATGATTGTGTTGATAGAGAGAATAAAGAATTCTGTTATTTATCAGAACAAAATCAGTGTTCAAATGCACTGAAAAAAAAACAGGTAGTTCACCAAGCCATTCCGGTTTAGTGATGGCCCACCAAACTATTTTAAGTTTGGCACCACCAAAATGGTGCCGTAGCGTAAATAAAGAACTTTTTTAAGGTTTTGAGGGCCAAAAAGGTTTCGTGCCGTTATTGCCAAACCATTGAAAGGTTCAGCAGCGCGTATACTGAGCTTTTTTGGTTTCGTATGTCTGGTACAAAACCTGCCATAGTTCCGTAGAGCACATAAAGGTTTCGAAACAGACTTACGAAACCATGTAGGGTTTCGTATTAGAGATACCGAGCCTTTACGTACATCACTAGGGGACTGAGGTTTCGCATTTCGGATGCCGAACCTTCCTGAGTTCCGTACCACACTTTCCGAAACATTTCTCCATTTACGAAGCCATCAGAGGTTCCGTATCAGACCTCCAGAACCATACCTCATTTTCCGAAATCCTGTGGGGTTTCGTACCAGACGTCCGCAGCCATTCATCCCTCTCCGAAACCATGAAGAGTTCTGTGCTACACTTCCCGAACCACTTCTCATTTTACGGAAACACGTGGGCTCCGATACTGGGCCTCCCGAACCATTACGGTTCCGCCACACACCTCCAGAGCCATTCATTCCTTTCTGAAGCCATAAAGGGCTCCGTACCAAATCTATCAAACCACTCCTCATCTCACGAAACCATCAAGAGTTCCGTGCTAGAGCTCCTGAACCATTTCTCCCTTTACGAAGCAATCAGAGGTTCCGTACCGGGCCTCCAGAACCATTTATTCCTAAAAGAAGGCCCAAGGGGTTTCGCCCGATACCTCCCGAACCATCGCGACGGACTAGTCACCACGGCCGGCCAAGCCGATATAGTCTATGAGTCTGATAGCTTCCAAATCATCGAGAATGAGTAGCCAGTGTTTTGTTTTAGACTGATATATGGTCGTGTTATGGCGTGTACTGTCCGGCTAATCATTCAAATGACTTGGCTACATGGAGGTTAATTGGATAGATAAGTATATACTTATTTCTTCCCATATATTATTCTTCGCTGTTTAGGTTATATGTCGGGCGGAATGCGCGAATGAAATGTAACTACCTCTTCTCAGTGAATACCTGTGCTTGTGCTTTAGAATTATTTCAGGTCGCCAGTGGTCTGTTAGTGATGGAGAAGCGCGATCAAGCGGACGAGAGAAAGGTAGGAGTTTCATTTTACATAGCTGTTTGAGTGAGTCTATGATCAGCTGTGAGTAGTGTAGGCAATTCTGTGAGCGGTGTAGGTAAGGCGTTCTTGTGAGTTAGTAATCCTTTTCCATGAGTGTCTTTATCTGTCTGATCCTGCCCAGTACGATAAGACGCCAGCACAATAGAGTATTTCACCAGTTCTTCCTGTGAAAGTCATATTTACACCATCAGACATCTGATCCTCGACAACCTAGAAGGTTTATACATAGATGAAATTGCTTTGAGTTGTATTCATACATGTCATACAGCTGTAGTCAAAAAAACTTGCACAAAATTCAAAATTTTGTATAACGGTTTTCTTACCGTTCGAAAGTAATTACGAAAATCGTTTTTCCAGGGATATATGTACATTAGATATATAACACGTTGAACATAGGGAAATGTGATTTCTTTTCTTTTCTGTACATATAATTTTAATCATGACGTCGTCTAGTAAGTTCAAAAATCATCATATATCAATATTAGACTATTGGAACAAAGGCGTACGATCTGCTCCTGCTATTCATCATAAAACAAAGATCCCACTGAGGACTATATATTACAATATTAATAAATTGAAACAAACAGATTCACTTAAACATCGAGGAGGAAATGGTCGACCACGTGCACTTTGTGCAATTGAAAAGAAAGCTATCGGCCAATATATTCGTCGAAATAATGAAATTACCATTAATGAAATCAAAGAAAAATTATCAACAACTTATCGTTCAACAGTATCTGCATCAACAATACGTCGTCATCTTCAGCGATCTGGCTATCGAAATGTATTACCGAGAAAAACCCATATATTAACATCCGATGATAAACAAAGACGAATTCAATGGGCCAAGAAACATAAAAATGATGATTTTATACGTACAATATTTACAGACGAATGTTCATTTCAACTTTATCGAAATACAGTTCGCCGGTGGTCGAAATGTCCAAATAATGAAGTCAAACCAATACCGAAAAATCGTCAAAAAATCCATGTGTGGGGTGCAGTGAGTACAGAGGGTGTACTGAACTGTCATACGTTTAAATGCAATCTTAATGGTGAATATTATGTTCATATACTCAAGAATTACCTTCTTCCTGCTGCAAGGCGTCAGTCTCATCGAAACTGGCGTCTACAGCAGGACAATGATCCAAAGCATCGAAGTAATATTTGTAAAAACTTCATTCAAGATCATGTACCGGAATTGTTAGATTGGCCATCTAACAGCCCAGACGTTAACCCAATTGAAAACATCTGGTCGATCGTAAAACGCAAAGTTGAAAAGAGGAAGCCAAAAAATATTGACGAACTTGAACGTTTTTTAGTTATAGAACTCAAAAATATTGATATTAATATTGTAAACAATTGTATCATGTCCATGAAAGATAGATGTTTGTCTCTTATTTCTTCTAAAGGTGAACGAATAAAATATTAGAATATAGTGTTGTATAGTGTTTGTCATAGGCTATCAACCGTATATGAAACTATTTGAAAGTCACTTACAAATAAGAATTTATTTGCAAGACAAGATGTGCAAGTTTTTTTTACTACAGCTGTATAAAGCTTCTAGGTTGTCGAGGATCAGATGTCTGATGGTGTAAATATGACTTTCACAGGAAGAACTGGTGAAATACTCTATTGTGCTGGCGTCTTATCGTACTGGGCAGGATCAGACAGATAAAGACTCTCATAGAAAAGGATTACGCATTCACCAAGGGCGTCAATGGTGGTAAATTCTCCAGAGGTATTGCATATGGAAACCCTCAGAAAAAACCTTTTGAAAATATTTTTGGGAAAGGTTTCGTGCGAAACCTTTTTTATCACCGATCATGTAAAGGATCGATACGAAACCTTTTTGCGACCAAACCATGTGAGGTTTAGCGATTGTGCCCGCCGACTGATTGCTTTTTTGGTTTGGTAAAACACCTTTTTTTTTCAGTGTGGCAGCGGCTAGCCGTGAGTGGCTAGCCGAAGGGAGGACGACGAACGACTAGGCATTTAAATGCTAGATTAATCCTAATGTGTACGCTTAGAATAACCTTGCCAAGCTTCTGATAACTTTGAAAGGAATGTGCCGATTGGATATTCCTCAATGAAAATATTCGACAAGGTATCATTTCGTTGACAGGAGAGAAAAGAATCGGATTATTGCTGGAAGACACAGACGAATGTTCAAACTTTTCAAGTAGCCTACTGTATATCGTGCGTGAGTGGTCGTCTGACTAGCCGTTGAGCGATGAATTTTTCAGTCGACATAGTTAGTGCTGGAGAATTATCCACTGACAGATGGCTAATCGATATGATTCCTAGAAAGACCTCTGTATCCTATTGATTCTAGTTCTAGTGTGTGACATAGTACCATGATTCAGTTGAGCACTAGTAGCAATCGCAGTGCGTTTTTTCTCTTTCGAAGTCTCCGAATGTGTTGAGCATTAGGAAAGATCTTTCAGAAAAGGGTCAGCGAATCCAAAGGATGAGCGTTACTTGTTAGTGGAAAAGCGTTTTATAAAAACTTTGTCTTCATGAACCATTAGATCCAGACGACAGAAAAATCAAATGAAAGCTGAGGTGTCATCAAAAGGAACGAATATTAGATGTAGAAACGCTTACGGCCATACCACGTTGAATACACCAGTTCTCGTCCGATCACTGAAGTTAAGCAACGTCGGGCTCGGTTAGTACTTGGATGGGTGACCGCCTGGGAATACCGAGTGTCGTAAGCTTTTTGCACACTCGTTTGTAATTTCGAATTTCGAATTAGTGATGAGATCTGTTTTCAGCAGAATTTCATCGGCTTCCGCTTTTTTTCCTCTAGAATAGTGATCAATTCAAAAATATTATTGTTCTTCGCTATACATTTTCTCTTGAGGGTGTTACGTGTTTATTGTGAGAACATAAGCAGGAACGTGATGAAAGAGAGCAGAAAATGACCACACGCACACATGTAAAGATCTACATACTCAAATACCTATACATGAGATTGTGATCGAGAATAAGCGCATGAATATAGAAGAGATAAAGACAAGCCCATGCAAATAGACAGCTGCAATAGCATAGAAATACAGATCAATGCAGTACGATCAAATATGAAATTTGAATTTAAGCATTCAGCTGTTGATTTTTATTAGCTCTGTTCGACACATTCCGAGTATTCCCTTTTCTGAAACAAAGCGTTATAGCGTATAGAATGCGGCCGTTAAAATACTAAAAGTTCGCTTGCATAATCGAATCAGATTGCAGCATTTGATAAGTTCATAAAAACTCAAGGATAGTGTCGAGTAATGGTTGATCGAAGGGTAATCGGGGTCAAGGGTCTCGAATCTGGTGTTAGTTTTTTCATAAAATGTTTATGTTCCGTTTTTCTTTTAGACAAAGGATAATTGTTTTGCAAAAGAAAATCTTTTAAGGCGATAGCGTTTTAAGCAGCAATATGTAGAACAAAACGAAATTATGATAAACATCCGATTCTTGGATTTCTATGCTCATCAACATACTGATAAAATCGCAACTATATAAATAGTTATATTACATAAACGTCATCCGATACTAAGCACTCAAATAATATTTCCTCTGACAGGTGGACATGTAACGGCTAGCCGCGAGTGACTGACCGGAGGGAGACCGACGAACGACTAGATGTTTGTTTCGATGACTTAGAAGAGATAAAACGAATGTAAGCCAATTAATTTTGAGTTTAAATGGTCGGAAGAGAGTCGATGAATGAATGTTTCGATACCATGTTCCTTTGCTTACATGTTTGTACAAATGAATTGAAAGTAATTTGACATGAATAGAGTAGAAAAGGATTAAAAGAAAAGAATATGCATAAAAGTTGCTTTTATTCAGAGTTGATTAGATCGAGATCTATGTGAAAAGTGTTATATAGAAGTCTTCTAATTCTTTCCGAAAAGGGTCAGCGAATCCAACGGATGAGCGCTTCTTGTTGTTATCGGTTGCTAAGGAAATTATGAAAAAGTGCCGTTTTGTTGTTGGAATGTACATAGAAAAAACGTTTTACAATCGGAAGTAAATTTTTCCTGCCTCGATCAGATATGATTAGTATTAAAACAGAAAAAAACCTTTTATAGAGAAATTTCATTGGTTCAATTGATCAATAATCCAACGCTTTAGCCGCCATTCATCTTCGTTTTCAAAGTTCATTTATCATGTACCTGATCAAAAATCAAGTACTGTTATTGACACTCACCCACAAGCAGACCTTTCACAGTGACTCACGGATTGTTAGCAAGTGTTTCTATCTTTCATTTAATCGTCGAAAAGGTTTCTCCACCAAATAAAGCATAGAAGTACATAGAAAGGAACTCCTTTTGCCAAAAAGTTCCAAAGCTGAGCCAAACTGTAAACAAAATTGTCGCTAGCCACTTGTGTTTTTCATGTCGGTTGAGCAGATTTTCGTGATTGACGTATATTTCAAATAGTCAACAATCCGAAGACGAGCGTCAATACCAACTGAATGAAAATACTTCCAAGTATAAATAATGCGTCGGTTACAAAACGACAGGTAAGTGTCACTCCATAACGTCGTACAGATGCATAAACTAGGTTTGGCTCATAAGAATAGATAACATGTGAAAATACAATGACTGAAAGAATGAACCAAAATGCGGCTGGTCGTGTTACGTTGAGAACAAACGTACGAAGTTTGTAGAGACATCGGCCAGTATATTGGTTGAATCAACAAACCATCCAGCGAATAAACGGCAAATAAGACTAGATGCGATTGCAATAAAATTCGCCACCGACGAAAAAACGAAAAGAAGGGCACAGAAATTGAAACGAAATAGTTGTTGAGATAAAAGCATAATAGTCAGAGCGTGTCGAATTGTTCCGAATAGAAAAGTATTATTGATAAATGCGATATACTCATCATCAGATTCTATTTTATACAACAAACCTCTTTCGCATATAGTATTTGTACTTGAAATTCTCTATAATTGGTCTTTTACGTGATAAGAAAAGTGAATGACAAGAGAGGAAAGATGATTCTACATTAGTAAATGACACATAATCCCATTATTTTCTCATGGACGAACCCAGGAAAAGTCACAAGTATCTTCAATTGTTGGGATGAAGCTTTTTCACTATTTCATTTCATTATGATCATGCATAACTATCATCGAAGTTGAATTATTGAGTACAAAGTTTATCGTTCAACTAGCTGTTTCATTGGATATAACGAATCTAGTTTAATCCAGTTGAGTGAGGTTAAGACGTTGTCTGCTACATAAATCGTCCTTCCGATGTGAAATTCTTTTTTAGTATAGACATGTTTGAAACGCAGGACATAAACGCACCCAGACGCGTCTTTCAGATGCATTCAACCACGCTACTGATTTTTTGCCCAAAAAAGCATCCTATTCTCACAGCTTTAGTCTGTGTCACCATTTTTTCCAATCTGAAAAACCTGTCAATCCTTTTCATGAATTAGGACCATATCGATTAGCAGAAAGTAATGCCGAATGAACAGGTTAACAGTTCCGACATAAAAAAGATCAGATTTCGTAGAATAAATGAAGTAAGTTTTGAAAAGAAATCATTATTGAAAATGAATTTTCCAAGGGAGAAAAAGCGAGACTTCAGACTTCACTCTACTTCAAATACTATCTGAAATAGATCAAATCTTGGTTTTCTCTTCTTGGTCAACACACTCGTAAGGCTCTCTCCCTCTCATCTCTGTTTATTCAATCTCATGTGAACGGATTCTGAACAGTTAACAACAGCAGCTACTCCAATCTCATCTGCTTCGACAATTGAATCAACTGTTGCTGTTTTGTATCCAACAGATTTTGTAAATGGAATGCATCATACATCTGTATATATAACATGATTAATAAAATAATACGAAGATATTTGTCTTCAATCCATCGAAAATCTATGAACAATTAAGATATACACAACGAATGAAGCAAGTGGTGAAAAACTAAACTTGTGCACGTATTCGACATTTATTTTTCACTTTTAACATAATCCAAACATTTATTTTTATTTGTACCTTTACTTTGAATAAAATAAAGATAGAGTGATCAATCACATCACATAGAATAGATGTCTTTCGTTTTTTGTCAATCAAATAGATTAGGTTACTGTTGAACAAAAGGATTGGATAAAAATTGTCTCGAGTCTAGTGGATTAGTTTATCGACAATATTTCAAAATAAAACTGAAATAAGAGAGTGCCATTCTATGAGCTGTTACACAGTGGGCATCTGCCAGTAAAACAGTTCTTTGTGTATCAACAAATTCATTCATGCTTAGTCGATGTCTCTATGATGATTAAATGCCTCTTTTTTGCCCATTTCTGCTAAAACTCTATTGAAAGATCTTATATGCAGCGGCAAAATCAATTTCAGACTTATATCTCTTCGAAGTAGACCTCTTTCAACGTTAATATTACTTTCCGACTAGATTTAACAAAAAACGATACACTTACAACAGCAAAAGCTCATTTTATCACATTTGGTTCAAGGTGTAAGAAAAGATGAACGAACGTTCATGTTTCCCAATTGCAACAACATCTCATCATTCGTTTTTTGAACGGTTACGAACACATAAAGATCCACTAGGACGTATAGACTTTTAGCATCTCGAGCAGGTAAGGTTTAACCTCTCTGTGATACTTTTTTTCAGACAGAAGCGCGTTATGCAAATAGAAGCTGTTTTGATTTGTTTCAGTTAAACTACGTCTTTTACTAAACACTTTCTTTTCACTTTTTCAATACTTGCATCGCAACAATTGCATTCTCTACAGGTATGTTTTTCTCGTTCTTCAGTTGTTATGCACAAAAAAGGTAACTCTGCGAATGCGGTAGAATGAGCACAAAATTTACGAACGAAGTTTCTCTTTTATTTTGAGTTAACCAACACAGCATCAAAGCAGAGTGTGTGAAGGCAATAACAGCTAGGAGAACAATAATCAGAACTTTCAACACAGTAGACAATCGATCAATCTTCGAAAGATGCAAAACGTCGTTGTGATCTGGCTCGACAATCGTATTGATCATAATAATGCTGATTGCCAGTTAACAATTGCACAACTTGAACACATTACTGACAATGTCACTACATTCACGGATAATGACGAATGTGTCGAATATATACTCAATTGTAATGACCATCAAGTCTATCTAATCGTTTCTGGTGCACTTGGACAATATCTTGTGCGTTGTATCCACGATATTCCTCCATTACACTCGATTTTCATCTTTTGTCAAAANACGGCCATACCACGTTGAATACACCAGTTCTCGTCCGATCACTGAAGTTAAGCAACGTCGGGCTCGGTTAGTACTTGGATGGGTGACCGCCTGGGAATACCGAGTGTCGTAAGCTTTTTTGCATACTCGTTTTTAATTTCGAATTTCGAATTAGTGACGAGAACTGTTTTCAGCAGAATTTCATCGGCTTCCGCTTTCTTTTTCTATAGAATAGTGATCAATTCAAAAATAGTATTGTTCTTCGCTATAGATTTTCTCTTGAGGGTGTTGCGTGTTTATTGTGAGAACATAAGCAGGAACGTGATGAAAGAGAGCAGAAAATGACCACACACACACATGTAAAGATCTACATACTCAAATACCTATACATGGGATCGTGATCGAGAATATTCCCATGAATATAGAAGAGATAAGGACAAGCCCATACAAATAGACAGCTGACGCATGAGAGAAAAGGAAAAATTCAATGCGTCTTATATTGGAAGCATGTCGACAGCTGCAATAGCATAGAAATACATAGATCAACGCAGTACGATCAAATATGAAATTTGAATTTAAGCACTCAGCTGTTGACTTTTATTAGCTCTGGTCGACACATTCCGAGTATTCTCTTTTCTGAAAGAAAGCGTTATAGCGTATAAAAGGCGGTCGTTAAAAGGCTTAAAGTTTGCTTGCATAATACTTATATACGTAATATCGATGTAAGTGTCAGTATGATCTTCAAAAAACATAGACCATTTTTTTAGATGAAATTGAATCGCAAAATTGGCGTTATTGTTTTATTTTGATGCCTTTCAAGTATATGTGAATGATTGTAAATGAAAGTTTAAAGTGCTTTAAACACCCTCATTTTGAAGATATTTCAATGCTATAAAAAATTCCTAATGATTCAAAATTATCTTCTATCAGTATTAGTTTGTGACGCGCAACAAAACTCATGATATCTCGCATGCCTATCGAATTACGCAGAACATCTACTGTCATAACAGTTTTAATACTAGATCTAGTTTTGCATTCCAGTTCAACTTGACTAATATTGAAGGTACGCGGATCGACGTCAATGAAAACTGGGCGGAGACAATGTTGACCAACAGACTACAAGAACGAGTGCTTGATTGCCACGATCGTAATATACTGCGTGTAGTTTATTGGTTATAGCGGCGACAGTTAACAAGTTTGCGGAGCTGTCACAATCCATCATCACTACATACGGGGCATCAACAGTTCGGGCAAACTTTTTCGACTTCGCGACCTTATGCTAGACGACCTGCTAGTAGATCTTCAATCATGACAAGGATTTTATTGTTCTTTCTCTGCAACACGGTGAGCATCCCATTCAGTGTTAATATGCGAACACCACAGGTTCTGGTACAGTGGTTCGCAGATGCTATAGAAGAAGAAGAATAAATACCACTTAGCCTTTGATTTTTCCTCTTGAGTAAATAACCATCGATGATTGCCTTGTTAACCATTATCTGCATAGATGGAAATCGATTGTATCCGACCATCGAAACTACGTGTGTAAAGTATCAAAATGAACACAGATTCACATGCCGATTTAGCGATAAATGTAATGATGCAAACATAATTACTGTTTTTGCTAAAATATGCTTGAAAAAGAAATATTTGAAGTTTCCTCTTATGTTTTTACTTCTAAAAAAATGTTTACTGTCTGATAATTCGTTTCAAACACGTGGCCATGCATTTTCTCTTTTCTGTGCTGTCTCACACTAAACAGTTGAAGCATTTCGTCGTTTTTTCGTACATTAGTGTCTCCAAAAACATTCCTTGTTCTTCCCACAACTTTGCATTTTCGGTACACTGTCTCTTATGCATAACAAATTATGTGCAGACCATCTTGAAAGTAAAACAAGTAATATCATATAACAATACGTGTTGATAAGTTTATTCAACTTTCATTTCTGCTTCAGAGAATTAACAACGTGTGTGTGTGTGTGTTGTTGCTTATTCAAACATATCCTTCCAATTAATTTATATATCAGACTGGTATTTACTAACATGACTGAACCACTTTTGGAACAACAATCGAACACAAGATCCGCACTCCACTGCAAAAAGGAGATTTGCCTTGTGATAATCTCAGCAACCGTTGGTGCTATCGCATCCTTGTTAATCTGCAATAATTCTCTCGATTTAAAGTCAGTAGTATTCCAGAAAACCAACATACTCAAAGACCAGATCTCAAGACCTAACGCTCCGAAAGATCACATAGCAGCGAAGGAAATAGCAATATCCTATCTAGGATTTAATGGCCGCCAGACTTTTTCGAAAGCTATTTGCTCTGGGGATGAAAATGATATCAGCGCATGGAAAGATCGTCTTTGCGTATTCTCGAGTATTTGTTACAACAAAATTACCAACAGATTTGATTATTTTCGACTGAATCAAAGTAAACCAAAACCAGTTTTTTATGATAAGAGTTATCGTATGTTGTTTCGATTTGGTGTGACAAACGCGGATATACCATTCTTAACGCTTACGGTGGGCGGAGATACAGCATGGACGCCACTCGTTGTTAATGAGTCGTATCCAACGGAAAATTTCACAAGACTCCATCAGTTACATAGTCTAACGAAAACCCGCTTTGCTTCTTCTAATATAGGACATGGCCTTTGGGAAGATCTCGGATCCATCTCATATTCATTGGATCGAATGAATATTATTGATCGCAACTTAGTTATCATGCATATGAATCGAATGGACAACACAAGTTTATTTCGCATGTATCATAAGTATATCATACGTGCATTAACCGATCATCCGATGGTGCAATTCGAGACTTATATGAGTTCATTCAATACGAAATATGTATGTTTCGATCGATTAATTGTCGGAGGAGAACTGAGTGTCTTTCCAAGAACACAGGTGAAGGAATATCATGGACGTGAGATAATTTACTATAACTGGAGATCAAAAATCATCCAAAATAATGGATTCAATCCTAATTTCGTTCCAAAAAAGCATCACATCATCATTACCAACAAAACGGAGTCGATATACAAACGTGTAGGTATGAAACGACATCGTGCAATTGCGAATTTAGAAGAAGTAGCAAATTTTCTCCAAGACACTTATCCAAATATATCATCCGAGGTTATCGAATGGCAATACATTTCTTTTGATAAGCAAATAGAAATGTTGTTAAATACAACTATTTTAATTACACCAGGTGGTGGTGTATCATTGACACTACCACTACTTCCACATGGAGCGCATGCCATTATAATGGATTACTTTGTGACTGAGCCGGGTCATGGTTATTTTTATGGACAAAGTGGGTCAATGGAGGGTGCCTTTTTTAATCATATACCTCATGTTCGAAAACAGTATTATCAGATCTATGGACCACAGGAATATGAATTCGACTATTCGGGAGCTACAGACGCTCGAGAAATGGCATCAATCATCATAAATACGAAACGATTGCAACTACTCATTGATAAAGCCTTAGAAGAAATGGAATTTTAAGACGATTTTTATATAGTAATAATGTCCTGTACCACAGTGTATACAAACTTGGCTGTTTTCTGTTGCATAATAAATTACTTTAGTATCTGTAGTAGTTTCATGAAAACTTTCACTACAAAATCGAACCATAAATTTTGCTCTGAACGGAAATGTGCACACCCTCTTCTATGATCTTCTTCGCTTATATATAATTGAAAAACCTATGATGTCACGCGTCTCAGCATCGTTACTTAGGTTTCAGAGCATGAAACAAAAGTTTTGACTTAAATAAACTACACGAGAAGAGAACACCCGCTTTGTCAGAGTGCTTGAGCATTTTTTGTCCTTCATATGAGAAATAGACTTCTACTACATTAAAATCGCGTACTGCAGCATGTCCTTGTGAGCAGAGACAGAAGACAGAGTCATTCATAACTGAGAACAGTATTCAGCTGTCGTTACTATGATTTAGTTTTGCAATTGTAGAACAATTGCGTAAAAAAGTTGATAAAAACGATGAAAGTGTAACACTAAAGACGATCCTTACTCCATCACCATAGTGTATATTTAGTACATTGCTAACTTCAGCAAGCAAATTAGTGATTATTGTATTATCATTCACAAACACATTATTAATTTTGCGAAATGGCTTAACAGTGATCCTTTCTCTTGATATATTTATGAAACTTTTTATCAGGTTCAAGATCAATACTATTGATTAATGTAGATGGTCTCAAAAATTGGCTCTCTGTAGTTTCGTTGCTTATAACAATGCTTATTTAAAGTCTTTTCGCATTAATATACGTTAGTGTTCCAACTCTAATCGTGATTCGTAATTTATCAACGCCGTCTATGGTCTTGTCAGAATATTATACTATCAAAGAAGTAAAATTGGTAATAGATCAGTTACAGTTGTGTACATATGCCCAGTCACATATGATTAAGTATGAACATCTTGGATACACGTATATCCTAAATTTATATTATAAAGTTGTAAATATATCATTCATGAAAGATACAAGTCGTATTGGAATATCACATTACAATAATTTCATATCTTTATCAATTCTCATTATTTTTGCTAGTGCGATGGACAAGTATAAAAAACTATTATCTTATCTACCAACTCTACGTGCAATATCGGTTTTATTCCCAAACAAAAGAACGTTTTCCCGAATTGTTATTCATCTTATTTCCTATTATTTTCATTATTGTATATACCGCTTTGAAATACCTGCATCTGATTATTCCGATGATTGATACAACCATTTTTGCCTCTCAATCATGGCTTCTTAAGGCAATCGATTGGACATTTCGAAAGATTTGATTGCGGATGAGTATGCTCGAAGCACTTCTTTTTAGATAATCAACTAGTTCGTCTTGATTGATGAGTTTCGACAATGCGTATATCGTGCACTTAAAGGTGATATCGAAAACTATTCAAATGTAATAGATTGATTTTGTAATATTAGAAAATTAAATGTGTTTCCATATTTGGCTGGAATAGTACGAGTCATCGAAGCTGATAAAGATTCTTCGAAGGCATTTCGTGTCAATACATTTAGAATTTTGAATATTTTAGAAGCCTGCCGTTCGCTGTTGTGTTATCCTAGATTTATCGCAGATTCTATTTTATTATTATAATGTAAAGTGCTAATACAAAACTAAGAAGAGATTATAGTACCGAAGAATGATACTGTCAGAAAACAGTTTATTGAACAGATTACCAGTCCGTAGGGTCTGCTAAACTTTCTTGATCTTCTTTCGATAGATAAAACTGATTATACCATCGGCGCATTTTCAATATCGGGCCATCATTTTTCACCAGAAACGGAGCACGTTTAAAAACCTAAAACCAAGCAAATGAGCCTCTTTTTCTCTCATTTTATTCAATTACTGACTTTATTTTCCCAAACAATAATATCTTGATGCCATTGTGCAATCCAATTTCCAATCACATACCAATTTAATATTCTCGGCATTTTCTTTTCCACATATGCACGAAATTCCACGTCCAATTCAGTAAAGCTTGTTGGAGTATGTGTATGAAATAGATAAATTCTCCCGAATTCAACATCGAAACGAAATACAGTTATACCAGCAGGACCATAAAAAGTGATCGAAGCATTGGCTTTTGTTGATTCATAATTTTTTCCAAATAATCGTATCATTGCTGTGTCATAAAAGTGAGCGATATATGGTTTTTCTTGATTAAACTCTAATGAAGCCTTGTGCTGAATAAAAACATACGGGACATGCCATTTAGTCCAAGGAATTAACATTTGGCCATGTAACGGTTGAAAATGTTGAAAATCCGCTGCATTTTCGGCAAATTCTTGCAAATGCATCTGAATATTTGGATAATGATAAACGCCGCGAAATTCAAATCGGTCACCATTTAATTCATCAATATCAATTGCATCATAATGCGGTGGTTCATTTAGTGGATGATACCAAATCATGATCATGCCATAACGTTCAACGGACGGATACGTTTGCATTTTTGCCTGAAAGAAACATCAAACAAAGCTTCTACGCAGACATGCGCATTAGTTACTTTTTCAGGTATCTTTCCATCTGCATATGGAAGTTTTGAGCAACGTCCAGTTTCGCCATTGAATTCCCATAAATGAAAGGGACATTGAATACAATTCGTGCCAGGCATAACACGACCACCAAAAGCCAAGTTTGCTCCCATGTGAACACAGAACGCATCGAGAACGTGGATTTGACTGTGATCATCATCAGATCGAAAAACGACCATTTCTCTTCCGAGTGCAAATGCATGTTTGATTTGTCCGCGTTGGGAAACTTCATCGGCATCACAAATCCGATACCAACCGCATGGATATTGCTTTGGATATGTTTGAGCTCTATCAACGCCTCGACGAGTTTTCTTAGCTGATTCTCTCGATTTCCTCCGTCGAACAATATAGAAAAGTATGAGAACTATCGGAAGTACATACCAATATAAAGAAAATAATTTTCTCACACACTCTATATGAAAAAAGCTCATCTGAAAAAAAAATTAGGCTATAAATACAAAAAAGATGTGTTTTGATTTGTTTTCTTTTCTTAGCTTAGGATATTTCTGCTCATGTATGCCTAGTTTTACTAACGGACGTCTATTCGTGCTTGACTGACGTTTTATACGTACATAGGTTTGCTTTAGTCGCATTGCGCACACAAATGACTTCGACAACAAAATCACTTTTTTTTCTCCCTCTCTTTGCATTATAACCATAAGCAACCTGAAGATTTTTTTCTCTTTCTCTCATCAATAGTTGTGAACTGATTGAGAAATATTCAAAGGACGTTTAAATAGGCGAATGTACTCAGCTTTTACATTCAATTGCTTCAAAAATAAACGCAAATGATCGAAAGGATTTTGTCCAATACGCATCATTTTCCTTCGTAAAGAAAAATTTATTGAACATGGATATTCGAACGTTGTTATTCTTTCGACCGTTGTTTGTATAGATACACAGACCACGTGTTTCTCTCGTTTGGTTGTTTTTCTTTTTCTTTTCTGACGACTAACGATGAATTCATATTGAAAATGTCTGCACAAACTGAACCACTTTCGGAAACATCAATGTTTCCATCATCGGAAAGGAACCGACGATCTGCAAAACGCTTTCGCCCATCAGTGCAATGTAGTCACCGAGATAATCAAACGAATGAACAATGTACAGCCGATGGATTTATGGAATGTGTCCATTGTGATAAGATTTGTTGTCTTATACATATAACACAACATCAGGGTGAATTAAAACAAATTCGCGATCGACTTGTCGAGGTGGAGTTTTAATTTAGGTATTTCTTTTCACCAAAATCGATCTTTTCAGGAAGCAAGTGATACTTATTTAACGTTAAGCGAAATGCAGGTGACCGACACAAGAGAAGAACTTCAGGAAAGCTTAGTTTTGTGGAAGAAACAAATGTATAAGAAAATCGAACGAATTCATCAGCAACTTCTTAGTAAAATAAAATCTTTCAAAAACTTACAAAACAAGAGTGTTCGTTTAACTTTAGATGATACCGAACAGTCATTTATAAAAGTCAACTCAGAATTTGAATCAAAAAAGAAAAACTTAATTCACGACTTTGACGAAAGAATTTCAACCAAACTCGAACGTCTCTCACTCAAATACGATTTTTATCCTCACGAACTTGATGATTTAAAACTATCATTAACTGAAATGTACACTCGAATCCGTGATGCACGGACCTCAATTATCAGCATCGATTTTGGCAATGGAAATCCCTGTTTGTTCGATGATGAGCCACTCAACGACGACAATCACATCGAACCACCGAAAATTATCATTCAAAACAAGCCCGACATTGAACGAATCCTCAACGAATCTTATCTTCGACAATTTCAACTTGACATCGAAAATTCTTTCAGTCACGTTCCAATCTTCTACGATGCATCAGCTAAACATGTAAGCTTTTCTCGGCGAATAAACGGCAAACGAATGATTTTCTCTAGTTATTGGTTTGTAACTACGAAAACAATACACTGGAATTATACAATCACGAAGAACGTATCGGTGGAGGATTCTGGCCAAAAGATTCTTCTTTAATTAACTGTATCAAATGGTGCTCGTGTTTAAACACATTTCTTGTTCTATGTGCACAATCTCTCTTTGCTTTGAATTGTTCACAACAACCGTTCAACATTCATGTTATTAAACAAGTAGATATGCGACTGATGTAAATCTTTGCATAGAATGATTTCGTTTGCTTTGTTAGGTCACACCGATCGATGGCAATCCAATGAAATACTTGACTGTAAATAACGACTTGATGTTGATTAAGCACGGAAGTGGTGTATTTATTGATAAATACTCATTGAAAACAATGGAATTGCTCAAACGTTGGCAGAAAACAGATTTTTATTCCGATGATGACAATTCTCTCGAAATTCAGCGTTTAGAATTCTCATCGTACTTCTACCTGGTCATGAATGTCGAAATTAATGATGAACTGAACGTTTTAGATTTATTTATTCTTCCTACTCTTCAGCATATTCGTCGATTAGAGAATTCCTATCTCGTTCTTTACTTACCGTTGAGTAACTATTGGATTATCAAACGAGTGAACGAAGCGAATCGACAAGATTTGTGCCTGTTGGATCAAAATGGTCTGGTGACTCGGTTGAATATTCACGAAAGTGAAAATATAATTGGAATGCGTTTCTTTGGTAAACAATATTTCTTAGTTCTACGTCAAATTGAGAATAGTTCTCTTCAAATGCAATTGTTTCATATCGATAAATTCTAGGGAAAATGTTCGTTGAAAGATTTGTATAGAAATAAAAGTGAAAGAAAAAACGTAAAACAATTGTGATGACTCATCAATTTTAATCACAACGAATATAAAAGTCAGATATCAGCGGTCAGGTATTTAGTAAAAATTGATACTAATTTGAGATTTGGCATGACCTCACGTTTTTTTATAATAAGTCAAATGAGCTAATATTATGAGTCAAGTAGTTTGTCAACCTGCGATTTGTCGAACGTTTGAAAAAGTCCAAAAAAAGAAGTTTTTGTCGGTTCCTCGTATATTTGTATGATCAGTCTTACATTCGTGAGGTCTATTTTCGTAAACGATTAGTTTAGTTGTTTCTTTTCAATGTGATTTATGTGAAAATGAAAGCGAACTCATATTTCACAACTGTTACCATTATTACATTGCAAATAACAAAGAATAAAAAGACATGAAACGAAAAACATTTGTTACTAATTGATTTATGCTTATAGTTTTTCTACTAAACGAATTTTTTCGGGTTTTGTGTGCGTGATTCCCAACAAAAACCACGAATTTGCAAGCTTAAAGAATGTTATTAAACAAGCATATCAATTCTCTTTGACTACTTTCGGAATAAGAATTTTCTTCTAAACTCTAATGTCGAGACCAGATCGTTCTGTACATGATAATGAATGGACATGTTATTGGTTTCCTGATTGCAATGTTCCATGTAAGAAACCTTGCGAAAATCCTGAACATATTCACAGACGATGTGCTGCATTTGGACTTCATAAACTCAACTTTTGTGCTCATGGTAAATGGGGTTTTTACTATAGTCCAGAAGGTGATATTCATACTTGGGAATCTATTTCTCGGTTGAAAAGTAATCCTAATGGATGTACCAAAATTTATTTACTTATTTATAATCAAGATAAACAACAAATTCTTTTTGATCTAAGCAGAAATGGAAAATATAATTTACCATCATATCATCGTCTTACCTCACAACCAACAGATTTATATGAAGTAGCATCGAATTATTTTTTCAGTTTATTTCCTAGTAATAACAAGGTCGATTCATTTCCATTCGTGCAACGTCGATTTATATTTCATAATTCATCAGCAATTTATCCGGTTTGTTTGAATAATGAATTCGCTTCTCAAATTTTATCTAAGTTGGGACGTAAATGGTTTGACCGAGAAGAAATTGAACGAGAAGTGAAATTTATTAAGATTCAATGGACATTAACACCTGATAATAAAACATACAGTTATAAAGTTAAAAATAATCAAGCAATATTAGGAGGACGGCCTTTGTTTCCATTAGCAGCTTTTGTTTTTCGATGGCTTATGCCTAAAATAGATAGTGAATCGGCAGCAAGTTCAAGAGCCAGATCTCCTGTTGATTCTGCATATTCTACGGCGTATACAGCTGCATCAAGTGGTACATCGGGATATTCTTCAATGGCTCCGTCTATTTCCAATGTAGAAATTATTCAAGACCCCGATTTTCGTACTTCGTTCGATGAATTTATTGGAGAGTAAGTTAAAAATTGAGATTTTTCATTATATTTTTCAATATATCTATAGCTATGAACGACAAGATTTATCGATTAAAAATGTAAGATTAAAAGAAAATCTTATTTTATGTTATGATGTTGAAAATATTGACAGAAAAATATTTTCTGATTACCAAATCGAAATATTCAATAATCCATTTCAATTTATTTCACGGATCTTATCCTTAACAGACAAAACAGTTTATCTAATTATTTCTATGAATAAACATCGTTTAATCATTCCATTAATACACAAACATTTTTGTGTTGAAAAAATTTATTTATACAATCAGCAAATCATTACTGATTTTTCTTCTATCTCAGAAAAAATCGATGGTTGTTATGCAGATTTCAACGAACTATCCAACCAAATGATAAACGATATTAAAATCAATGACAATAAATTTCAAGATAAGAATCTCTTTTGTATGTTACATACTCAACAATTAACAAATCAGTATTCAATCATTTCTACGAGGAAAAATTCATTACATAAGCAATATGTTGTGATCTTTGATGATGAAACTCATGAAATTTCTCGTTCATATCGTGAAACAATTTCTTTTTATCAATCAAGCAATTTTCAAGAATGTATTCAATTTATTCGAGATCATAGACAATTACAGATATTGTTTATTCTTTCAAATACATTTATTGTAGAAGAAGTTCAATCAATTTGTGATTCTCAACAAACTATTCTTTTATATTTTCTTAAACCTAATTTTTCTATTCATCATAGAAAAGTCAAAGGAATATTTAATACATTAGAAGAATTATTCGTAGAATTACATAAAGATATTCTCTTTTATCAAGAAGGTGATTTTCATACGTCAAACATTTCTATATTCACTAAAATTAACCGAGAAAAACCATTAATTATTCAATTAAATGAAAAACAAATTGATTTTCTTAGTTTTAGTTTATTTCTTGATATTTTACCGTATATTCCCTCATTAAATTTCACCGAAGAAGATCTTAAGAACCTCTGTGAAATGCTATTTGATACTCAAGAAACTAATATTTCCGATTATATTGTTCAAATTGAACAAACAAATAACCTTATTCGGTTTATTGAAGATCCAAATTGTTCGAAAACTATCAATCAACTTCATAAATTCAACGAATTATTAATATTTCAACATACATTTTTCTCTATATATAGACAAGTTTCTCAATCAAATAAATCAGTCATATTCGATAGTGTTTATATGTCAAAAATAATCACATCCGAAGCACTGAACTCGCTTCAATCAAATCATTGCGAATATATTCATATTGGTATTTTCATTTTGGCAACAAAATCTCTTCTAACAGCACGTTCTATCGCAAGAACAATGGTTAATAATGGTTTAATTGCTGTTCTATTTCAAATCGATCTTGTTGAACAAATAAATTTCTTAGATATTGACAATGAACGTATTTTATTCTCTCCAAATACATTATTTCAATTAAAATCAATCAATAAAGCCTGCGATGATGTATTTTATATAAGAATTAAACCTGTTCAAACCGAATATCAATTATTTAAAGAACAATTACATATTGAACTTGATTTTCAATTATGTTGGTTGACATATGGGAATTATTTATATTATTTTAATCGATTTCAACAAGGTGAATTATATTTCAATTACCTTTTAGAGAAAATTCTAGATGAAAATTCATCTCGAGCAGCCATTTCTAATAATCTCGGTTTGTTATACTTAAACAAATGTGACGACGGAAATAAACAAGAATATTTCGATAAAGCACAAAGGATATTAAAGGAAAATCTTTTCAGAAAACCAAAATCTGTAATCGAAAGGACTTTTCTCCAAGAAGATCGTCATTATTCATTAGTAAATCCAGTAAGAAATGTTATTGATTATCCAACAGTCGTTGGTACAATTGCAGATTCATATTTTAATACTAATCAATATGAGGAAGCTTTAAAATTTTATCTAAAAGCATTAGAGTTATCTGTTAATCCACAAAATTGTTTTTATTATCGAAAAATGATTTTTAAAATCAAAAATTCTTCTCAAATAAAACATTTTTCTCATCGAGATTTTACATTAAAATCGAATCGTGATCACATATTTATTGGTATTTGGTTATACGATGATTATTTTCCATCGGATCAACAAAATCAAATGGAAATTCATTTAAATCGTTTATTTCATTATTATCAAGCATTCAATTCTCTGGAAAAATTATCTTCATATTTCGGACGAGATCGAGTTCTTCATGTTGCTAAAATCTTTTTTATTATTTCAATATCTGATGTCGCATCCAATACATTAGTTCAATTATCTGAAGAATATTCAAATACGGAAAAGTTTTATCTCTTCTTAACTTCGGGTAGTTTTTCGTCAGTACATTTTATGACAAATAGTATGGAAAGTTTATTTGAACAAATGAGAAAAGATATTCGTGAATCTGTTAAAGGAAACAATAATCCAGTTAAGAAAAATGAAGAAAATAAGATTGAAAAACCATTTTATATCTCACGTGTTAATCAAATTTCAACATTTATTGAAAAATTTATTACAAAATCGGATGAAATAAGATTAAATACACATGGAATTGATGATTCGATAAAACTATGCAAATTTCTAACAATAATTAATATTCTTCTNCTGAACGTTTTAGATTTATTTATTCTTCCTACTCTTCAGCATATTCGTCGATTAGAGAATTCCTATCTCGTTCTTTACTTACCGTTGAGTAACTATTGGATTATCAAACGAGTGAACGAAGCGAATCGACAAGATTTGTGCCTGTTGGATCAAAATGGTTTGGTGACTCGGTTGAATATTCACGAAAGTGAAAATATAATTGGAATGCGTTTCTTTGGTAAACAATATTTCTTAGTTCTACGTCAAATTGAGAATAGTTCTCTTCAAATGCAATGGTTTCATATCGATAAATTCTAGGAAAAATGTTTGTTGAAAGATTTGTATAGAAATAAAAGTGAAAGAAAAAACGTAAAACAATTGTGATGACTCATCAATTTTAATCACAACGAACAAATGTAGAGAGATAGGATTTCAATTGAATTGATAAGAAAAACAAATCGACATGGCTGTCTTGATTCTCATCAGAGAAAAGAACAACTATTTCTCTCTCGTCAGTCTTTCAATCAAAGCTCAGATTAAAAGTATCTCCACCTCGATATCAGTATTTATTTGCGTATATGTGAAAACAGCGATGAGCCAACTCGAATATTGTCGACAATCTGTACTAGTTGTGTGTTGATTTAAGACAAACAGATTATTATAGAAATAGAAACGACCGTATGAAGGGAAGAAAATGTTTTCTATTTCTCGTTGCCGTTTTCTCTGCTTTTTTAAAATAACTTACGCATAGTCGCCTTATTTATTTCTTCATCAACAGACTATCTTCAGACTCTTAGCTAAATTAGTTTTTATTTCTATTTCTATTCATCAGCTATTCACTTATAAAACATAACGTGTCTTAAGAACAACGGCAATTTGATCGTTAATTTCTGGTCGGAAAATATATCGAGGTGTTTTTCCTGTCTAGTCCTCTACGTGTTCGCTATTTCTCTCTCTCTCTCTCTCTGGTGTTCTAGATAGTGTCCTTTGGTGTATTTAAGTGTTCTACTAACATATAGGATAACTTCGTTAGTCAGTTTAACGAACAACACGTTATCAAAGCGATGCGTTCTAACAAGCTTTTGTTTCTTTGCTTTTTGGCACTGTACTTCATTGCGGGTTTATCCCTTTTGATTGCTGGAAGTGTTGCGCATCAACAAGCATTACAGTGTAAGTTCATCGAACGATTTATATGGCTATTTCATTTTTGTCTTTAATTAGTGTCAACTATTACGGGCTACTCATTGGTTTCCAGTGCGGGTTTTATAATTGCATTAGGTGTGATTATTCTGATTCTCACAGCAGTTGGTAAATATGACGTCGATTTAACGCGAATCATTCATTTGTTTGCGATTTTAGGCTTCCTTGGAGCATATAAAAATCGTTTAAGTTTATTAAAAATCTTCATTGGTTCATTAATACTTATTCTTTTACTTCAATTGATCGCTTCAATTGTTGCATTTACACTTCGAAACAAAGCAGAAGATCAATTGCGTACAAAATTAATCAAAACCTTACCTGAATACAAGACAAATCCATCAGTTAAGAAAGAATGGGATCGTCTCCAACAAAAATGGAAGTGCTGTGGTGTTACTAATTCAACAGATTGGATTAACCACGGTGGTATAGATATAGATCTTCCAACCTCGTGCTGCGCCAATAATGATTGTACTCAATCCAGTCCGTCAACAAAATATACAGCTGGTTGTTATCAATCTGCATTGAATCTTTTCTTTCGATATTCGAAAACTTTAGGTGTTATTACACTCTTTTTCTTTATTATCGAAATCGCTGGTTTAGTTTTAAGTGTTCAACTTCTTCGTGAATTGAAGAATAACTATGGAAGTGTTTAGGTGAACTTGTCTTTTTTTTGTCGTTTATTCGTGTTTCCAGCATACACACATCATCCATTATTGCTTTTCTTTATTGTCTTCTTCACATTTCACTTGACACTCTTTTCGTTGTTATTTTCTTACCTTATCGAAACATTCTGGTAAACATCATATTTCAGCAAACTCAGACTTCATTTTATTTATCTCCAAAAGAAAATAAGCTGATGGAAATTATGAAAACAATGAGAAATATTTAAACGTTCTTTACTTTCTATGATGTAACATTTCACCTGCGTTTACCTTGAATGTGAATTAGATGGATAATTAATGCTGACATTTACTTTTTATCGTTAGTTTCAGTCGAAATTCCACCTCTTTCACTCCTTTTGTCACGCAAAGAAAATTCTTTCCCATGGAGCTCTCTTCGGTTTGGAATGAATCGATATGATTACATAGTAAAATATCCAAGTGGTAATCAGTACCATAAGGAATAACATCATAAGACGAATCAAAATGAGAAGAATGCTGTTGAGATAGATAAGGAATCTAGTCGTGGAGGAAATTTTATATAAATGTGAAGAATCGGATGGGAAAGTGAAGTTCGGATGTTTATGCATAGTTAAAAAGGAAATTAAGAAGTGAAAAGCGCTCAAATCTTTTGTCATGTTTTTACTATTTAATTAGGAATTGAATCATGTGTCAATCGAACGTGTGCAAAGATATTTCCTGATGAAATTTGATCATTGTTACATCATTTTTCTCTTTCGAAATCACTATTTGATATTGAACAAGATTTTATGATCTTTTAACTTGACTCGATGATAATCATGAGTAGATCGTATACTACTACTATTCACATTTGCATTGGCAATTGATTCTAACCAGCGTTATCTCTCTCTCTCTCTCTTTGTTTCACGTCGTGTATTCAATAATCTTCGTTCGAGCTTACTTTTTGTCAAGACAAGGTCTTGTCAAATGATGATAAGTTCAACTAGTCTGTTTTTCTTTTGATTGATTGCTCTCAGCTGTTAACTGAATGAGCAGTAAAGTGGGTCACCGAATCTCGAACAGTCTCGTTCACTGTATATCAACGCCGATAGGATGATTCAGATAATTGAGTCAACTCATAGAAGTGTTGAGTAGACAAATGAGATGGTACCACTTTGAGGTACTTGCATTTTTTTCTTCTTATGTAAACATAAACGTAGTCGACATAGTTTATCGTTGATCTATTGTTTCTTAGAGCGACTGAATGAAAACTGATCTGGAATATTTGAACAGCTAGATGAATTTCTCAGAATGTAAAGAGAAGGAAAGAAAAGAAAAGATGATGTAAAACTACAAGTCTGAGTTACTACTGCCATCCTAGGATTTCACTTTCTCTTCATCTTCTTCTTCTCACTCAGTAACAGTGAGAGAAAGAAGAAAAAGAAATATGTAATATTCTTTCTCAGATTGCACCGTATGAAGGTTGATAGTGAACAATCATCGGGCAGTGAGAGTAAAGGTAGTTGAACAAGAATACAAAAGAGAGAAAGAGATTTCGTTTTTTATGTAAATACATCAGTTATGATGATGATGGTAACGAGTGTGTGATTCTTTTTCATCCGAAGAATTGCTTGTCTCAAGTAACGTTTTCTCGCTCTTATTCACGTGTGTACATACAAATGCCGAATGAAATCAGCAACTCTCTTTTTCTTTTTAAAAGGATATGCTAATGTACTTATTGATCAGACAAGAGGGGCTGTAGGCTTAGATAGTTCTTATACACACTTTAAAGCTTACGTATTGACATCACGAAAGAAACTATTCTCTATTCTCTCTCTCTCTCTCTCTTCTTTATTTGTCACATTGATCTAATATTTAAAAGAATATATGTATTTCTATCTCCCATCTATTCAGAGATAAGCCGAACAGTTATTTATGGCTTAATTGATGTAGATTTCAGTAAACTGTCTTCTGTTGGCTATTATCAACATTTTTCTTTCTGTTTGTCAAAACCGCAGGCAACAGCGCTTTTTTCGCCATATCGCTTTTGCTTTTCAAGAATGTGTTGTTCTTTTTTTTTTTACCGTATGCTTCGTTTGTTGCATCTTACAAGTATACATGCATCTCATCATCGATCTCATCAAAAGGCAGAGAAAGAGAGGGAGAGAGAGAACACATACGATCGAAAAGAGAAAGCAAAAGAGACCGCTTCAAATTTTATTCTCTCTCTTCGCCTTCTTTTGTATGTGTCGAGAAAAATAGTAAAGAGAATTTCGATTCTTCTACACACATCATACACCTGAAATCAGTCTAAGTGTCCGTTGTGCTTCGTCATCACCATCATCAACGTCCATTGATGTAAGAGGAAAAAAACCACACGAGCAAACAGCAACGATACTAAACCGATGGCTCATTTGACCATCGTGACAAAAAGGTATTGTCCATTTTGACGCATGTTTTGTGATTTAATGTAAATAATTGATTTCACACAACTCTGCTTTGATAGGTATTTCCGGTAATGTGAGGCTTTTCTTTTTCTTTCTTTTCCTCTCCTCTCTCGTCAAATTTTATTCCTATGCTTGCCAAATTTTCCCGAGCAGAATGATGAAAAATGGGTTCCATAATTATTCCTTATTGCACAGAAAATTCAAGGTTTTTTTTTCTCCATTTTTTTCTTCTTCTTCACATAAATTGATTAAATAGAACAGAGAGAGTTGTGGGAACATTGTGTCATAAGACGTTTTTATGCTTAGTAAGACAGTTGAATCGGCAAGTAAGTCAGTTTTTTTCTCTCACGCATTCTACATTTCAACGATTTTTTTAAACAGTGAATTGCATCACGGGGAAACATACGTAAATAGATAGGCATCGAATTACTTGATTAGACTGTCCTTGACAAAATGATTTGTTCAATTTTGTTCGCTGAGAAGGACAACACAACCTGTTAGTCATCACCGAAGATCGGCTAGCGAGTAAAATAATGTTATGATGGTAAGACGCAAGTGTAATCAATCTTGAAGAAAATCGAGTAGCTAATGAAACTGTAAAAACCATTTAGCTCTTGAGAAACGATAGGCGAAGAAAGAGCAGAGTGTATTACTTTAATGTTTACAAAACAGTTTTCGACAATTCGCAAGAGCTATTGAGAATATTCTCTTTTTTTTTCTTTCTTTATCTTTTCATTCGAACTTCGCAGTCACTCGCTAATTGTTGAAACTATGACAAAAAACAAACAGAATAGAGATGCAATTGTCAGAAGGCAATATAAACATCAGCGTATTGCCTGCATACATACAAAACCTCCAGAATGCAAATCAAACGAAATTTTCTTTTAAGATCATCAATGACGCAATGGCCAATTCAACGAAATATCTATACATTAGTTCCACAAACTAATTCAATGGTTAAACCAACATCTGAAACACCACACATTCTCACAACTCACAATACCAACACACCACGTTCGTCGTCAACAAATAATTCTCAACAGTCGACAACATTTAACAGTTATGATGACAGTCTGACAAATCTTTCCTGGTTACACGATATAAACATCCTAAAACGAGCAATGCCAGCAATAAATACATGTTCATCGAACAAACGTAAAGAGCGACCATCATCATCAAATGAAACTGTGTATCCAAATGATATTTCGGACAATCAGGATTTACCGATAAGTAATGATGACGATAATGATGAACAATGGCGGCTGTATAAAACCAATCCACAAGCCAAACCGGTCTATTCGTATTCTCAGCTGATCTTGTTGGCAATGAAACAGTCAGGATACGAAAAAATGACACTGCAAATGATTTATGAGTGGGTAGCAGAAAATTTTCCTTATTTCAAAAAAATGGAGCCAACTTGGCAGGTACGATGATGTCCGGAACGAAATTCTTTCCATTTAAGATCTTTTTCTAGAATTCAATTCGGCATAATTTATCATTGAATAAATGTTTTATCAAAGTTCCACGAACGAAAAAAGAAGCGGGAAGTGGCAAAGGCGGATTTTGGAAGTTGTCGCCTGACTACGAACGACAACGTTCAATTGCTCTTCCTCAACAGCAACAGGAAAGCAATTTACCTCCTAACAAACGTTCACGATATTCGAAACGATCTATTCCAAATCCGATCGCATCAACAAAGACGTCCGACAATAATTCATCTCGTATATCTTACGAAAATATCAAGACAGAATCTTGGATTGATCCAATTCTTCAAAGTTTACCATCGAAAACTCAATCACCACTTCATTGTCATACAACAAGTCTGGATCGTTCATATGTTCGAATGCCAAGTAGTTTTCTTTCTCCGACCTCTTCACCTGATTCGTTGATCATATCTCCATTCCATACATCTCATATCAATGATTTCTCATCAATCTTAACTCCATCGCCTTCGACTTCACCCTCATCCATGTCATCAGCGATATCCAAACAAAACTTTTCCGGAACGAAATTAGATGAAACAGATATGCTTCTTTTAGACACATCATCATTCGACTGGGACGCTTATTTATGCGAAACGCCGAATGACATCGACGTTCAACCGTTGTTATCAACCAAAACTGAACAAGACTTATTTAATGATTTCAATGCTGCTCTAACTGATTTAACAAGTTCGGCGGAAGCAGCCGCTGCAGCTGGTGCGGATACAAACGCGTTTGATGCGTTTGATTACACATCGAAACATTCAACGTTCAACTGTTTATTTGAAGATGATGAACAATCGCAACAAGTAGAACAATTAACTGAACCGTCGAATCCTTCAGGAGATTTAACTGTCAAAGGCTGTGGAATCAAACGCCCTTTATGGTGGGCTACAAATGAAAGTGTAATATCAACGAAGTTACCTTCATTACAAACAGCTTTTGATCTAAAATTATCGAAATAGTGAATAGAAAAATTGGCTTTTTGTATATTATCATACGTGTGTATGGGTCGTAGTCTTCCGTATCTTGAAATAACTTGTGTGACATACAGTATTTGCAATTATCTCTGCTTTGCGTTTCTCTCTCTCTCTGTCTTTTCGTTCCGTCCGAACTTCTCTTTTGTTTTGAAAATATGTTTTATCACTGTGATTCTAAACAGTTAGAGACAAACCGTCCATTTTTATAATCACAATGTATACGTGTGTGCGCGTGTATTTGTTTTCTTTTTCAGGATTAAAAACAAGTTTCATTTTTTTTCGCTGTTTTCTTTTCCTGTATTTGTTTCTCGTTCGCCTAACGTCGGACAAAAAAAACTGAAATAAACTGTAGTGAAATTTTATTCAATCGGACAAAAACCTACCACTGCCTTCGATAAACACTTCATTTTCATAGTTCATACGCAAAACACGAAGTGTTTATTGAAAGATTACTCATTATTTTTCAACTTTGTTCTTATTAGAGTTCACGGAATTGACAAGAAGGAAAATAAATGTGTAAATATTATCTTATTTGCTTTCTCAAATGACGAAAACTTTGTTGACCGATAGAAATCGAATCTTTGCGCGCAGAGATCTCTAATGAGACGGTATCACTTGAATGTCTTCTACTCATGTCAATTCATTTTTTTGATTGAATGGAAGAAATGATATTTATTGAAGAGCAACACTACTGGCAACTTCTTTAGTACTGCGAAACCTGGCCAAATCAAACGAAGAAAACGTTGCCAGGTTCGTGTCACGAGAATTTCATTGAAACGTACAGGGTTAGAAATAATATTTTGCCACGGGGGTATTGCTACCATTTCCAATAGTACACCTAATGAATCTTATACCAAAAGAAAGCCCGTCAAAAATGGGGTTTACTGATCATAAAAAGACGAATTATGCAAACTTTTTTATATCAAAGCACAGAATTTTGGGAAGAACTAACTTATAATAGTTTTGAAAAATGTTACTTATTAGATAAAATTCCAACTGAACTTCATACAAATTTTTTTATTTTTCGATGTTGAGTCGATATAATCAATAGTCAGTATGACGACCGTTAGCACTCTTCACTGCACGTAAGCGAGATGGGTACGAACATAGAAAAGTTTCGAATAGATCAGTGTTAGTTTCCATGTCTGCTAAAACATGTGAGAGGTGCATCTTGAGTGTTTCTTCAAGGTAGCGAGAATCTCTTGTTTCTGATAACATTTTTGTCTCCACTTCATCTTTGATGATTGATCCGATATGTTCTGCCGCATTCTGGATTCATGTCGTGAGAAATGTCGGCGGGATGAAAAAATCCCGATTTTTCGGGTTTTTCTAATCCTGATGGTATTACTTCTACGACATAGTTTGAGTGAGATTCAAAAATACGATGATTCGATACAGAATCGTCTCCTCTATTTGTTACATACCTTTAAAACAGCCCAAGAAGTGAGCCTAAGCTGTTTTTCAGAAAATATTCAATCCCGAAGAATCCCGAAAAAATCCCGATGCAGGACTCTACAGGTGAGTTTCCCGGCCAAATTTCGTTACCCCAAAATTTAATATCATTTTCTTGAAGTAAATGTTGGGTAGGATGCTCGCATGCATGGTGCTTAGTCATGAATAAAAATAACCTCATCAGGATCAATGACATTTTTCTTATTTTTTTAAGAATGGAATTACATTTTCAGTCAAAATTTTTATCACGCAAATATTAACCGGCCCATGATTCACCTTCATCTTTGATGACCCAGTGCAATTTCTTCGCAGTAAATATAACGAAGAATCCAATGCACGCTTGGTTTTTAACTATTTCAGGATAACGTTCGTCTTCTTCAATATCATCAATGCTTTTCGCCCAGATGCGATCATTTTGATAATTTGGTCGACGAACAACCCAGACCTAAAATTCATCAGATGGCGCTAGATGAAGAAAATCTTCTTCGTTCCAATCTTTAAGCTAATTACACAACCACAATCGATCGGATATACGAGTTTCCGTCTTTAATGGTTTTGAAATGACGTGAAACGGTTTTAAACCTTCTCGATGACGGTAACTATTGACTGTCCTCGGCACAACGTATTCTTTTCGCTACCACCGAACAGCTTTTTCTTCGTTGACCACTGGCTTGCGAAAGTTTTAGTTTAGGAGCAGCGTTTGAGTAATCAGCAAAACATTGATCATATGGCTTTTGCCACCAATCCGTCATAAATCAAACCGAACGATGGATTTTCTCTGCAATCCAATTTCGATTGATGAATGTCGCACCAGCATCTTGAGCTTCATGAAAAGCGATACATCTAATTCTGTCCATTATTCTTTGCTCTTCGGTATCATAAGTACCAGCTATTCGAAAGAATAATACTTAATCGACTCGCCGGAAAAATAGATTTTTACTTGAAAGGAAAGAAGATCAAAATACGCTCTTCGTTCGATAAGTTGTTCATTTTCTTCTTTTTCGTGTGCTTGTGAGAGATAAAGAACAAACAACTGAGCGCTAGAAAAGAATCGTATCTTTTGTGTCGTGATTAGGTCTTACGGTCACAAAGGAATGTGGTTTTACATTTTCCCTAAACAATATTATATTGTTTTATGTTCAACAATTAGCTTTGAAAATAATGTTACGAAAAACTCTAAATTTTGGAGTAGTGCAGAAATCGTTAACTCGATTCGAGTATTAAAACTTCCTTCGAATTCTAAAACTTATAAATCTAAAACTCGAAGCTTCGAGTTTTCAGCTATTCAACTTTTAAACTTCTAAATTTTAGAATTCGAAGCTTCGAGCTTTCGAGTATTCAAGTTTTACACTGCTACCCAACGCCCACACTCTCACTCACACCCACACCCACACCCACCGTCGTAATCAGTTAGCTAATAATTGATAATCAGTTAGTTATTTATTAATTATCGTTTAATTAGTGGATATTTAATAGCCAATTAGTTAAAAGTTGAAAACTCGAAGTTGAAAGTTTAATACTCGAACTTTGTGTTCGAGTTATACATGTATGAGTCATGGGATCGATGTTGATTTTAATGAAGACGTAAGTAATGATATCTCTGTTGTCAACACGCATACTCACCCTGCAACTGCTATCTGAAGACAAAGTAGTTTTTGTTTGATAATGACTCAAAACAAATTTCGTTTGAATGTCGCTTATCTTTTCAAATGTTTAACAAACAAGAGTTCTTTTTTATACAACACGAAAGCGAAGCGAGTACATTAGTGACGAAAAAATGGCTCGATTGGAGCGTTTACCAGCCGAATTATTTCATGAATTCTTTCACTATCTTTGGACACATGAAATTCTTCATTCATTTTCAAACTTGAATGATCGATTTGATTCAATTCTCAAATCTTATTCATCATACCGAATCAATTTTGAATCCATTCGGTCTTCTGTATATGGACGTATTTGCGAACAAATCCGACCGGAACAAGTTATCTCACTGATACTTTCCGACAAAAATGATACACCTGGCCTGGTAAAGGTCTTTTTATCCCGTGTCCATATTCAACAATTCACAAATCTTCGATTACTCTCGTTGATACGGATTAGCCACGAATCAATGTGTCAAATATTACCCGAATTATCTAAATTGAAACGATTAAACTCTCTCTCAGTTGATAATTCTGGCGGAAAGGGAAAATTTGTTGACTTTATAGATAAAGAAAAGAATGAAAACACGAAAGTTTATTCACTTTTACCCAAATCTTCTCCGGAGATAATTTTCCAATTGAAATATTTGTGTACAACGTATTCAAATGAATTAACATCGATGTATTTCCCAAATTTACTTCAATTACGACTAAATTGCTACTCATTATATGGTATCAATGCAATTCTTCAACAAGCACCACAATTGAAATTGCTCACACTTTTTCTCGATCTTTTCGATGGTTTTCAAGAGTTCCAACCCTGTTATTCATTACGAAAACTTATTATCATAATTAAATGTAAGTTCAACAGACCTTTGTTCGCACGATCTGTGTTGTACAATTCCTAGATGCACATATTTCAATAAATACAATCGGCCAATTCCTGGCAAATTTTACCAATTTAATGCATTTTGAACTGAAAGATGTATTTGGATTCGCGGATGGAAGTTTAATCGATGGATTCCGATGGCAGAGCATTGCTCAATCTTTTTCAACGTTCAGTTTCAAATTTAAGATGAAAGAGACATTAACTGAACGAAACTTAGATTCATTTCGCACACGATTCTGGATTGAAGAGAAACGTTGGTTTGTTGCTTGTCACGAACAATGTTTATTTGCTGTTCCACTTTCTGATTTCGGTCTACCATACATCCGTTTGACTTGTATGAACTCTATACATTCGACAGTACCGAATAACGCGATTCTCTATCAACCCAGACAACTAATACTTCCTTGGCGAATCCCCAACACCCAATTTCGTTTCACATCTATGCGAAATCTTGCACTTGTTTGGTTTGGCTCAATTCAAACGCTATCATCGATCATTGATTTGAGCCAAGTTCAGCATTTAACAATTCGTCCTGATTGTTTTTCTTTGTCGAAAGACATTCCGTCTTATATGCCAAAACTTCATACTTTATACTTTGACGGACATGAAGTTGATAGAGATATGCCAGACCAAAGTGATTTATCAGGTTTACAATTGAAACAAATCCACACATTACAATTTTGTATCGCGAAGGATTCGAAGAAAAGTGTTTACGATCTTCAAATGATAAGTCATTCATTTCCATCGGTTGAACATCTAAATACTTGGCCTGTTAAATCAAGAACAGATATTATTCGTATTATTGGGCTATTCAAACAATTATCAAGTATATCATTTGTTATTCATCAATCAGTGGACAAGACAACACGATCATCGGAATTCGATTCACAAGTGATTCTCAATGATATCAAACAATACCTTCATTATTCTGCAATATGTCGAACTGAATTCACATCAGTCAATGATCGTACACCTGAACTGCTTCATTTTTGGCTTCGTGAACGAGTGAGTGGACTTGAAGCATAGCGATTTCGATTCTTTGTTTTATATGCTTTCAGTTACCAAATGAAATTTTGTCGGATGATGAAAAGAGACCATCATCTGGCTTTTTATGGTATAAAATCAAAAGCTTCTTTGGCATTAGCAAGAAAACTCGAATGATATTGCCTTGTATGGGTCTTTTGCCTATTTACACAGGTCCTTTCCTTAACAAATTTTCTTCATTACCTGCTAAGGTTCTTTGTGGGGGTTCTGTGATGATAGCTTATTATATCATTTCTTGTATTATAATACATAAACTTCTTGTTAATATGAAATCGATTTGCATCTTTTATTTTGGTTTTTTTATAACCTCTCTTGGCGTATTTTATTGGCGCAACTCGACCTCTTCGAACTAACAGTTTCATATTTTCATTTATTTTTGTGATTAATTTATTCAATAAACTAATGGGAATCCTTTAAGGGGGAGTGTGTGTACGAGAATGCGTATATTTCAATATTTGCTATCTACCCAGGTCGAACAATCCTATACTCGGATCCGAAACATGAATTTCCTGGATTTTCTAAGTGTCATCATAGAACATAGCTAAAAAGATCGCTCATAAAATTTGCAACAACCGACGGGATTTTTCTAGTCGGATTCCAATGCAATTCCGTTTCCAGGAATCCGATCGGATTTTGTCGGATGGTGGGATCCGGTCAGATTCGATCGGATCCAGCATCGGATTTGTTGACCTGGGAACGTCCAACACCCACACGCTCAAGATGGCAAAATATTATTTCCAACCCTGTATTAAAATGAAGGATCGAATTGTTGAAATTCCATTATTTATTGTTACACTCAAAAGTACGCAGTGGAACGGAATGACATCGAAATATCACGTATTTCGATTAGATGATAAACAAGACCTCAGGGATATCTACATACTGACATAACTTAGTTTAGAGGAAAACCAATGTCGTCTCGGTGCTCTCTGAATATTCTCGCGATTACGACTTGTGCGCACATCATGTTTAATTAGACGTTTGCGATAAAAGTCTCAATTTAGTTTTGAACTTGCAATTACAAACGACGGAATTCTTCTAATTAATTTGAGGAAGTAACTCTTAATGTATCAGGTTGAAATGCTCCGTTTCCGCTTAAAATAACTTTTATATGGAATGTTTATTTCATGGACGACAAAAAAGACACAAGATTTTCATAACTTTTTTGTTGGACTGTGTTTCTTTTTATTGGTCTAAATTAATAATCGATTGTTTTTTTTTTTGAATACCATATGACATGTCAACCAAGAAGAAGGAGAAAAGCAACTCGATCTAAATCCATAACTACAAAGAGAAAAGTTCCATTGAAGAATTCACGGGTACAGAAAGAATAACTCGACTGAATTAATATTCTACATAAATTTCGTAATTACATCGAAAAAGGAGAGTAGGAAATTTACTTGTCACTCCACAAATGACAACGAAGAAAAAAGAAAAAAAAATATAAACCGATAAAGAATATCACTCAAATCACAAAGAAAAAAGACTTCTCAAGTCTGAAAATTGATTTACATCCTAAACTTTGTTTGGCAGGTTTTCAGAAAACCCGAATTAGCACCGCTCATATCATCTAATAGGAATACTTGGACGAAAGAATGTTGAGAACTAAGATATGAGGCAAGAAGGAATTGAGTTCCGGTCGAAGATTTGAATGAATCAGACGAATATCACCTGCCCATTCGTGACATAAAGATGTCAACATCAAACGCTGAAGATTTCCACATGCGGGCGACTGATCAAGTAATTGTTCGAATGGTTTCGTTGAACGTTGACTAGAAGAATGGCTTGTTGTAGATGATAATGTGAATTGTACTAGAAGCAAATAAGCATCCGAAGAAAGAATCGATGGTCGAGATGAACAGGTGGATGATGCTGGAAGCTTTGGTAGAAGAAGATACTCATTTGGTGAGCCAAAATCAAGAAAGTATTTCATTTCTTGTCGTTTACGTAATGGAAGTGATGAAGACGGAAGAAGATCTTTGGTTAATAGAAGGCAGTGTTTCGATTCAATTGGCGCCATTGTCTCAGATGAACTAGAAAAGGAAAATCGATGAATTATTGAACATTTTTATGGAAGATATTACATGATTGGGTCGTCTAGTTGATTTGCTGATTCTTTAAGATTATAATTCACCGGTGTGGGAAGTTTGGAAAGTTTACTGGAAAATTTTCGCATTAGAATTTGTTTCTTCTTGCTTTCGCATGGTGATATGTCGTTGGTTTTGACTTGATTCTTCTCCTTACGCATTTGGATAATCAAATCACGACATTGAGCAAATTGTGGCGAATTACGTAAACAATATGGATAACTCGAGTCCTTTAAAAACCGCTGAATACTTAAATAATACGATCGAAGTGTTTCCGGATCATATTTTAAACCTTTTCGTGTTCGAATCGACGTTAAATAATCGATTAAATACGTTCGCATTGTATCCGGATCAATATCCACCAGTGTTGTTGACGAGATATCGTAATATCGTTTTAAAAATTTACGAAAACGACGAACATCTTGACGCGTCTTCAGTTTTGTGTTGCCCAACGCTCGACGTAATGGTGTATGCATATCTTCATACAACGAAGAAGTGAACTAAAATAGAAAAGCCAGGTCTATTTATCAAATAAAAGACGCAAAAGACTACATAATTGAATTCATGAATTAATCTCGAGCATAATTCTTCTCTAAAAACACGAGTCAGCATCTCGCGTTCCCCACTGACTCATCTTTCTAAAGAAATACTTACAGATGTTAGGAATACCGCCATAGATAAAAAAAAAAAAGAAAATCACATCATGTTTTTCTTCTTCTACTTTTTGAATAAATATGAGTAACTGCTTGTCTCTTTGCGGTGAATTTAAAAAGAAATGCTATTTATATAAACATTTTTTTCCTCTCTGGCGCACTTGTTCCTTTTTTTTCCTCTTTGAAAAGAACTGCCATACTGTTGTCGTTTTTCTTTTTCAAATTACCTTCACATACACATAGTATATATGTATCAGATGACGAACAAACTTGTATTGCTTTTTTTTATGGATTACTGTCAAGTGTGATGATCAATAAGTCGGATACGATGATCGCCATACGCAAACACTTCCACCGTATGATAAGCGCGGGTGGAGAAGATAAAACTAAGACAAAAAAGCTGACTGTGTATATATTGAAGAACCCGATCTATTCGGCTCCTATATGTAACGCATTTTATAGTTCATCTATGTTCTCATCTTATCACTGGATGTCTTTTATGACATTCGCACGTAAACAGATGTCGAAAAAAAGAGGAATTTGTCTGTATCATTTTGTTGTCTTTTATGTAACGACGGTAAATCGAGATAAAACTACAGGTATGCTCTATTTTTGGCAACACGGGAGAAAAGAACGAGAATTCTATTTACTAGTGATAAACATATTTTCTCTTGAAAATACAAAGAAGAAAAAGCCTATTCAGATTACCTCATCTTCTTTATTTGAATTGGAAATTGTAATTAATCCTAAATTCGATGTTGAGCACAAAATCGGATTGTTTTTTGCTGTTGATAATTTATATTTGGTCTTCGTCGGGCATAATTCATCAATGGAATCTTTACTTGTCGACGACGACGGAGGAGTTTCTATTGTATAAAAATCTCGTACATCCATAGGTTTACTCGGTGTGTAGATCACAATACTTTCACTCATTCGTTCCTAATGTTTTAGTTATGGACACGCATCAGAAGTTAACAACACATATCAAAATAACTTTTTAACGCTGATGATATAGACGAGTAAAACAGATGGTAAAAATAGACAACAAAAGAATGACGACAACGACTTTTATGCGTGTGTGAGTGTGTGTGTGCCTTTTGTGTAGTAGTGATAGTAGTTTAGTGTGTGCGTATGCGTTTCTTTTGCTTTTTTCGCGTGCTCGACGAACGGATAGATTGTTCTTCTATACATACACATTATCGTTGGAGAAAAAAAAACGAGAGAAGAAGAAGGAAAAATAGAACAAAACATCAGCAGACGGAAAAGAAACATAACCGAGAAGAGAGAGAAAAGAACACATCTTTACGATGCAAAGAGACGAAAAAACGGACCTGTGTTGTTCGTTGTTGTCAGCGTACTATTTACTTGTTTGCAAATTAAATCAAGGTGTAATGTCATTCTATTGCCATACCCGTATGTTTATGTACGATGTTTTCGTCTTGATGATCGTCGTATGAAACTTTTATCTTTGATAATTTTCTTCGTTTTGCTTTTATGGTCGCTTTTATTGTTCTCGAACATACACATCGACATAAAATTTCTTCTCTTCTTTTTCTGATTAAATATTTAATCTATCTTTGCATATGGGAAAGAATACAAAAATATAGAATTTGCCCAACATCAACACTTGTGTAGTTCGAGAGGTACTCGATGTTTTTTCATTACTCGAAGATGATTAATTGTCGATGATAACATTTTCCTTGATGCTTATCGAAGACGGAATATATTGAAAATACTCAGTTCCCTATGAAAACGTGTGTTTCAAATTTTTATTTTAGACTGAAATAATCGAGATGCGCAATTAAATGAACTTCATTTTGATGACTTCTGTCTCTGAATGTTCTTATTTTTAGACGAGATAGAAAAAAAAGACGTAAATTAGAATATATGCTTATAAATATGCGTACTTTCAACAAGAAGAAGACAAAGATGAAATACTGTAAGAGTGTAAACGTGATTGTATAACTGTAGAACATTTCAAGAATATTTTTAGTCATTTCATTTAATTATTCAAGATTATATCCGATACAAAGGACGATGTGATACTTGTACATTCTGTCAGACAGTTTTCTATCTGAAAAATGTATTACTGTATATGATCGTGGTATACAGGTCAAAGCGATGCGTGTTTTTGCTGTCAAGGAAAAAAAATCAAAGCTAACAAAGGCGGAAAAGATGAGTAATTGTATTGTAAAACATGAATACGTGCGTTGTGGATCACTGGAAGCTTCAATTAGCCGACAAACAGTAGTGTAAAACCGAGAGATGTATTATAGGAAAAAAACCGTGCGTCGATATTACTAAATTTACTGATGAAGATTTTCAAGATAAATTCCAAAATCTATGTTAGAAAATGACGTTGATGGCATTTACGTGTGCCTTGTTGGTCGTTAACAATAGATAACGTTTTAAAAAGAGATGTTTTTGCTAATCATTTTGTGAAAGTGCTCAAAATGTTATCGATGGAATTATGATCATAGGTGTTCGAACAACATCTCGGAGAGAAGCAGCCGATTCTATGCCCTTAAAATTAGCAGAATCACAACGAAATCAATAGAATCTTAGAATTCTGCAAGAGCAGCTCCCTCCTCCAATAAACACTGCGCATATAATCTATGAAGGTCGTGATCGTTTCTTATAGTGCATTTTAAGGAGTTATGCGTAGTTTCATCTCAGAATGGAATTACTTTTGACGCAACGGAAAGTAATCCGAAATGGAGATTATTACAGAAAACAAACATAACACTAGAATATATTGTTAGTAAACCACGATCATTGCGGAGAAATATCACACGTATCATTTTGCTTAGAATCAACTGTTGCCCTTTTGGCTTTGTCTTTATTTAATTAATCTTAATACAGTATTTCCACAAAATTCTGATTCTTCTAAAACGTCTCTCTCTCACATCATCATCCTATGTGAAAATCAATCTGTTTTAAATCTTTGTGAACATTAGGGAAAAGCAAGGCAATCTATACAGCAAAGTCTATATGTACAGAAACGATTTTTAGTTTTGTAAATAGTCTCTTTTAATGAAAACCAGAAATATATTCTACGATCACATGTGTTTATTGAAGATTTTCTACTTGAGAAAACTTGAATCTGTACTTCATTTGTCTAGAAAATCTGTTTCGTTCAGAGAGAACTAATAGTAATCAAGTGATAAAAGAATGAACGTCTTGGAAAATATAAGAATTAGCAAAGAGAAATCCAAAAAGAGGAAAAGTGAGTTCTTAGAAATAAAGTTCTTCAGGTGTTATACGAAGTACATGAAGTCTCGCTTTTCCCTCCTTAGAGATACCGTCAGATTTATTAGAAATATTTCTTATGAAAATTTTCATATCCAATTATCAGAATCAACTGAGAAGATGGTGAAACATTTCTTCTTTAGACGTGCGTACTACAAGTAATCATCAGATTCCATTGAAAATTCGATCAATGTTGATATATTAGCTTTCAATATGAACATTTCTCATATTTTTCGAAGGAAACGAAATGTCGCCCAAGATTCAAAAAGTTAAATTGATACTGTTCTCCACGGTATAACTTGTGCACTGGTCGATTACTTCGTTTATTTCTTGGTAGTGAAAGATATGAATGAAATCATTCTCTCAACTGACATGAAAAAAAGATCAAAGTTTTCAATTTTGCTTCCGAAAATAATCCTTATGTGAACTGCAAAACCTCGTACATTATTTTAGACTAAGTTAGCAGAAAAGTCTCTAATGCTTGAAGAAAATGTCTGTGCATAAAATCATGGGAAATAGCGGTAAAACAACGGTTGAGAAGCATGAAATGATATCCTCCATGAAACGAGTAGCCGAAAAAAAAATGAAGTCATGAGCTAGTGACGGAGGGTTGTCTTCATGTTTTTTATAAGATAACCGTCTCTATTCGGACCTCATACATCAATGCAACAGATGCATTGCTTATAATGAAATAAACTTGATGTGGTGCAATAATAACCATCATCCTTCGTTAATGACTCATCGGTTACTCAATGCACGTCAAACGACATGTCTTTTAATATTTTATTTAAGACAAAGAGAGAAAGAAAAACTTTTCCAAATGATGAAAAATAAAAAGATCAGCTGGTATCGTCTTACACACAGCGATTGGGTTTAAATGCAACGTCTCATTTATGCTTACTTAGCATTCTTCGGTGCGACATAAAAACCTTGTTGATTTTGAAGAGCATTTCGATCGACGGGGATCAACTGGTAAACATTGACACATTGAACTTGAACTAAAAATGTCGATAGTTTCCTCTCGGTTCCCGTTGCAGTTGACGAATACCGACTTGAACGTGTTTCTTTGTTTGATCGAGGTTGAAAATGTGTCTTATATGAAATCGTTTGAGATCTCTTCACACTGGAATTTGAGGGTGGAACACTTTCAAAAATCTCTTTGATTTCATCATAATTAAACTGATATTCAGTCTCCATCGTTTTCGATTGTTTGTTTTCTACTATGATAAACATGTTTATCACTCGACATATATATTCGTCAATGTGTGAACATCACAGTCAGACGCACACGAAAATTAGACTATTAAACGAATTATTCAATTGTCTTTTTCATCAACGACGCGTCAGCTATGCACATCTCTTCGACGTCATTATGTTCGTTGACTTTCTTCTATTGGATGTTATTTGTCAAACAATACAGGGTATAATAGAATTTTATATCATTGTTAGTTTTGCATTTATTCTGACCGAATCAGAACTAGAAAACTTCGGGAATGATAGGCGTTGTGGCGCAAGTAAAACAATCTGTGGAACGTCGACAAAGCTCAGATGAAGTTCGGATCAAAAAAGAAAATATTGGCCTTGAAGATTATCAGCATCATTTATTCAATAATCAAAATAAACGTGATAGTTATTGTGAAGATTTAAACAAAATCAAAGTTCGATTCGATAAATCAATACCGAACATGCAGCAAATTATTCAAACGGATATGAAACGAATAAATATAAATAAACTTTATGATCGTCAACTGAGAGAAACTGTACATGGAACAAGAGGATTAGATTGGCAGCATAAGTAAGAGAAATTATTATTTGTTTTGCGAGAAAATCTTTTTAAACCTTAGAGAGCAATTAAAACGATTCAAAAATGACGAGCGTGATATTCGTCGTGAATTACTTCGTCTAAATTATGATTTAGCAAAAATTTCTTTTTCATCTTATCTAAATGGAAGTTTGAATAAAAATCCGTTGCATCATTCAACAAAAAAAACAAAAGCGGTTCTTAAGCGTTCATTATTAATCACTGATCGCCGAGTGTCAATCAATTTCTCGACGCCAACAAATCAAACACAATCATCATCATCTGGAAATGAATCATCGTCGAGGATAAGACAAAAACAATTCCATCGACAAGAAATCAAAGAATTTTTTGCGTAACGAACATTGGTTTATTTTAAAGCAGAAAACGGAAACATACATTAAGTTCGTTTGAACACTGTTCCTTGTTTTTTCTTAACATTACTGACAAAACGGTATGCATACGAGATATGTTAGTATGTTCGTGGGTCGAGTTCCGCATGATGATTGGCTTGATTTCGACGAGAAACAGGACTTGGAGTACGACGACGACCATGGGCGGAGTGAGTGACAGGGTGATGATGATGAGGAGGAGGAGGTGGTTGACGTCTTTGATAAGGCGGTAACTGTTGCTGAGGTGCATTTGTTGAAGGTGGAATTTGAAGAAGAGCAACAGGCATTGATGACTGAGCAACACTGAGCTAAGTTGTTGTAAAGTGCCTTTTAAGAATCGTAATTCATTTGATAAAGTTCGTACAGCATTATCCGACGAAATCAATGTTCGATTGGTTTCATCATCGACAGAATGCATTTTATCTTGTAAAGAAGAGATTTTAAATGCTTGTTTATCTCGGGCATTTTCTAATCGACTAATATCTTCTAGAAGACGACGAACTTCCTTTTCTCGTTCGATCAATCGATTCTTGAGCAACTTTCTCTAGCTAAAGAGAAATCAATCGTTATTTGATTCGAGATTTGAATAAGACAAACCTGATCAACAGAAATGTTTAACCATGGATAGATCACTGCGAAAGAAAGATCAGATGCTACTGATTTTCCACACAATATGTTGTGTTCGATAATATTGTATTGAAATAAAGAAATACCTAAAGGAAAAATATACATCGTGATGTGCTCTTTTTCGCAAAGCAAAGCTACTCATTGTAGTGAAAGTCCGGTAAAGAGGAATTTTATTTAATTCTAATTTTGAGATTAATCTACATTAGTTTTTATGACTTTATCTCATGGAACATACCAGATGTTGTTCGTGCATTTTGTTGATGGTCATATACAATGCATTGTGATAATTTTCAAATTTAGATAACAGAATTAGGCGTTTCTTGAAACTAAAAGACAGAAAATCGACGTGAATTTAGTATCATAAAATAAGTTTACGTACAATAAATCTACGATAGAATAAAGAGGCAATCGTTTCGCTTTTTCATTTTTGAATAAAACTGAAATTAACTCCGATCGGGCAACACCAAATCCAGATAGAACAGTACATTTGATTGCATCAGTTAACAGATGTAAAGATTTTTGTTCCTCGATCATTGGTGACATCGATAAGATATAATAACAACGTACAGCTTGAATATAACTGTTCTTATGATCAAATGCTATTGCCATAAATTTCTGCATGGAAGCAAAAGAAAGAAATGCGAAATTTTATCAAGAACTTCATGTTGTTAATTGTACATACTCGTAATTTCAAATCAACATCATTACTTATGTTAATAATCTTCTTTGTTCTCATCAATTCACGTATTTCAAATAATGTCTTCTCAGCTGAATCATAATTAGCACTTTTGATATGATTCTGAATGGCTTCTAAGTATGAATCAAGCTTGACATCAGTATCAGAGGACATTCTATAAAATACAAAACAATACGATACATGTCAGATGCATCTATTGATAAAATCATACCTACCCAGGTCGATCATTCCAGCGACCGGATCCGTTGAGATCTGAATCGGTTCCGGTACAGCCCTTCTCGATTCCGGCACAGTTTTCGCCGATTCCAGAAAGTTCCGACAGGTTCCTTGCCGCCGGAATTGCACAGGAAATAGTCGGAAAACGAACCTAACCGGTCGGAACCGACCGTGCCATAATAACCTGGGTATCTATTTCTGGAAGTTCATATGGACAATCAGTAACAATATTTAGTTCAGCTTCGTTTTTTACTTGTTCAACATTTAAATACCCGTCCGTTGTATCACTTTCGCCTTCTGGACTATTCATTATTTCCAACACACGTGGAATTGTCAAACAAAAATTTTAATCTATAACAGTAAAGTCAACGCAGCGGCGTTACGTACTTCCAAAAATGTTCAAACGTAACGTATTTGAATTGAAAACTGAACATCTCTCAGGGTCCGATTACGTATCAAAGAAGAAAGAAAAGAATCCTTATGCAGAAGTGGAAGAAACAACCGGCCGGCCAATGAGGTGTAGGACGAGAATACGTATACACAACTATTCGATTATAGATGGCGATCCGTACTATGTTCGAGACGAAAATCAGACAGATACTTTCATGGAAGAAAATAAGTCCCACTCATACTTGACCTTACTCAACATAATTGGTGTGCGAAAAGTTAGCTGGTACATATGATTGAATGATGATGTTAATTTATCAATGATGAAATATAATGACTAATAAATAAAGAATTGTTATTAGTAAATATATATCTAAGAATACTTCAGTCCGAACCGGAATTAAATAAGAAAATTTTGATTATTAAGGTTGGCGACAGGCAAAAGTGGAGCAAAATTTTTTTTGTTGAATTTTTTATGTGATATGATGCAGTTTGATGCGCTGAATCCGAATATGTATAATTTAGTGACATAGAAAGTCGTCTACCAGGAGAAACCTTCAAAATACTACAAAAACCGAGGTTTTCGAAAAATCAGGATTTTCACTCGAAATTTGACAGTAGGGTTTTCAAAAAGTATGTTATACCTTTGGAAGTTTATTCTCCTGATTCAGCATCAAAAACTGATTCTAGGACACTACTTTTTAGCGGTTCGACTCATGTCTTTGTCATTGAGAAAAGTCAGTTTTGTTAATATGAGAACGAATTGAGTGCCTCTCGTTAAAAATGCATCAACTCATTTTCTAGTAAAGATATACATTTTTTTCTTTCATCGTTCGACTTCCTAGATGCCCTAGATATAATCTACGTATCCTTTTTCCTTAATCCACTTTCATTCCCAAGATTTCGTCATTTTTTCCACGTGTTCTATCGGAATTTTTTTTCTTTGATTTTTAACACTATTTTCGCTTAAATTTCTTCTTTTTGAACAACTTATATGTTTATAAAGATCAAGATCTTTCTAATAACTATTTCTTTTGAATATTTATTGAAATATCTCTAAGATGAACAGACAGTCTGAGTTTATTTTCGTTCTGCTTGGAGTTCTTAATGTGGCGCGTGCTCTATTGGAATGATATGTGCAGGAAAATTTCACTTCACTATACGCCTATTTGGTAGCCATTGATAAGTGTAGTCGGTAGGACAAGATCGAAAATAAGTATTAGGGGAAAAACTAGAAAATCACTGTCAAGTTTTTTACATTCTATCCTCGCAAAATCTTTCGGATCTCGCAACTTCACTCTTTCTGGTTATGCCTAAAAAATCGAAAAGAAGATCTCAATCAACCGCATCTATACAAATTCTTTGGGCTAAGAAAAATGTTGATGAATTAGATGATGCTTTTGCTCCGTATATCCCGACCGACCTGCATTACTCAAATGAAAAGTAATAAAGAAAAGAATTGTTTAAAGAACAAAATGAACGTTTTCGATATTGGAAACTTATTTGAGGCATTGTCGGAAGAGACTTCCATACGGCCGCTATCTGTATTAGTTTATTTATCATTGGCTTATTTCGGGATACCTTGGCGAGATATTGATTTATTTTTAAAGTGATCGGTGGGCTTACCGCAAAGGCTTGCAACAAATGGAGTACAAATATAATCGAACAAGACTTAGAAGAATTTCTGCAAGACAACAGAGGTGGTAAACACACCCATACCCTCACCCTCTTAATCTATTGTTCTTATGTCTAGATTTCAAAATTGGAAACACTTGCTATTGACTACGGTGTAACAATAACTTTCTCGCCGAAATTTCACTACGAGTTGAATAGAATAGAAGAGCTATGGGCGCATTTGAAGCAGCATATTAGACGTCGAGCGGATCAAACCTTTCCTTCAATGCTCAAGTTAGTTAAAAAATCCAGACCAAATTTTATTGAGAAAAATGCCTCTCTTAAACTTATCAGACGATTCTGGTGTACTTTGATCGCATATGAACGTGGTGACTCATATGAAGATGTACTAAAATGTATTTCAGTTCCATGTGCAAAACTAACGTGATTTCACATCCTCAAATCACTAATACCAGGCTAGATGACTGATTTTGTTGTTTACCCTATCTGTTCACCTTAAGGATATTTCGATAAGTATTTGAAAGAAATAGTCATTAGAAAGATCTTTATCATTATAAACATATAAGTTGCTCAAAAAGAAGAAATTTAAGCGAAAATAGTGTTAAAAATCAAAGAAAAAAAATTCCGATAGAACACGTTGAAAAAACGATGAAATCATGGGAATGAAAGTGGATTAAGGAAAAAGGATACGTAGATTATATCTAGGGCATCTAGGAAGTCGAACGATGAAAGAAAAAAATGTATATCTTTACTAGAAAATGAGTTGATGCATTTTTAACGAGAGGCACTCAATTCGTTCTCATATTAACAAAACTGACTTTTCTCAATGGCAAAGACATGAGTCGAACCGCTAAAAAGTAGTGTCCTAGAATCAGTTTTTGATGCTGAATCAGGAGCAGAAACTTCCAAAGGTATAACATACTTTTTGAAAGCCCTACTGTCAAATTTCGAGTGGAAATCCTGATTTTTCGAAAACCTCGGTTTTTGTAGTATTTTGAAGATTTCTCATGGAAGACGACTTTCTATGTCACTAAATTATACATATTCGGATTCAGCGCATCAAGCTGCATCATATCACATAAAAAATTCAACAAAAAAAAAATTTGCTCCACTTTTGCCTGTCGCCAACCTTATGTTTTGATTGGATAAGTTTTCACTATTCGTCTGAATCGGATTCACTATCATTGTCTGAATATCGCACGTGAATCTGAAATGGATTTTCCAGTTGCTGAATTCGTTCATTGAACCATGATGGCCGTTCATCTACGATACGAACCGGAATTCGATAAATGTTCTGTGCATGACGAAAACACCAGAGACGACGATTATTTAACGACCAACTATTTCCGCTTCGTGTGCGCACCACGTTAATCATTGGTATATCGCTAACGCTGAGTACCCTGTTATTCAGATCGTCACGTACATCATGTATACTTTCACCGTTCGAAAAACGGTCTAAATAAAAGAGAAAATATAACTGTACTTATGACAAAATCAACGTACGACTAATGGATGTTTGTGTATAACGTATATCTTTTGGATCCATATAAATTACATCATCTTCATCATCATCATTATTCATATCATTATCAAAATCATCGTTAACTTGCCATTCAAAACTACCATTATCTTTAACCATGAAATAGTTAGTATGATCCATCGGATCTAATACAAGATACTTGGTTTTGTTCAACTGTCTAACTATGTACGAAGGTAAGTCAGGCGACCAACGAGCGGTCTCGTCTTGAAACGATACCCACCATGTATCATTCGGACCAAATGCTATATCTGAAACCTTCGGTAAAGATTTTTGGCGGCCATTTAATTTGTTATGAAAATCGAATGGAACGCTTTCCCACGAACATTTCAAAGCATCATCTTGTATTACATATCCGTTATTACTATTAAACCAAACCTTTATCACGAAAGAGATTTAAAAATAAACGCTACAACGCGTCAAGCGGTTTTCTTACTTTGTATGGTAAACTTGTGGAGCGCTCCAATTCATGTTCTAATCCATCATATTCTACATTATAACCCACGTCACCGTTACTAAATCTAAATCAAGCAAGGAGTATAATCATCGATGAAAAATAATTAAGTTCTTTGTACATTTTGAAACTATCTGACCGTATCATCAAAGATTTAAACTGGAAAACTGATAAATACGCAGTGAACACAAGAGAGCACTAGCATTTCTCGAGATTCATTCTACTCTGAGAAAAGAGTAACTTTTCATAATTACCTTAGAAACCATTGATCATCTGGTCCAAGCGTTAAAAATTCAATAGCAGATTTCTTTCGTCGCACCGTGTTTATCAACTTATTTGATAAACCTTGATGCAACCATGAACCATCATCAAATAATATAGCATAAGACGAGTCGTACAGAGCAACACAAGTAGGATTGGGAGATTCTGCCATTTTAGAGCAATGCAATATAATGTTCGATAAATTTCTAGAATTATAAAAATGAAAATGTAAACATAGCATTCATTCATTAACTCTATGTTAATTCTCAAAAGAAAATCATTCGTTCTTCAAACGATTTATTGCATGCAGTCGTCCTTACAGCAATCAGTGGGAAAAAACCCAGTGAGACGAAAACTACAAACAAATGTCGCTGTCGAATAAGACATAGTCAAGATGTCACTGCAGATCTTAAGTAACCTTTCGAAAGGAATGTGACGATTAATAGTATTACATCTTCGCATTCATTTATATTCTCGATTTGAACGATCAAAGATGATTTTGAAAATTCATGATGGCCTTATTAGCATCACAACTTTTTTCAAAAGAATTAAATTGTTTGTAAATCGTGATATGATCACTGATGTTTGATCTCAAGATCATGACGGATAATTCTTCGTCATTAAAGGCGCCATTATTCGGTGTTCTATTTCCACGATAAGGGTCTGTATTTGAAGTGATAGCGATCTGAAGAGAATTGATAACGAAACATAAATAACGCAAAACAAATTCATCATCTTTTACATAAAGCGACGCAGTTAGACGTAAAAAATGCTTATGAAGATGAGGATAAAGTCGCATCTTCTTCATATCCGCACACTGGTCTGAACTCCGATAATCCTTCGTATTTCGGTAAGAATATACTTTTTCGCTGAAGCTTTGTTCAATTCGAACAGTATCGTATTTATGATACAAAAATCAAATTTTTGTAGAACATTTTTCATTATAAATAGTTTCTAGCATAGTCATTTATTGACAATATAGTAATCATTCGAATTCTCGTCACGCATGGGGGCCATTATTTCCTTCTCGATCAATTACCGATGGAAATATTGTATTATGCATTTATATACTTCATGGCGCATGAGATTCGATTTAGTTTTTCTTGTATTAGTAATTATCTCAGCGCTATGTTTTATGGAACTACACAAATTGCCAAGTCAATTTCCGATCGATCAAGAAGGATGATTTTGATTCGATATGTGAACATATTCGACCAGAACAGATTACTACATTGATACTTTCCGATGAAAGAGACTCACCTGCTCAACCCAAACTATTCTTTTCCCAGATTCAACTTGAACAGTTTACTCGTTTACAACACTTGGCATTGATTGACATGGAATCTGAATCGTTGAAAAGGATTTTTCTGAACATGGACAAATTGTATTGCTTACATTCGCTTACATTTCTTAATTCAAACATTGAACATAGATGGGAGAATCCAAGATTTGCACAAGAAAGTTTGACAAAAGTAGCACATCGCTTCAATTGAATTCATCTAACAGTAAATGGAAACTTTCTCCTATCCGTTCCTTTTCCCTGCCTTCAGTATTTGAGAGTCGACACATGTCTTGCACATGATTTCAAGACGTTGTTTCAACATTCAACTTAACTTCGGTCACATTCCGTCGATCTATATATGCTTCAAGTAAATTTTAATTGATTCAACTTCACTTAAAATATCACCGTAAATGAATGTGAATTTTAAAAACTTTCCTCATATTATTATCATTTGTAAACGGAGGCATATCAATAAGTCGTTTCATTTCAAATTCAATTCAGATTAGACACTGAACAAGGAGATTTTCGATTCATTTTGTACTCCATTCTGGCTTGACGAATAGCATTGGTTCATCGGATATCGCGCTCGTTGTGTGTTTTTCATCCCTCATTGTACTCCTGAACTCCTTGACATGTCAAAAAATACAACCTTTCATACAACGTCATCGGAGTCAACATTATTATATTGTCATGTGAATACCATCACATGGGGACAACATGAGTTCAATTTGGATCATTATTTTACTGATACCAAAACACTTCATATGAAATCGCCTGTACCATTTGAGGTCCTGACATCGAAAATTGATCTCGATCAAGTAATGCATTTATCTGTTATGAATGTAAATGATATATTAACATATATACCCTTACAAACTACAATGCCTCAACTCCGTAGATTATCGATTCTACTTTTTGTGTATTCAAGTACGGTTAAATCAGTATGACGCTTTCGATTTGAACAAATTCACAAATTAGCAATAAAGATTGGAGGTGAATTTAGTGAATATCTAACTGAAGAATTAATTCAAATTTTCCCAAATCTTCAATATTTACAATGTACGTCTGAAATCAACGCTGAAGAAATCATGTACCATTGTATCAATGGATTCAGACATTTGGAGAATGCGTCGTTTTCGTTTTCACCAGTTGTCCAACAAGATAAACGTATTATCGGCATTATTTTGGATACCACTGTTTATCTTTCTTTGCAAAATGGAAAGTAAAAATTTGTCTCTTTCTTATCTTATTTGCTGTTGTTACATTTCTGCTTATTTTTATTATTGCTTTGAAAGGCCTCAAGGAGAAGAATTTTCAAGGTTGTTCTATATGTTGGAGTGTTGGCGTCGATATGTTCTGTACTGTGATTGTTCTTGCCTGTTGTATTACAAATATGATGCATGAGCCAAAGAGCGATTCCAATCATGGCAGGCGTTCCAGTTACATGGAAAGAGCCCACGAGCACTGGGAGGATTGGGGCTAGGAATCAGTCAAACTATTCTATCGGTTATATCTATTACGGACGAAATAAATTCACAGCAAATAGAACTTGGCATTGAATGTATGTCTTACGGTGTGGATGAGGACGCTTTCTCTCTATCACATCGTTATGCAGCCACTCACTAATACATATAAATCCGCAATATGTAACATTGACTATTGTTGTTGAACACCTCTATCCCATTTGTGAGTATTGCACAATTGTATTTATTTCTGGATAATTCTTTAATGAATTTTGAATGTGCTGCACTTGATGATAATCCATTCCGTTGAATATATAGTCCATCTTGGTAAATAACTATGCACAGAAGTAAATGTGTGATATCAGAAATGGATGAGAGTGCTACTTTATTTTGTTGTAGAACATTAACAAAACGTTCGATTCCAGCCGATATTCAATGTAGTTAGTGTCTATAGGAAGCGCAGAATAAATAGTGTCGGAGAGGAGAGGAGAGGATTGAAAATGTCACTTGATTTTCTTGTAAAGCATTTGCAAATGACGTGCTTCTTGGTCAAGGGTAGTGAGCGAGTAATCTCAGAAGAGATTGAGAATAGCACTAGCGAGATATTGTGCACCGCGGTTCTGTATTTTATTTATAATGAGAACTAGTATAGACAGTGTCTGTGCAATGCAGTGTATGAACAGTAGAATGGAAGAGAGTGCGGATATCACTTCATTTTGTAGCAAAGTATTGTACTTCTTCCATGGATATGTAGATGAAAATGAGGGAGAGTGTAGTGAGTGTCTATGTGAAGTAGTAAATGGATAATTCGTGAATATAGAGTAAGAGTACTACTTCGTTTTGTTGCAGAGCAATGGCAAGACGCTGTATTCCAAAGCCATCTTCTTTACACGAGAGATCCAATGTAGTCAATGTCTACACGAGATAGATAGCACCTAAACTTAGATAAATAGGGAGTGATGGAAGAATTGCGCGCCTGTTTTCTTTGTCATTATTTTCGAGCTATTTGAATTGAGATTTTTTCTTCCTTATAGAAATGTACTGAACAAAAAAGTAGTTCACCTGGTATCGATGGTAGCTGCTGAGAATTATATTAAGACGAACACAAATACTTTGTGCTGAACATATCATAGGCCAATCATCAAGATAGTCGAAAATTCGATAAACAAGCTCCACCGGCAATGTGGAAGGCGAGAGAACAGTTGTGTCAGACATGGTCAACATTTATTTTAAATATTTACGTTCTTATTAAATCAAATATATGATTGTGCAAATATTTGCCCGGATAAAGGAATGACTAATAGTTACACATAAGACTGACCTTAACATTCACCACTATAGGACATTTCCATTGGCTGAGTTAGGATACAGATTAAAATATTTTCTCTCTAGTCCAAGCGCAACATCTAGTCGCTATGATACTGTTTATTGGGATATTATCCTGCCAAAATCAGACCCAGCAACGCTAAATACAGACGTCCGTATGGTTCTTCTTGAGTTTATCAGTGACGCAATTAACATTAATAAAACGCATATTGAAAGTCCGTCCATTATAATATTCCAACAGCTAACCTTCAATTAACTGCGGTATGGTAGATTTACGAACGACAATCGGCGCTTTTGTCAAAAAATCAACGTCGTGTGAAGATATGAATGCGTAACATCAAAAGAAGTACTTTTCCTTTCACTATCTAACCCTGTTGTCCGATCTATAAATAATGAAGACGAAAGGTGTAACGTCCGCGTCAGCATGAAAAATAAGATAATTATTATTTTTCTTTATAAAAATTCTGCTCATCTCGCAATTATATACTCTAACAACAGAAAAATTCGCTACAACTATTCGAGTATTCAAAATATGAGTTGGTGAATGTCTATATTTGCAATAGTATCATAAAAATTCTTCCGAACGCCTACTTCGCATTGACCTAAGAATGCTTCCTAGTGGCACAGATTTGAATCTTTTTATTTCAATTACTCTTCGCTCAGTTCTTGTTGTAAATAACAATAAATCATTGTTAATTGATAATCAATTATTTAATATTTAATAATAAGTTAAAATTATCATCAGATTTGAATTCCTCGACCTCAATTACCTTTCAGTCAAACTTTATTTCGCACTAATTATAGTATGCAATAATGATACGAACGAGCGAACAAACGGAAGGGCGGACGGACGGAAGGAAGGCCAAGCATCAACTTCATTTTTTGTGATATCAGCTCGACGCATATCTCTTCTTTCAGTAGAGGGAACAATAGAATAATATAGATGTAGATATCATCCATATATAACATAAAGAAAAGAGTATGAGAGTTAGTTTCATCTCTGAATACACCATTCTCACTCACACTCTTGTACCTAAAAATATGAGAATGTGAGTTCTACACCTTAGTCCCAAAGGGCTTGTGATAATAAGCTTTTTTTCACAAAAGTCCACAATCGCAAGATGTGCTGAAGGACGCTCCTGACTAAACTATGAATAGTTTATCAAAGAACTGCTTTCGATTGTCGTAACGAGACAAAAATACAACAACTGTATGATGACGATGATTACTTAACAGAAACATCAATTAGTGCAATATTTGCACATTTAATGTCGCTTTGTCAAGTACGATGTATAATTTGAGAAAGAGCAAATAAAAACAAATATATTGGTATGTTAAAAAGAACAATCAATAGAGAGACGTACGTAACAAATGAATAAAATACAATCGTAAAGTACATCAAATTGTCTTTTCAAACGCACACATACGACCATTGATCATTAGATGAAGATCGAAATAGAGACACTCCTTATTTATAAGTCACTCTTTCAGCTTGATGTTGATACGATTGATCGATTAAACAGCCGATATACTACATTGGCATTGATCGGTTGTTTCTTGATTATATTGGGAAAAATTTATGTAGGAAATCCAATCAATTGTTGGGGACCAAGTAAGGTTTGAAAATCATACATATTTCCCATTCGATAGTTGCTCGTTCTTCATCTACTATAGCGCAATTTCAGAGTGTTCATTTTACTTATGTTAATAGTATTTGTTGGCTCAAGGGAACTTATTATTTACCAACTAAGGAAAGTATGTTTTGTCGCATTACTAGTCGTCATTCATCATGACTGTTGTTGTTTTAGTTGAAATTCCTGATCGATCCGTACCACGAATGTATCACGTGTAAGTGAGATAGCTGATCCAAAATTAGTTCATCATATTCTCATGTTATCAATATCAATCTAGATCTTATTACCAGTGGACGACAATAGCTCTTTTGCTGATGGCTTTTCTATTCACATTACCAGGTCATACGTGGCAAACATTTTCATCTCAAAGAGGTGTAAATTTGAAAAATTTGGTCAAAATGGTAAAAGAAAATCGTCATAGCAGAAAGGAACTCGATTACGTTCTTCGATTGATCAAAGCACAACTGGATATAACTAGAATTAAACGTTCACGTACTCTTTCTCATCTAAAATGTCGAGTAGTAAATCCTATGGGTCGGCTAACATTGTTATTATTCATAGTCAAGTTTTTTTATATCATGAATACACTGGGTCAACTACTATTTTTAATCAACTTTCTTTCTTTACGACGTACTGATCTTAATGGTAATATTATTGGTCGACTATTCGGAGACCGAATGTATACCTACGAGTCTGCTCGATTTCCGCATGTTGTTATATGTGATTTTATGATTCGCGAATTAGGCTCCAATCAACATTGGTATGCTGTTCAATGCAATTTGCCAATTAATATTTACAATGAAATGATCTTCTCTGTACTCGTAATATGGTTGATTATTCTGAGCATTGCAAATATATTTTCTATTATTTTCTGGATTTTTTTATTGACAAAGAAGAATCGAAAACGATTCATTATTCAATGCTTGCAAATGTATGAAAGTGTGGAAACAAAAATGATGATCAATAAGAAGAGCTTGACAGAAAGTCATTTTATTGACTATATAGGTTTAGATGGCTTTGTTATTCTACGCGTTATTGGACAGAATATTAATGAACTCTGCATGATTGAAACTATGAGTTATCTCTATAAACATTATAAAGGAAATCTTGGTGACGTTAACGATCAGTCTGAAGACCATATTGTGTAGGTATTAATGGTAAACTTTCGAAACGAAAAATTTAGAAAATGAAATCTGAAAAAAAAAACAATTTTCTGTATAAAATCAAACAAAACATCGTAAGAACCAAGAAATAATCAAGTTCTGATACTCATCTTCATCTTTACTTGACTTTAAATTATTATCACTCTCATCTCTTATAATTTCCCATTAATTCTTTCGTTTATTTAATTGAAAAGTATTGAACTTCTTGATCATTTTCTAGTTAATGCTTGTTTCTCATCATCATTTTCTTATAAATTGAATTAAATTCTTTATTTGATTATTGTAACTTTTACAATTTTATCGCATACGTCAACTCATGACTTATGTGATGCTGTTATTCATATCGAAAGTCCGTTCGTTTAAACATTTGAAGAATCTTTAGTTAACCGCAGATATTTTTGAATACTGAAAAATATTGCATGCAACAAAATGGTAGAAAAAAATCAATGGAATCAAAGAAGAAAAAGAAAAGCCGATTTTTACGAACGATAATTGGCTCTTTTGTCAAAAAATCAACGCCACATGAAGATATGAATGTATAACATCAAAAGAAGTACTTTTCCTTTCACTATCTAACCCTGTCGTCCGATCTATAAATAATGAAGATGAAAGGTGTAACGTCCGCGTCAGCATGAAAAATAAGATAATTATTATTTTTCTTTATAAAAATTCTGCTCATCTCGCAATTATATACTCTAACAAGAGAAAATGTTACTACAACTATTCGAGTATTCGAAGTATGAGTTGGTGAATGTCTATATTTGCAATAGTATCATAAAAATTCTTCCGAACGCCTACTTCACATCGATGCAAGAGCTCACTTTGATGACAAGAACCTTATAAGATCAGCAAGTTGCAGTAAGACAAAAATTATTTGTTTTCCGATATTTTCCTCACAGATTGTTCCTAAAAGGAACATATAGTCTCTTTTAAAAGTGATTCACTGCTCGTTTGAGTGTTGAAACAGCGTAGAGAGAATTTAATCACGTCGTACTATTCACAGTTGGTAAGACCACGAATCTGATTGTTTCAAATATTCTATCTGATACTACAGTAATTTTGAACTAGTTGAGTATTTGATGAGCATCAGTATAGTCTGGAGAATTTTTTTCCTTCTGAAATATTTATAGAATAATTAAAACTAACTTCCTATCGTTAAGATATTTTCCAGGCAGATGATTTTATCTACGACTTATACAATTTTGTTATTTTTTAAGCACATCAGAACCGAGTGTAGATGTTTATAATAACACAAAATTATGAATGACAAAATTGGTAGTTATTCTTTATGAATAACGCTCAGAAAATGTCACATACTTCTTGTCTATATAGAATGACACTAGAATGTTACCCAATGCAACTCTTTTTTAAAAAACTTACATAGTGCCAATTTGCGTATGTCTGCTCGTAGAGAAGAGAAATATAGACATTCCATACCCCACAGTTCCAAATCAGGAAAATGTACAACTTCGCCGTTTTTTCATTATAGAATCTTCTTGCGCACAACTCAGTCTTTTTGATTATGTCGATAATCAATAATACAACAACAGCAATCGTTCTTTTTGTTCCGATTAGACGACCTGTTCAGTTCAGCATCTTATTAATAATTGCAATCGTTTCTTTGCCATGTTCTATTTTTGTTCTTCATCATTTCTTTTCAAGCAAAACACTTTATCGCGCTGTTAACAATCATATTATCATTCTTTTACTCATAAGTAATTGTCTTCAAACTCTAACAGATATACCAGGACAACTAAGCTACTATCTCTTAGGTACAAACTGGCCACTGACGCTCAGTTATTGTTATTATTTTTATTTCGTTGATTTTTATTTATTTACAACATGTTTTATACTTTTGTCATGGTCATCCTTCGAACGACATATTCTCATTTTCCACGGACATGTCTTCAATACATATCGTAAACGTCTGATTTATCATTACATACCTCTCGTGATCTGTGTAATTTATCCACTGATTTATTATGTTTACTTTATATTTTTTTACCCATGTGAAAATTACTATGATGAATATAGATCGTACTGTGTTCCAGTTTGTTATTTGAGAACGAATGCTGTGATGGCTCTATATGAGCAGATTGCCCATGGTTTTGGATTGATGCTGATTATTTTCATTTTTAATGTTTTACTGCTTGTTCGAATTCATCGACAAAAAGCTCGAATGGGCAGACAAATGACATGGAAGAAGAATCGGAAGATGACAGTGCAATTATTCAACATGTGTTTGTTGCTTTTTCTGACCAATGGCGGCTATTTTGTCGTTCAGATAGGACAAATGTTGTATGATCCAAACTTTGGAGTGGACTTCAACCTATGGGCACAAAATTACGACAGTTGCCAAAGAAGAATTCGAGGCGTCCTGCCATGCCCTAATCACTCGTTTACGTTTCATTGATGTTGCTTTTGTGAGTTTATTGAAAATATTATTTACTAGAGGGAGACCCGCTGCAAATAAGAAATATCTATGTCGAACATCTCACGTGCTGAAGAGTTATAACAGATAGAAAATCAATACAATTAAAATTTCTACGCTTCCAGTCCTTATTTTTCCCACCGTGCATCGCATAAAATGGCAGTTTCGGCTATATCTCTTTATGCAAAACAGTTACCGAAGCTAATTTCTGCCTCAGAAATCATGAAAATTTCCTCTTTCTCTTATATTGATTTTCCACTCTAGCTATTCATTCATCGACCTCTTTCTCACTCTCACGTCATTTCATGCCTTATATCCTTCGAATTCACCCACCCTCATCATTTATCTTAATCTTTTGAGATCCTGTAACGCTATTGGTGAGTTTCGCAGATTATCTGTAGCATNACTGTGACAGTTTAGATAGAGTTAAACATCGATTTGACAAAACAATAATCAATGAGCAACAGAAATTGTTATCCAAATTGATATGAAATGAATGGACACAAATCAACTTTATGAGCCAGACCATCAATCGTGTACACATGGACTGAAAGGTTAAAATTACCCATATAAGTAAGAGAGTTTATCATTTAGATATCGATTAAAGCGTTTTTAAAAGTGAAAGCACAATCCTGACTACCAGTAATAAAAGATGTTCGATACATGCTCTACTTCAGACAACTCTTTCCCATCTTAATCAACAGGAAATCAAAGAATTTTTTGCGTAACGAACATTGGTTTATTTTAAAGCAGAAAACGGAAACATACATTAAGTTCGTTTGAACACTGTTCCTTGTTTTTTCTTAACATTACTGACAAAACCATATGCACACGAGATATGTTAGTATGTTCGTGGGTCGAGTCCCGCATGTAACGGCGAAAGTGACCGTGCACGATGATTGGCTTGATTTCGACGAGAAACAGGACTTGGAGTACGACGACGACCATGAGCGGAGTGAGTGACAGGGTGATGATGATGAGGAGGAGGAGGTTGACGTCTTTGATAAGGCGGTAACTGTTGCTGTTGTTGTTGCTGAGGTGCATTTGTTGAAGGTGGAATTTGAAGAAGAGGAACAGGCATTGATGATTGAACAACGCTGAGAAGACGTTCTAATCGAGCTGTGATTTCATAGTCAGGAACAGATAATGTCTTGGCATCTAACCCAAGCATACGAGCGATCAATGCACGAAAATCTAATAACTAAAATTGAAAAGTGTTTAGAAAAAGTGTTCATCAGCAAGGTTTCTTTCCTACTTGTTGTTCTCGTTCACTAATTTGTTGTAAAGTGCCTTTTAAGAATCGTAATTCATTCGACAAAGTTCGTACAGCATTATCCGACGAAATCAACGTTCGATTAGTTTCATCATCGACAGAATGCATTTTATCTTGTAAAGAAGAGATTTTAAATGCTTGTTTATCTCGGGCATTTTCTAATCGACTAATATCTTCTAGAAGACGACGAACTTCCTTTTCTCGTTCGATCAAGCGATTCTAAATTTCGAATCGAAGATAATCGTTTTTCAAACAAGAAAATGCAATTACTTTGAGAGTATGAACATCGGCACTTTGTGTTTTGAGTAAAGTGTTTTCATTTCGTAATTCATTGACTTGTTGAGTTAAACTTTCCACTTTTAATTTCATTTTTCGTGATAAAATCACGTGATCATCAATTTCTTTTTCTAAATCTGTTTTCGCTGTTCGACCTTCTTCTAAAGCTGATACTTTTTTCTTCAATAGATCTAAATGTAAATCCTTGTTTTCCATCAATTCTTTCATTTGTTTGATTTTTCGCTGTAAATTATAAACCGATGTTCGTTGATCATTGAGCGAATCATTTTCAGTTTTCATCAGTTGTTCCGCTCGTTGTAAAATCACTTCTGGATTTAATTCCGTTGAATAACTTTCAATTTGCATTATTGCACCAAGTCGCTCGAGAAAATGAACGAACTTCGCTTTGTCTTGTTTATGATTTTCTCGATAGACATCTGCCGAAGTGCAGGTCATGTTCAATGTTTTCAGACGATTTTCTAATTCATACAAATGCGACTCGGTATGAGTTCGTTTCTTCTCCGATTCTTTGTTCATTTCGAGTTGTTCTTGTAATTGCTTGGCTAATTGTTCTTTTTGATTTTGAAGGTTTGTTATGATCTACGAAGATGAAGTTAGTGAGTTTTGGTAAGAAAAGTAGAATGTGAACTTACAAGGCCTCGGTCTTTGCTTGATTGCATTAATAAATGAATCTTTTCTTTAATTTCATCTTCTTTTGGTTCAACTTTGATATATCCATCAGAAAGCAGTTGTCCGACTTGTTGTTTGAATGCTTCGAAGCATGATTTGCTATAAGCTAAATCGTTTTCTAATTGTTTAACATGTAGTTCATTGGTGGAAAATCGATTTTGTCGTTCGTCTAATTCTCCACGTGTGTTCTGCCAGGCTTTCTGAATGGAATCAAGACGAGATTTCACTGTTTCAAGTTCACTTTTGACCATTTCTTTATCATGAAGTGCCGCATCTCGCTCGGCTTTGATCGCATCGATTTGCAAGCGATGGCCGATGGTATTATGATCATAGGATTGTAATTGATTGGTCATTTGTTGAATGGTTGCACGATTTGTTTGCGAATCTTGTTCTAACAACTTATTCGTTTCTTCTAATTTGACCATTTTTCCTTTTAGTAAGATATTCTCAGCATTTATATCAGCAATCTAAATGAGTAGTACGGTGAATATTTGACGAAATGTAAAATGATCCTTGCAGAACAAGATTAGAAACTTCTCGTCAACGTCAACGATACTTTTGACCTTGGATTGTATTTATTGACTTAAGAAATGATTTCTCTACTAGTCAATGAGTCTGTCGTGAAGAAAACTAAGTTGATTGATCACTTACTCTGTTTATAACTGTTTCGAATGCTAATGTACTCGGTTGTCCATAATCATGTCCAAGAGTGACACTTAATTGTGCGAATAATTCTTGTAATTTTTTGTGCAGCGCATCCATTTTTCGTTCATTTACTTCTCGTTCTTCCATGTGTGCTCTAAAGAAACATGTTCAGTTATCAAAATACGAATCCGTTGACCTTACCTGATTCGTGTTTGTAATTCTAATAATTGATCTTGTTTTTCTCGAGCATCTTTTTGTAATGATGAGATTGTTAATGATGATTTATTTGCAACTGAATCAAACGAACTCATGTTCGTCTCGAGCTCGCGAATTCGTAAACGAAATTGATTATTGGTTTGAAGAAGAAGCTCCTGCTCGCGTTTGAGCGAATCATTTTCATGTCTTAACTCATTGATTCGTTCATCTTTCGCCGAGCATTTGATCGATGTTTCACGTAACTAAAACGATTTTGATTCATATTTCAATAAGAAAACGAAAGATCGGCGAGTTACATCGTGTGTTAGAGCGTCGATTTTCATTCGACATTGGTCTAGGTCGCGCTGAGCTGCTGCAAGAGATGTTCGATCAACACCAGATAAAACGTCGTATCGAGACGGTTCGAAATGAACATGTTTATTTGCATCCCTGTTGTGACGAAGAAAAAACAAAAAGATGATTTTGACAAATACAAACTAATGCACATTACTTCATTGAAGTTAATTCTTGAACAAGAGCATCTTTATTCTCCAGATCTTTTTTCAAAATGCGTAATTGGTCTTGTAACTATGATGATGACACTCAAATAAACTTAATAAAGAATTCGATTTTTACTTACATCTGCTAGAGCTTTTCTCGATTCCGAATTATCACACGGAGTTGTTCCGTATCCAAGAGGACTGAAACTCGTAGATGTAGTTGTATATGGTCCTCGAAAAGTACTATATTGAGATTGTTGTGTAAGAGGAGCATTGGAACTCGCATCGATAATCGCTCTTGCCGAGCCAAGCAGTTCGCGTTCAAGCATATAACTTGATGATGTCATTTTTCTAACCAAAACTGAAGAAGTATGTCAAATTAATATGTTTGCGTCTCGTATACAAATATCTCCTGCCATCATTTCAATTCAGCAACTTGGTTAAGACCTTTAGAGAAATTATTTTCAGAAAAATCTTCGACAGAGTTCATATAACTAACTTAGTTTTTCATACATTTCATTTTCTAATTATTTTAAGAATCTGATTTTCGAAATGCATATTCCAAGTGCATAGGTGCGTTACAGAAGTGCATTAACCAATGAGAATAAACCAGAGCTTAGTAATCATTATTCGTCTGTTATTTGTTGGCGTTGTTGTCACTTTTTGTCTTGTATTCGAAATATTTTTTATCTAATTTTCTCTATATATTGTTCAAATTCCACAAACTATCAAAAATTGACTACACATATTTGTTGTCCTTGTCTTCATACAGCAGTAGCAGTCAAGCATTACTTCGACTCTTTTTCCTCTTTTCTTCTTCAGCATGTTGACAGTATTTTTCCTCACCGCGGTTTGCCATTTACATTATGTTATAGATGAAAAATTGAATTTTGTCTTTATTACTCTAGTTGAAATAAAACACGTCGAATAATGAATATTTCTGGTCTATGTCTTTTCTTTTGTCTTCTCTTCACAATCGTTTCATGTGATGAGCACGATCATAGAGTACGTATTTATTGTTTTTTTTTTGCAAAGTAAATTTCATTAATGTTTTCTTTAGTACCAAGATGGTAGTGAAGTTGTTCTATGGATGAATACCGTTGGCCCTTATCATAATCGACAAGAAACATATAATTATTTTTCTTTGCCATTCTGTCGAGGAACGAAACAAGAAATCTCACATTATCATGAAACACTAGGCGAAAATATCTTAGGTGTAGAATTAGAATACAGTGGAGTAGAGATCAATTTCAAGCGTAAGGGGAAAAAAAGAATTTTGCGATGGAATTTTATGCGAAACTTTTTTAGGAGATAAACCTAGAACTGATATTTGTGAAAAAATTGTGACACCGGAAGCGTACGATGAATTGACGTATGCAATCAAGAATCATTACTGGTATCAAATGTTTATCGATGATTTGCCGATTTGGGGTTTGGAGAAATCGAGTTGCATCGTTGGCTATTTTAATCGGTTTCCTTCTTTTAGGAATTGTTGGCGAAATGGACGAATCGGGTAAATCGGCGTTCATCTGGACGCATAAGAAATTTGAAATCGCATATAACGAGGATCGAATCATTGATGTTAATTTAACATCGGAAGCGAAGGTTAACATCAAACCGAATACTGCATTGAAGTTTACTTATGAAGTTATTTGGAAACCAACATCGGTTCCATTTGCCAAACGATTTGAAAAATATTTAGATCCAGGATTCTTCCAACATAAAGTAATTTGATCAGTTAGATTTGATTTGAATGAAATAAACTTTGACTTTGTTTCATGTAGATTCATTGGTTTTCAATCTTTAATTCGTTTATGATGGTTTTATTTCTTGTCGGACTTGTCAGTATGATTTTATTGCGAACATTAAGAAAAGATTATGCACGATATGGCAAAGACGATGACTTAGATGATATGGTAAATAGTCTTCGGTAGTTGATTGTGTTTTATGTTTTTTTCATATTTTAGGAACGAGACCTCGGTGATGAATACGGATGGAAACAAGTTCATGGTGATGTATTTCGTCCTCCAGCTCATCCAATCCTTTTTGCTTCATTGATTGGCTCTGGATATCAAATCGCCACTGTCTCGACACTGTGTATCTTAACCACCATTGCATTTGACCTTTACACCGAGTAAATTGTCAATGAAATTACCTTTGATTTGTTTTCTATTTGATTGGTTCATTTCAGACGTGGATTATTGTTCAGTACCGCTATATTTCTCTATGCCGCTTCGTCAGTTGTCAATGGTTATGCAGGTGGAAGTTTATACGCTCGAATGAAAGGACAACTATGGATTAAACAATTATTAGTTGGCGCATTTCTTGTTCCTACAATCATCTGTAGTGTCGCGTTCTTGGTTAATTTTATTTCAATCTACTATGGTTCATCACGTTCGATTCCATTTACTGTTATGGTTTGTTGAAAAACTTCTCTTTTCGTTCTCATTCGCTCGATGGTTCGATTTAGTTGAGTGTGACAGCAATTTGTTTGTTCATTATCTTGCCATTAACAGCCGTCGGAACTGTCTTAGGACGAAATATTAGCGGAGAACCAAATGTACCTTGTCGCACAAATGCAGTACCACGACCCATACCGGAAAAGAAATGGTGTGATAAATGAAAATTTCATGTTCAAATGAGAATGATTTGCTTTGAGTAGGTTTATGGAACCAAACGTGATTATTCTCGCAAGTGGAATCTTACCATTCGGATCAATATTTATCGAAATGTAAGAAAATTTCCCAATTGAAAAGCTTTTCCACATGTTAGTTCGTTTTAGGTATTTCATCTTCACTTCGTTTTGGGCCTATAAGGTACAATGAGGAAATTTTTTCATCTATACGACAAAGATATGCTTTTTTATTTAGATTTACTATGTTTATGGATTTATGTTACTCGTATTCTTAATACTTGCTGTCGTAACTGTATGTGTAACAATCGTAGCGACCTACTTCATGCTCAATGCCGAAGATTATCGATGGTAAAGAAGAAGAAATCTTGAACAATTTCATTTGCTCGTTTTCCTAGGCAATGGACAAGTTTCTTATCGGGCGCCTCATCCGCATTCTACGTATATTTATACGCTGTTTATTATTTCTTCTTTAAGACAAAGTAAATCGCGTTGAAAAACGAATTTGACTTCGAAAGGCATGTTTTCGATATTTAGAATGTATGGAATGTTCCAAACAGTCTTTTATTTTGGTTATATGGCTTTATTTTCTCTTGGTCTTGGCATTATGTGCGGCACATTTGGTTATATTGGCACTCAAGCGTTCGTTCGAAAAATTTATTCAATTAAAATAGACTGAGACACATTTGTTCTTACTCCAGTGATATTATCGTTTCCTTTTTCTTTCTTTGCTTGAGTTTTTTTTTCATTTTTTTCCTTTTGGCTCTTCAAATCTCACAGAAATTTTCAAAGCACAATGAACATCATCGAGCGTAAGTGACTCTTTCGAACGGGAGATGAAATGAGATTAAAACAAAATGTTTGATGTTTCCTCGTCGATATTTATATTAATATTCTCTCTTTATCTTTTCCTTCTTTTCTTTTTTTCATTTCATAAATATGTTTGTTTTTGTTATTTGAGGAGTTGGAGACGAAAATCTTTCTTTTTTGTTCAAGAAAAAAAAGCGCCAAACTAAAGTTCAATTGTGGATTTATGTGGAGAAATATGAGTTCTTTATTCGAGGAAATGAAACACCGATAGAAATAATAATAAGAAGAGCGAGTTTAATAGATGAAAATGGTCACCGGCCTCATTGACCATACGAGAATCCGATATGCTCTTTGTTCGATGCGATGGACTGAGCACAACGACGAAGTTCGGTTTACTCGTTCGATTGAATGATGATAATGAAAATTTGGAGGTATTTGTTGAGAGAACTACTGTCTTTGTTGTCGTCGTTATTTGGGATTCGTTTGTTATAGACAAGGTCGAAGTGGTTAAAATAGAATCAAACATCGTCTCATAGACACGACGAGTAAATGGAAATTCACCACGATTGCAAAATAAGCCTGTGTAATCATCGTAATCTAACGACCATCTAAAGTTAACAGATCAAAACGATTAGATGTATCGATTCTCTCGAGATTGACTTACAGCATCGCACCACCAAGTCCCATTGTCTTCGCCCAGATGACCTTGAAACCACAAAAGCAGAAATTCTGATTGAAAAAGTTTGTTTTTGTTTACTTTTAGTGTAACACTTCGAAGTGAATCGTATCCAACCCATTGACCTGTATCCGAATAAGCATATTGAGATTGAGAATCTAAATCCCATTCGGTTGTCCAATTATGGGCGCGCAACTTTTGACAGATCTAACAAAACCAAATAAAAAAACTTCATATAATTCGAATTCAATGACATTTACCTCGAAATACGCAAGAATTCCTTTGTCTTTTGTATACGGCCCAGCTAAAATCATTCAAATGGTCAAAACAAGAAGACTGCAAATGAAATTCGATACCTTCTCCACCACCTTCGATGGTCTTTGCGCCAATTGAAGTATTCTGATGATCAGTTAATGTAAATGATCGTCCATACAGAGCCAAACCGAGATTCATTTTCGATGGTGGACATCCGTGATTAATCCAATAGGAGATTGACGAATTCTAAACAAATCTGTCTTTATCTGTCTACAAAAGAATGTTCAATACTAACTGAATTTTTCCAATCCTCATGATCTTCTAATTCTGCATGACTTCTATACAATGGACTATTAATACCTGTAACCAAATCCCACTTTCCTAAAAACTTTCCGTGAAAATTCATTTCAAAGCAAGATCTTTCCTCACCATGGTAATCATATGTCATAACATTGATATAATCCAATGAGCTATTGAAAAAGAAAAAAAAGGAACATTTGCGAAAATGAAAGAAATATGTTTTACTTGCAAAACTCGTCGACGATATAACCTTCATCGATTTTCTTTGGATCGGAGGCAACAGCTGCTGTTAATAATAATCGATTTGTTTTATTCATTCCACCAGCTTCCTCTTCAAAGGCTTGCCGTAATTCTTGAACTAGAATATTGAATTTGAGTTTACTGTCAGGTTCCGCATCACGATCGCGTGAGCCCGGAAACTCCCAATCCTACGAAAGAAACATATTTTCCTATGCAAGACAAACAAACTTTTACATACAAGATCCAATCCATCGAATTCCCATTCTTTGAGAAAAGCGATCGTTTGATTAATAAATTTTGCACTAAAAATTTGAACGATTAGCCTGTATTTTTCTTTCGATCGATCTCTTTCAAATTTCTACCGTGTATTATCACTTCTTAATATTGCATTAAAACCTTTACTTCTTGCTGACCATCCTCCCACCGATAGAATAATCTTCAAACTTCGATTTCGTCGTTTTAACCCATACATTCTTATATAAAGTGGCTAAAATTATCCGATAAAAACCCTAACACTCTCAAGCTCTTTTCACATTACCGTTCCCGATCGATCTGTCCAATGAATATCATGTTCTTCGATTGGCGTAATCGCCAACGTTAATGGATCAATGTCTGCAAATGCATAATGTATGTGCGTACATAAAAACGGATCGATGTGATCAGGATAAAGTGTTGGCATTGCTTCGCGATATAATGACCAATTGGTATAATAACAAACAACACGTAAATCTGCATTGTCTACGATGGAAGAGAAGATTCTGTTGGAATGTTTTTTTCTATTTGTCAAAGAAAGTCCTTACGAACAACTTTATTCCAAAAGATTATCGTCAATTGTATCAAAAAGAAGAACTTCATATTCGCTATCTCGTTCTTTTTCAATGATTAAAAGAAAAGTTTCATTCTTTGTCCTTTCGTTGTCTCTCTTTCTCTCGACATAGATCAACTTCGTTTGTCTGTTTACACAAAGCTCAACCAAAATGACGACGACGGTGTGTGTTCCTGGACATCAGTGACCGGATTGAACCATATACTTTGAATGAATGTATACGAAATGAAGCACACACGGCAAACTTTAGATGAATTCAGTCGACTATTCACAAGATAGACAAAATAAATGTCATTGACCACTTGTAAGCAATTTACATAGTCTCCTCTTCGCTTTTCTTTGTTATGTAAATTTAGATTATGTTCATACTTGCAGACGAACATTCTTGATTAACAGTTTTAGCATTTATTTAACAAAACAATCCTGTACATTTTTTACAAGATGACTTGAGTGGAGAAGGAACAAACAAATTATCTGAGTAGAGAAATTAAACTTTAGAAGAGTCAACATCGGAACTTTTTCGACAATGAGTTTTCAACTTTTCGAAGAAATATTTTATGTGTGTCAACAGAAAACACACTGAAAAGAATATTAGAATGATGTAATAGATAATTATCATCCAAAACACCATCTGATACAACGTCGAATCGCAATAGGTATGAACATCATATGTATTTGTATATTGAACTTTGTCTTTTATATGAAATACTAAATAATTTCCGCTAATAAACGAAGCGAAGAAGCAAATTAACAGAATCAACTGAAGAACAAAGCAGATCAAATGAACTACCGATAGCCATCTATTTTTTTCGTAAAGAAGAGAGAATATAATGAGAAGAATTCCATTGAATGAATAAACCAGTTGAATAATTCCAATAACGAGTAAATAAAGGATTATTCGATCATCAATTGTACAACGATCTTCATAAACTTCGCTGAAACGTATCTGAATGATCGCTAATGGTATCGATAAAATAATGAATAGATAAAAATAATACGAAAGAATATATTTCGACACGAATTTGGAACGGTTCATCCACCAACTATGACGCGTTACTTCGATCTCATCATGCATAGTAAAAAAATTGGTTGAAAAAGTATACATTTTGGTATCTACACATATATATATATATGTGTGTGTGTGTGTGTGTATGTGCACATGAAACAAAATTATTGTTTTGACACGCCCGAATGAAAAACGAATACTTTTGACTACGCCCTTTTTTCTATATCCGCCGTTTGAACTATACATATCGGATGATAAGAAAGAATCGAAATTGAAAGTAGTCATTGAGTAGGAGAAAAAATTCTAACGACACTGTTGAAAAACGGAAGACCAAGTCAAATTTGATATTTTTGATTTCTGAAGTAAACTTTTCAATTTGCTTCGCGACAGATGAATGAGTAGAAAAGGCTTTTTTTTTGCTTTTCTAGACTTTAGTTGTCTTTAAATAAGATCAGTGTAAATGACAGAAAACAAACCATCGCGTGCTGTCAATTTTTTCTCGCATTAAACTAATTAGTTTCTATCCGAAATGAATATGTATGGTTGTTTAAAGAAATGTTTTCTGAATAAATCGACTTATTCTTTTGTATTCTCTTCTCGTCGGGATATTATTTGAATGCATGTTGAAGAAGAGGATTGAGTAATTAAGGGAGAAAAAGCAAAGAAGAAAGGCATTTATAGCAGACAGAACCAAACTGATAACAAATATAATTAACACAAAGAAGAAAAAAAAATAAAACTATACAAAAGAGAAAACATTTTCTTTTCTTTAATCTTCCGTGGATATAGATAAACCATGAAATGACATATCTTCACGTTCATAGATCGATGAAACGGGATCGGGTTGGAGTTTAACAATTAGACGATGACTAGTTGGGTTAGTTGATGTTTCACTGTTTAGTGTTATTGAGTATTTTGCTTTTCCATTGCCATCTGAACGATGACGTTTACTTCGCTTATTACTATTTGATGAACGTGTTTGACTCGAGCCGCCGTGAGTTGTTGTATGTTGTAATCCACTGGTGTCAGTCGTGTTCGGAGAACTTGAACGTAATTTGATTTGACAACATTTGAAAAGATTTCGACGAATTTGTCTTAAACGTGATGAAATTGTTCCATCGTGTTGCAGGAAAGCAAGTTCAGTCGGTGTCAAAGGCTTGCCGATAATGAAATAAAGAACTGCTTGTATGAAATTTACCATTTCAGTGCGAAATTCTTTCGCCGTTGCCGAATAGATAACAATATTAATCGAATGATTGAGATTCATTAAAATTATACAAAGAACTTTAATTAGAACTAAGACAGTTTGTCGATATAAATTTGTGTCATCTTTGACATATTCGTAAACACTTAAGAGGATAACGATCGGTGCTGTTAAAATAATAAAAACAAGGTTGACAGTGATTAACATCACAGATATGTTTCGTCGACGGCGCGAACGACGGGCCGACGTCGAACCAGCTCTCGAGGATGAACGAATCAGTGTTAAAATGATAATTATTGTACACGCAATCATTGCTAAAGCAAAAGAAATGTTTATTCGAGCGGCAATTTTCGTTATACTAACCCGTAAATGGGATGAAAACATTCATTGCTAAATCAATCCAAACCCAATACACATACAGATTTGCATGTTCTTTGGAATTCTCTAATGAACAATGAATAACATTCACATCGAAGAATGGGATTGCATCTTGTTTAATTGCTGTAAGAAGAGTCTCATAAGTTCGCTCTTGATGAATACTTGGAGATGGTGGTCTTGTAAATACTTCATAAGATAATGATGAATCACTTGTCGTTGTGAGTCGTTCATGACTTTCACTTGTACCTCCACTGTTTGCTTCTGAATTTGTGAATGAGAACTGCGATTTCGATGATAAGTATCCATCGATAGCTGTGCTATTGTGGAGAATTCGTTGTTGATCGTTTCGGGTGTTCACTGATTCTGGATTTCGTTGTTTAATTGAATTATTTTCATAGAGAAGAAAATGACTATTTAATATCGTGAGAAACAAACCGAGAATGATCGTCACTAGAACTGAATGTCTTGGTTTAGACCAAGTTTTTGCAAGACGAAGATATTTTGCTGAGATAACACGGTCGATGCTGACAGCAACTAATATCCACGAGGAATATTGCGGAAGAAAATAAATGCAAAATGCGAACAATTTACATGGAAATGATTCGGTTTGAATATCATAATGAAAATGATATAACGAAATGAAATTGACACAGAAAGTGGTGATCACTCCGAGATCGACGAGAGCGAGACATGCTAGATAACAGAATGTTGAATATCGTCGCATAGCTGCACGTAACAGAACACAGAAGGAAAGGAGATTTCCCAATGAACCCAAGACGAGTAGAAGCACCGGATAGACTTTGAGTATGACGATAATGGACGTGTACAATGAACGAGTTTTCGCATCGAATAATGAAAGCGTCGAGGGCGGTGCGAATCCGCTAAAGACATCGACGACTTCATCGTGATTCTCTGCCGTCATGTAGGGCTGAAATATTTCTGCTTAATTGAACAAACATATTGAGCCTCTCATGGGTTTTATTTTTAAAGGCATATCTTTAAAAAAAAGAAAGAAGAATGTTGAGGCATTTTTGTTGAATGGAAGAAGAATTAAAAAAGAATAAATAGTTAAGAGAACATCTTGAATGAATCGGAAAACGAGTGATTCTCAATGAGGAAAAAAAAATAAACGAATGAAATAATTATTCCTACGCCGTGCTCCCCTGACACCAACATAGCGAAAAGAACAGCAAATGAAGGTTATATCATTCGCGAATAAAAGAGGAAGAAAAGAGAACACTTTTCACATACATTTACTTGAAGATTTATCAGACAAAGAAAAAACTTCTCTTTTTTTAATATCAAACTGTCATATATTATATTCTTTTTAATTAGAAAATACGTATAACGAAGTATTCTTTATGCCATCAGTCAGAATAATTTAGACAGACGAATGAGAAAGAAAATGATGGCGAATGACTTTTTCTTTATGTAAAGCAAGCTTCTTGCTAAACACCGTAACTAAGATTACCTACGCATGCAAACCATTTCTAAGCATGTATTTTCTAAATAGACGTGCGTGCGTTAATGTCATCTTTGAATAGTTCTTTCTGGGCTTCCTTCAATCTGAACAAATGAATTGATATGTTCTTATCTAACTAGTAACGACTCATTAGAAGGAAGTTTTTGTCTTGTCTTGCTCGTTGAAAAGAAAAGAAAGCGGAAGACGACGACAAGAGATTAAAACAATGTTCTTTGAGATCATACTACTTCGAAGCTGATTTGATCACATGATAATGACGGAGTTCTCCTGACAAAAGAACAACATATTTCTGCTTTAATGAAAGACACTTGTTTGTTTCGAAAAATGTCAGACGTCAAGAAAAATAAATGAATCGATTCAAAGTGAAAAAGAAAACGACTAGAAAATTAGATATGTTTTTGATCTCAGTCGTTCGAAGAAAAATAAATAATATAAAAGCAACAAATGTAATCTCCTGAAAAGATAGAGATGTGTTGATAGATGAGTTGTGGATGATGTGAAATTGATCTGTCAACTTAATGTTGCCAACAAAGACAGAAAATTGAGTGATATGCACATGTGCGAATGAATGAACCGGCAAATGACAAGTTTTTTCATTAATTTTTCTCTTTTTGCGTAAATCTATCGTTGTAGACATGAATATCTATTTAAAGTTGTTTTGTTCATTACTTTCTGCCTCTCCTAGTGAGATGCATTTCACACACACACGCGGTCATTGCCTTATCCGTAATAACGTCGAGTAAAAATAAAAAGAAAAACAGCCTTTTTTTTTGTCGCGTATCGAAGAAGAGAAGTAACCTTCATTTTAACCTTGAATTTGAAAAGCTGCGAAGACACAAAATCTCTAATTGCAACTGAAAAGTGTCTGCCACTATTGGAAGGAAAAGAATGAGCGTTACCAAATGCAAACGACGAAGACAATGCCAATGATCAAATTGAATCCCACGGGAATAAGAATAAAAAGACGCGTATGACGCGAATCTATTCCATTTCGATCGAATATTTGCTGTTCAAAACATACGAGACCATCGACACTTCTCTTGATTCTGCGCAGATGCTCAAGTAAGAATCCAAAGACATAGAAAAGACAGCATATCATCGGTTTATTTACTACATTGCCTTCTTCGAAGGAGAAGAAAAACAGATGGATAAAGAGATTTCCTCTATTACATCAAACGGCTAACTATTAAGAGATAATCACGTGTAATTCTCAAGAGATGCCTTACCCCCAATCAGTTCTACTTCTGATAGAAGCAAGCAACTAGTCACCATGATCTCAAATAAGGGCAAGATAGCATCTAGCGAGAAAATACACTTTCAGTGCGACTATTTATTTATCTATATATCTATTTTGTCTCGAACGCCTCAAGTTATAGCCGATAGAAAAATCAAAACTCAAGAAACAACACATGGGCTAATTAATTTCCTCCCTGCCAAAACGAGAAAAAGAAATCAACGATTAAACGAACTAAACTATATCAGTCTCCTATAATAATAACAAACAAATGGAGATACTCGAAGATTCAAACACACATAGTTGACACATAATTAACCGCATGATTACGTTGGTAAAACAAAAAAAAAAGAAAAAGAGGAAATTTCCCTTCTCGCCCTGTTCGAGTTTATCTGAAAGCGAGTGGAATCTGTGATTGTCCTTTTGATTGAACGCGAATGCAACTAAACTGAAGAAAGTCTCGAACAATAAAAAAAAACAAACTTGTTCAATTACCAAGTGCTTTCTATTTGTCTCAAGAGAATAAAATACTCTATTTACTATCTTCATCTAATCAAATTTTTCTTTTTCTCAGAAGAAAAAAATCTCAGACGAAAATATTTTCTTTTCAAATGAAAATTGGCGTGTGTAGTAATTAACTAGCTTGATGAACGTCTCCCAATGTCTTCTTACTTTTTCCGGTTTCCACTCATAATCATATGTCATTGGACTTGAAAATCCTCTCCCTTCTTTTTATAGCAACAAAGAATTCTTCTTGATACATTTTTTATACAAAGAAGGTTTAACTTAATCGAAAGAAAGATAAAAAAAAACATTTCGCAATAGGAAAACTTCATTATTTATTAAAAAAAACTCACCCGATAAATCTACGCTTCCATCACACTTGGCTAATCAGCGCAAAAGAAGATTCTCTCACACGTACCTTTTCTGTTTTTTAGTCTTTCTTATCACAACAAATACAATCTGATAGGCACACAAGTTACCCATAATGTTGATTTATCTCTTCCCGATTTTCTCTTCTCCATCGTCATGTCAATTACATCTAATGATATTACACAATGTACATGAAGAGGATAATTCGAATAAGGAAGAGCGAAGAGAAAGATTACCATTGAGATTTTGTCACATATACAGAAGTTTTCCATTAACAAACTAGTGTCACTCTTCTTAATCTATTTCAAGTCAACCCCTTCCAAGCTTTCTTTATCGAACGTTTCTCATTCATCACATTCTAATCTTCAAAGTTATTCCATATCTTTAATCTTCGGTTCTTCCTGTATGAAAAATCTGAATTATTGACAAAAGACCATCGAACAAATTCTACTCTATGATCATTTATTTTTGATTGACATGCAGGAATCAAAGGGTCTTTCCGATAAATGGATATAAAGAAAAACATCAACAAACAATAATTCTTTTCTTTTCAACTCATAAGACGCTGAACAAGGAAACTCACGACAAAAAAAACTTGTCATTGATCGAGTAGTCGGAATATCTCTCCCGCCTCATTCATATTATCTGTCAAAATGAAGGATATAGAAGTCTGAAGTTGTATTAATATTGTTATTATTGAAGATTTTCTTCTTTGCAAAACAAAACGCGTAATAACAACAAAGAAATCCAGATCTCAATTTCGTCTTTTCTTCTTCTCCTGTATTTAGAATAATATTTGCTTTCCTTACTCATTCGTTTATCTTCAATATGAGCTGAAAAGACTTTCTAAAGCAGCGCTCTCTTCATCTGTTTATATTTCTCGAGACATAGCAATGCCTTGACATTCTATCAGACAAGTCGAAGGGGGGAAAACGAAAGATTCTATCAACATTATTCGAATTCTGACATATCTGATTTGTGTCTTTATGGAAGATTATGATTTAATAAGAAATATTTGCTTTTGAAAATCCCGAGAGATTCCACGATGAATTTAAATATGCAAGGCAATAAAGAAGAGAAAGCTGAACGATTTTTTTCAGTATCTATACTGTGGAAAGGCATTTATGCAAATGCGATTGCATTCATCGATCCAGTTTTGACAAGAAAGAGGAAAAGGATTGAAAATTAGATTCAGTATTAAGCATCGCTGTGACTCTTTTGTGCAATCATTCAAAAGGAGACGAAAACGACGTAACATACATAAAGAAAGTTTGCCAATGGTGCGCGGTTTAACTGGAATGAAAGAATGGATTTGTAGAAGAGAGAATCTTTCCTAGACAGACATATTAGTCGGATAAAATAACAGGGAAAATGTATTAACTCGCTTTTCTTCGATCTATTTACCAGTACAGGTCAGAGCTATGAAAAGAAGACAATCTGACAATTGATAAAGAATATCGATTCTCAATAGACTCGACATTAGTTTTTCAAGAAAGATATGTATGTTTTCTTTCGGTTGACAAATCGATCTTGTTGATCTCCTTTTAGGATATAAGAGAGAGAGAGAAGAAAGGAAGTTTTCCATCTGAATGTGAATACTTACGAAACAATCGCTATCGTTATTGCATCCTATTGTCGATAAAAGTCCGCGTGTCTGTCTTATGTTTTCTCTTCATTCAATGAGGCATGAGCCACACATTTCCATATCGAAGCTTGCCAGTCAAGAGTATTATAGAGAGAAAACGCTATTTGCCCAAAATCAACTTAATGATGACATTCGATGGCATAGAATGATAAAAAAAAGAAGAGCAAAAGAGAATATCTTTCTCGAATCTTTTTCACGGCTAATTATCTCATATGTAGAGAAGAAAGAAAAGCATCCGTAGATCTGATTAACAATTAGTTGAAAGATTAATGAAGTAACGAATTTTTCTGGTTAACGATGCATTGATTTGCGTCGAAATCAACTACCAAGAACTTGCGATGTGAAGTCAGACGAAAGTCTATTCGATATTGTTGATCAAATTTCTTTCCGTATCAATATCACTTCCGTTGACAAATGTTATCAGATCGTATATTTACTCCATTAGATTCATTTCATATTTGCCTGTAGTTCTTCGAGTAAATCTCGCCAAAGAGACGTTGACTTACCTTTGAAGACGTGGGTAAATCTGTTTATATATCATCGTTTCGATTGAATAAATAAAGAAATTTCATTCTATGATAATAGTATCAATACGTGCGGAAGAATTCGAAGCGATACTCAGATGTCTACCATATCATTGTTTGGTGCGATGAGAAAGACAAATAAACAATTAATAAGCCAGATGACGAAAGCAGAAATCTCTTTATCAGTCGAGTTGTTGATTATTACACACTAACATTGTAGATTAAACTTTTACACGCAACAATTCTTTAATTTCGCGCAATGTAATTAATAAACTTCGATGTCACTGATAATAAGACGATGTATTAAATGTCGAATACACTCGATTACCTGATTAGTTGTTAGTAATTAATTTATTTAAGTAAAACATGTCATACAGTGGATGCAACTGACACATTGCTTTTTGTACTTAAACTGTCTGGCACGATCATGTTGTTCGACTGATGTGAAACATAAAACCGAAATTGAATTATCTAATATTTCTCGACGTGATCAACTTATATCTTTTAACAGTCGAAACACATTTTCTCTTCAATCATTCAACATCCAAACCTCACAGACATGTGGGCGATGCACATAACACACATTTCAATGTCATCATACCTTTTACTCTTGATTATTTCTTTCCATTGCGTGCTCTTACACATACGACTAACATCATTAATTACCAAATCTAACCAATCGGACTTACTAATAAAACAAGCTCTAAAAATAAACTTCGTGAAGACGATCGAGCAAATTAAATAGGAAATCTTCGGTCTACGGAAGATAAAAGATCTTCATATTTAATCATTCATGTCAGATATAATCAAGTGAACAATCTCTCAATTGCAAACATTCGTTAATAACCATCGATTTTCTTCGTCATAAAGCATACTAATGAAATTCAATCAATCAAATCATGAAGAAGATTTGTCATCTAATTAATTTAGCTTTCTTCTGTCGGAGATTTTCAAGAGTGAAGAGACGAAAAGGACGCGAAGAATAATCGTATCGACGATGACTCTTCTTTCATAATTTCTTGTGAAAGGATTTGTTTCATTTTGAATATTTCAATCCCCATCGTCTATCTCTGATAACATCGTAGTTTAAATATAAATATTGACACATAAATTCAACAAAGAAAAACCTGATGAATAAACCCACATGAGTCCGCCCACCCTTGTATTGCGTAAATGAAACTTAGTTAACTTATTTGAGTAATACGATCCGAGAATTCAATCAAGAAAACAAAAGTCAATAATTCACATTTGCTTTTATTACCATCACAATAAATTTTCTTCGATAAATGTCACGTGAAACACATATGAATTTATCTTTTTTATGACAAGACTTCTGGTATCATCTAACGATTATTATCTTGATTTTTTTCCAGTCTCGATTGTCTTCTTGTGATCAACTTCAAATGTACAGCTGTTCCTCCGCTGAATGAAAAAACAAGATCACATTTATTGTATACAAGTGTAGACACCGAGTTAGGGAGAAGAAGAAGAAAAAAGTACGAACGGCAATAAGAAGACCAAACCATTCGTTCTATCGCAATTATTAACCAATCGAACGAACAAATGTCTATACAACACAATACGTGTGTATGAAACGAAATAGAAAGCGAAGGAAAATGAGAGTGAGAAAGGAGAAAACCGAAAGACGAGAGAAAAATGAAGAACGCGTTGGTGTACTATATTGTTGTATGGCGTTTTTTTGTTTGTCTTCAAACAGCAGTACTAGACACAAGTTTCAATCAGATTTGATTTTCAAATACAGGTGATCAAATTGACAAGACGACGGAGACTGATAAGATTATATCTTTCCTTCGTCTCATTCTAATGTCCTTTTCAGATAAATTATGCATTCGTCCGATGATGACAACAACAATAATTCTCTTCGCAATGTCCTTTTTGATGCTGCTGTACAATTAAGCGTACCGACAGTGACGTCAACAGCTTCAGTAGCAACAAAATTGCGCGCAAACTCGGCCACAGCAGAAACACTCTTAATTCCTTCACGGTCACGATCTACTTCAAGTAAATCAAGATATAGTCTTTCATCGAAGTCGACCTATTTTCGTCGGAATGCAGCTCAGAAAGGCGCCAAAGTTGTACGCGATGTCGCAACACAATCGTCACCCATTTTAATTGTCGAAAAGAACGTAAATGAACAATCGGATTTAATCTTAGATAATAATAACAATCCGACGAAAACTTCATCTATATCGAGTACATCGAAAGAATATTTATCTGTTCCACGTGATGAACATCGTCGATCATCGCCCAGCTCTTCTCCTACGCGACACAAACAATCGTTTAAACATACTTTACTTGGACTTTGGCAAGGTTTAAATAATGACGAAGTTCGCTCAGCGGCTTCATCACCAATCGACTCGAAGAATTTCGATGATCGCGTTCGAATTGTAAGAAGTAGTTCCTCAACAAAATCTTTTCTCTAAAAACCTTCTATGTAGAGTTCGCCACGATGGAAAGCGTTTTCTAAAGTCGTTACTTCTCTGCTAACATTTACTAGAACAAAAAAAGGACGATATGAATGGATTCAATTAGTTGGTCATCCAGGTAAGAGACGTTTTTTCGTATGAATTTTTCGACTGTGGTGTTTGGTTATTTTTGAAAAGGAACGTTTAAGGAAGGTTTTCATGATGGTTATATTCTTAAAGATTTATGTGAATACGAACGATATTGTTGTGAAGCACTTCAGAATGATCGTTTAAAACATTTTGTTCCCAAATACAATGGAACTGTGAAAGACGAAGAAGGAAAATGTAAGAAGAATGAAATCGATACAAATCGTTCCATTGTTTCGTTTGCCTTTCAGCTTATATTGAAATCGAAGATTTATTAGCACCTTTTAATGACCCATGCATCATGGATTGTAAAATTGGTGTGCGAACTTATTTGGAAGAGGATTTAGAAAAATCAGAACGTGATCCTGTGCCGAGAGCTGTAAGATAAACATGACATATTTCTTTTTTGAATAATTGTGTTTAGGATTTGTATGAAAAAATGATTGCAATCGATTCAAGTGCACCAACTGAACAAGAACATGACGAAAAGAAAATCCTGAAACCACGTTATATGATCTGGCGTGAAACATTGAGTTCCAGTCAAGAATTAGGCTTTCGTATCGAAGCGATCAAGGTAGATGCAGATTTATTTCGTTATTTCTCACTCATTTTGTGTGTATAGAAATCTCGTGGATTGATGTCCAAGGAATTCCAGCGAATAAAAGATCGCGAAGACATACGAAAGCAATTAATGGAATTTCTTGCCAATTCGATCCCACGTGCTGTAAGGACAACTAAACATTGAACTTTCGTTCTCATTCATAATCTATTTTAGACTCGATATCTGAATCGTTTACTCGAACTACGTTCGACGTGTCTCCGTTCGAAATTTTTCGAAACACATGAGGTTTGTTGTTCTCATATGCACTCCATTGACCTTTCTTCTTCTTTGAAAAGTTAATTGGTTCATCGTTATTATTCGTTCATGATGCCAATCGTGCTTCATTATGGATGATCGATTTCGGTAAAACACGAAAATTATCTTCCGATATTCACATCACTCATTCTCAAGCGTGGCGACGTGGTACACATGAAGATGGTTATCTAATTGGTATAGATAATCTCATATTACTCTTCCAAGACATTATTGATGAACTGACATCTGGTTCTGTTTCGAATTAGAACTCGATCGAGACGTTTTTCTGTTTTCTTCCTGTTTGTATATAGAAAAAGCATCTTTTTTGTGTATATGACTTTACCTGGTGATAACGATTCGAATATGAACGTTCTTTTATTCCTACAGGAAGAAAACTTCTTCAGGGGAAAACTTGTCTTTTTCTCCTTCGATTCATTCCAATGAATGAGTTGGTCTCTCTGTTTTTGTGTTTGTTCAATTAATATTATTTTTGAGATAACTTTTAACAAGACTGATAAAAAATCACGCACATCTTATCTTGTCTATCGGTTTTGATCATCAAATACATTTTTTTTGTGTCGAAATATTCTTACTCATGCGGAAAAAAGTCATTTATTGAATAAACAATTGATGATCGCTTCGAATGGAAGGAGATACTTGGATATCATTGGTATGTTTTGTGACGAGTCGAAACGGAGAAAAAAGGTGATTATACGTTTGTTTTGCTTTCGATCAATAATGACGCTTGTGGTCTAATCATAACACCTCAAAATAGTTATTCTATTGATAAAATCAATGTGAAATCTGAAATAATATTGTTTACCTAACGAATAATTCAGCGAAAAATAACGAATGACGAACGGGAATGTTCTACGCTAATTAGGATTAAGCAAATATTGTTTTTTAGTGAGTCATTGTTGACGTATTCATAACTTTTCCTATGACGAAATACTTTTGTCATCGAAAAACAAAGATACGAATAGACATTAATCCAGTAAAATCACGAGAAAGTGTCTTGCCGTTATAAAATGTAACAAAAATGCACCAATGCAGAGAACATTAACATAGTTCCTGCGTAGAAAAGGGGTCAGAAAGTGAACTTTTTCGATTCGAGGGAAGAATAAAAAATGATTGATGATTTACTATTGATATCGAACGGCACTTTTGAAAAACAAGCTTGGAATTTTTTTACACTTGTAAATCTTTATTAAATACTGACGATGAGTTTCAAAGATGAAGATTCTCGACCGATAAGTGAGTCGTTTCTTTTTTTTATGAAGACCTTCACATTGCACATAAACTTGTTTCGTGTCTTTGCCTTGAGAAGATTAAAAGACGCGAAAATCGCGATGCGCACAATGCCATTTCATGGATAACTTCCAATAACATTTCGCCAGATCGGCATTTGAAACAATGTTTTGGCGAGAAAGGCGTGTGATTGTTTCATTTAACATACTCTATCATTGATTATTATCATCTTATGTCTTTGTAAAGTCCTTTTTGGCAAATCGAAACATTATCTTGTCATCGAAAGCATGTTTCGGATATTTTCATTTTGCTTCGTATTCTTTTTCTTCTCGTTTATACAACTTTCAAATTTACAAACAGTTTCGCCATCAGAACATGAATGGGATTACGCTCGAGAAGGGCCGGATACTTGGCTTCATCGGTATGAATCGTGTGAAGGCGAAGCTCAATCTCCAATCAACATCCGAACGTCACAGGTGAAATTCGATCCAAAACTCACTTCACCGTTGGTTTTCAATGGTTACAATTCAAATTCTACTGTATTAGTTTGGAATTTTACTCATAATGGACATACAATCGTTGCGTATCCACCACCGTTAGCTCGTTTATCAATGAGTGGAGGTGGTTTGCTAGGTGAATATTATTTAATACAGTTTCATTTTCATTGGGGTTACAACGCTTTCCAAGGCTCGGAACATACAATTAATGAGCAAAAATTTCCACTTGAAGTCCATTTTGTACATCGAGCAGCGTTTACAAATTCTTACGCTGTTCTCGGTATTCTGTTTGAGCGTCAAAGAGATGATAATCCATATTTATATGAGCTACTATCGATTCTTAATCGAACTGTGAACAGTTCAATTGCAGTTGAACATCAACTTAATTTGTCTCGCATCATTCCGACAGCATCGTCGCCAAAGTTTTATCGTTACAATGGTTCGTTTACAACTCCACCATGTACAGAAGGTGTTATATGGACGATACTGAAACGACCGGTGTCGATTTCTGAATATCAACTTCACGCATTGCTGAGTAATGCGATTCCATTTAATTTCCGACCGCCACAAAAATTATATTCCCGAAAAGTTTACACGAATTTTCAAGGAGACGATCATGAAGGTACTGAAGAAGGAGAAGGCGAAGGTCATGGCGGACATCATTCTTCAGCATCAACATGCATTGGTCAATTATTTCTCATATTCATCAGTCTACTAGTTTATTTTTTTCGGATACAGTAACAAATTTTCAAACGTAATTCAGGTTTACAATTCCAGATGCGTTCAAATATTGATTTTTCTAGAATAATTTTCTATCCCAATTAGTATGTAGCTTTGTGAAATCTTGGTAAATATCAATAGTCGTGCTCCATTTTTGTTCTGAATAAAATCGATTGCAGAATAGACGAAGAGTTCTATTGCATTATTCCTTGTAAGAAGTCACAAAAGTACAAATGTCAATAACACTCTTGTCTGATCTCGCTTGATGTTATTGATACAGATCTGTACTATAATGTCCTTTAAGTGATAATTACTCTTGAAAGTTCTCGATTCTTCGTTTTTGATTCCAGGAAAATAAACACGAATGTTTTCTTGTTTTGTAATACTTTGTGACAGGCGCATCAGTAGCATCTGTTCGGTTGTTCTCGTACCTCGATATTATCGAGGCTTCGCTATTTCATCTGGCAATTACAATTTTGTCGTTAGTTTCAATCGCCTGGTTATTTAGGNACAACGTTCGAATTATACAATCGAATCTTCTGTTGATTTTGGATAATGACACTAAAATTTCATCCCATGTTAAATACGAAAATATGCTGAGTAATATTTCATTTGGTAATTTCTCCAATGTATTGACCATTTGAAATCTTAAATAAAAATATTCTGTTGTTATCAAACTCCCATATTCATCAAATCAGGGTGGTCGCCCCAGCATTAGATTTCCTTTAGTGATCATCTGTTTCTCACTCAAAAGATGATACTACAAAGTCTCGGAAGCTGATTGGTACTTTATATTTTACTCTTGATAAATTCAACTTCTTAAACTTATCTCTTCAATAAGATTAAAGGTAAAGGTTTTTCAAAATTTCATTGGCAGTGATCGGAGCCAAAGAAATCTAATTGTCTAACGATTACCGTCCGAGCAAATAACTTAGCCATAAAATACTGGTTCTATCCTTCTCGTGAATATCCATTTACCGCCTAAGATATGCAGGAAAAAGTTTATTCTAAGAACAGCAGAGTAGGGTAGACTTGCAAATACAATGTCATCCTGAAATCCACAGTTACTTGTCTAATTAATCCATCATATCAGAAAATGAACGAAGAAGTATATTCACTAATCAGTGTCTCAATTTGTCTTCCCAGTAACAACAAATTAAGATACACTGCGAATTGCACCATTTAGAAGAAAAGACTTGAACACAATACGCTGTTTCAATGCCACAGGAATGAGCTGACATACACTGTAACGAAATGTTTTGTGTTGATATATATATTGACGTTCTCTCCTCCCGCCTGTTATAAACGAAAATAATATTTTCTGTTTATGTGAGTTCGACGGACGGAAAAGTTCGTATGTTTTGAACTTTTGTTCATAATCATCTCATCGACTTTCTCTGATTTAAAACGAAAAAAGAAGTACATAAACAGCTCTAAAGGCGAGACCTAAGACAAGAATGATCTAAAACAACATGAGCATCAACAAGTTCTATTTCACTTATTCTCGTACGAGTTTTTAATAAAAACGATGAAAATATTTCAAAATGAACCATTAGATTTTGAAAAGAAAATCATTGTTGATCATTCAATTGAAAACAAAACGACAAACGATCTGAATTTTTTTCGTTTGACGTCTGTAACATCGTGGGAACATTATTTTCACGTTCCACAAATGATTATCAAGCTTTATCCAGGAAAAAGCTATTCATTCGCATGGTTTTCATGGAACGAACTGTCTCGCGTCAACTCAAACACCACATTTAATACGATATTTCATGTGACTGTTTCTTTTCTCTCCTAAAAAGCATGGTAAAATAGAATTTGGATGAGAAACGATAGAAGAAAATCATCGCATTTCATGTCACAATTACATTTGCTGACAAATGCAAATGATTTAATGTTTTGAATTTCCCTGTCCAGTCTTTGAAAACTATGCAACAGATTTGTTATGTTAATAAACGTCTGTATGAAGATTATTTGATTCATAAAAATGACAAATTTCAATTGTTCTTTTGATAATAAAGAAGCAAAGCAAGGGCAAATGTTCTATAAATTATCATCAAGACAGAATTACACGTTTCATTTCTCTTGGACCTCTTTTTCTGGAGAAAATTTTCATGAAGTAATCAAACTTTATCAACTTAGATCACATTTCATCAACGGCTCATTTTCTATGACCTTGGCTCTTATCGTTCAATACAAAATTTCTTTGTGCAACTATGCAACAAATGATTCAATTGAAAGAGAAATCAGATCCAACTCATTCTTAACTTAATAACTCTAACGCAATCGATTTTTATCATATGAATAATGAATGATACTTGACTAAATTTGTAAAACGATTCGATAGTAGATCATGTTCATTCAAAATCAAAAAGAAAACGAAAAATTCATTTGGTAATAACATATTTCCATGTAGTAATTGAGTATTATTACATATATATATTCAAGGTTGTCATATTTATTTTGAATATCTTTCATTCAAGTGCTTTCAAGTATACGTCAGTTATCAATATTCTCATCGAGTCTGTCAAGTCGTTTATTCTTTGTATGTCTATAAGAAAAGAAAATTTTCTATGCGCAATTGAAACTATTGACTTTGAATTTCTATGAATTCTCGTTTTGTCTCGTTGACCTGTCGGTAGTTGAAAGTGGTGACGCCGAGAAGAGACATATCCCAGAACTCGCACAATTGAACAAGACATACACCTCGAGAGTATATACTTCTAAGGTCTCTTCTTTTCTTCAATGTGTGATAAAAACAAATTTGAGAAGCAATGTATTTGAGAATGTGACCTTAATAGGTGCATAAATCGGTATTGTTAATCGAATTTTGAATGTCCGATTGAAGTTTCACGTGCATCAGAACATAAATAATAAAGCCCTGTTTCTTATGCTTGTTTTATGTGTACTAAGCGAGAGGTAAACCTGTAATTATTTTTCGATTCACCATATAATTCCTGTTGAGTTAAACCTTTTCTCCTCGTCGAAATATCGATGAATGTTATTATTTACCATACTTTCTGCTAGGTGTACGTGCATGCATGTGTATGTTGATTCTGTCAATTTTAATTAAGACAATAAACTTATCGAATCGATTTTGATTATCTTTGATTTCTAAGCAGATTGTAAAGAGTACACTTCATCAATGTCTAACTGGTCGTCTCCTAAACTCTTGAAATTCTAGTGGGTGAGTGTGAGAATAGGATCATAAATAAATGAATCAGTTCCGTAGTACATTCTTCTCATTTTTGCTTCTCGACGTGATTGGATTGAGTCAATAGTCAAAACAATCAAATAGTTGTACATATATGATAGAGTAATCAAAATGAAAACTAAACCTCTTGTTACTTTGGCCTATTCAATTAATTGAAACTCGATCTCTTCTCTCTTATCTGCAACAGGATCAATCAGAATATATGTATATGAAATTGTACGCATGAAAGACAAGTTCAGGGTTGAACAAGTCTTGATTTCGACTGATGATGATTATCAAAACTTGACGTGTATATGTAGACAAGAGAACAAACAAATACACATACCTATAATGAAAGACAACGCAAGAAATTTGATAACAGAAGAGGACTATGTGTTCGTCTATATCTGATGACTTGATTATGTCACTCACACCATCATCATCATCATCATCATCGGTAACAACGATATTGTCATCGGTATACGATGTTTTCGTATTCGACTATCAAGGGAAATTGTATTTATATATGTGAGAGTGTCGTTCGTTCAATCTTAATACATTCTGATGACGATTGATTTCACACTTTCCCTCCTCATCACTCATTTACACTTATCAATCGAGATTTCTCACAAAAATCAATTGAACAAGAGAGAAACAGAACATTGTTGTACTTCTTTTTGCGTTCTCTCCATCTCCCTTTGTCTTGTTACCCATCAATAATGTTCTACTTAGATGAAACACTAAAGAAAAGAGCGAGCGAAAGAGAGGGAGAGCACATACATGTCTATGTATGAAACGAAAATGATGACGTGAGGGGAGAGAGAGAGCGAGAAAGAGTGAATGTAATTTTCTTGTTCGATTCTCTTTTTTATGTACGATTTTTTTTTATAAATAGCAAAAGACACACGTAAATCCTCTTCTCTTACTCGGTACTCGACGTAACACATTTTCTGATCAAAGATTCGCATCTTCTATTCCAGTTTCAATTGAATATTTCTGTGTCCCTGAAATTGTGTGGAGGTGTATTCGTGTATATGCATATGTGTTTATATCAATGACGCTATATTTTCCTGTTCTGCTGTTAACTGTTCCAGTATCGCTTGATCAATTATCATTATACCAATTATTCTAATGTTGTTTCAAATTATTCCACCGAATGGATGGCAAGAAGACTAATATTTCTGTTGATTCTCGTTGCCAGTTTATCCACTGCGGTAAGTAACACCTTCGAAAGTTTTATTAAATTTCGTTTCAAAGTTTTTCATGTTTTTTTTTCTTTCGCTGTTGTCAGTTTATGAGAGTCCTTCTTTTTTTGGCTCATTGCACGCAAACACGACCTTGTTTGAAGACTACTAGACATTTGAAAGGAGAATTCATCCATATGTTAACATAACAATTTATGATCTGCCAGACATGATGGTTGACGTGAACATCTCGATTTTAGATCAATTCGACAAAGTTTAGTTCGTAGTAGAAGTTTCTTACTGAGAATTTCGCGTGTCAACATTCACATGACAATGTCTATTGATATTTGAATAGCAGATCATAAATATTTGAATTAAAGATTTGTAAGAGAAGAGAAAAAGAAGGGAAGTGAGACCAACAGCACAGTAATATTTTTTACCGTAGTCCGATTTGTTTTACAAGGGTTAAAAACTAGAAAAACACGTTGTTTATTGTGATCAAAGAAAATTTACATCAAGTCATGTTTGTATTCTCGTTGACACGATCAATAATAGCGCGGGCTATCAGTTTTCCTGTCAAGGCTTAATGATGAAAATGGTGATAATAAGAATGACGATGTTTCATCCTATTCGTTCATTTTCGATTGATATCTTAGGACATATATACAAATTATTGTCTCTCATATGTTCATTTTCATATTTTTACTATCACCCAATACAATCACATTTGTTCAATAGTATTCGAATTCGTTCCACTTTCATATTTATTTTGCTATTTTCTTTCTCTTCTGTTCTTATACCTAAGAAATCGAAGGGATTATCAAGAACATCGACATTGTTTGCATACATTTGGTATGCAACGAAATAGCATCAGCAGAAACGACGGTGACAACACAGGTGTAATTCGCCGGCTACGAATACTATGTAAAGAATGTGCACATGTTTGTATGCATTAGTCTATTCTCTCTTGAAACGAGCTATTGAAGAGTCGAGAAAAAAATCGCCTCAGTAAATGCAACACAATTACTGTGATAATATTGTTATTTTAAAACACAGTAAAACTGACTTTGATCAAAGCAATCGTATTTTTGCTATTCTCCAGCTATTTAACGATAAGTGAGAGAGAAAGAAATCCGAAAGATCGTAAACAATATGTTCTTATAATAATAACAGTCGCAATAATAGTTTAGAAAGTAGAAAGAAATCGAGCCTAGTTACATCAGCAGTGAAAATCTATCCTCGAATTTGTTCGCTTTAGTTCACTAGTACTGATCGAATTGATTACTAGTAACAAAAGTTCACAGTTCATTCTTTATATACAAATCAGTGAATGGAGAAGTTACATCATGTGTATATAAACGAACATGATGAACATTTAATCGGAATAATATCATGCTTTGTCAATAAATACGGACGTGGTTACGTCGTGTATTTCTTCGGTGAATGACAAGGTCAATTGAGTTTTGTAGACGGAAGTATCGAAAATAATTATTGGACGAAAACAAACAGTAAAATTGTTAATTAAAACACATTCGGAAAATCAGTGAAGAAGCAAAAAAAAACAAATCGAAAATTAATTAACCAACTTGTTATTTTTCTTTGTATTTTTCAGCCATTGTTTTCCTTACCTGTTGATCAACCATCAATCTCATCCTTTGTTCAATATAAACTCGATACAAATCATCGTTATCGATCATCAATAGTGAGCTTTGTACATCGACAACCTGATGGATCTCAACTAGCAACGACACGATATTATCGCATTGTTTTTCATTGCAATGTTTTACCTGGATCTCTTTATCTTCGATTTTCAAAAGCAAAACCTTATCGTACTGTAGTACAAAATCGACAAGATCCTTCGAGTACATTTCCGTTTTTTTCTTCTCCTCTCAAACTTGAAGTCAATATTGATTCGCTTTTCTTTTAGCAATCTTCGGTTTTCGATCCGTTGGAGCTTATAGTCGTGTTCAAATACAAAATTATCTCTCGGGATTTTGGTTATGCATGAATAAATACGGTAGAATAGTACCCAAATTGAATATCACCATCGATAATCTTGCTTGTACATTTCGTCAAAGTTCGGATGGGCCTTATTTGAGATTAATCTCTGAACTTGATCCATCTCGTCAGATGGTCTATGATACTCTTCGGTTATTAACATTAAATCCTGTTCTACATCGTCGCTATGCTCATTATATGGTCGATGGAAAGCGTTTATTTAAACGAGAACAATGCGGTCGATTTATGTTCGATAGTCAAATTGATAAAAGATTATTTAATCGAACGACGGATCCGTTTGTTCGATTGAGACAATAATTCTTTCGATTTCTCGTACTTGATGGCTCAGTCAAATGTTTCCCATTTGTTTCGTGTGTTTATTTATTATTCATTCTGTTCTCGTAATGTATATAATTATTCGAAAAGATCCTCTCGTTCTTTCGTAAAGGCGCAGTTGGTGCTTTGTTTATACACTTTTTCTTCGTTTCTTTCTCGATTGAATATGAATGTGTTTGTGTTTGTTTCTGTTCCTTGATTGACTTGTGAAAAAAGACTTTCTTACTTAGAAGATCTCGGATTTCGAATGATCCAAGTAAAGAATGAACAAGATCTTTATTGTGAAGAGAGATGTGAATACTATACAGTAAACTATTGAACACAAATATCTATTCAATCAAGAATAATATAGATACGATGACACTGTTGGTAATGATGACATGTAATTCAAAGGAGTGTTCGATGAGGGATAGTCTGAAGGCGAGAAATGCGGAGGAATGATATTTGATCCGTCATGCATTTGTTGATGATACCAGTTAGTTAATTCATCTAGTGAATGACGAAATTGCCATGATTTTGACGATGGTTTACCATCGACAATTGTCATACTACAATAACTAACTCGACCGGCAAGATCAAATAATTGATCAGGTCTCGGGTCACCATTCATTAAATGGCGTGTCAATACCTCGAGACTCGGCGCGTGCGCAACAATCAAAACAGTTCCACCTGTTTTTCCGTGTATTTTGATTAATTTTTTCATAATTTCCTTTGAACGATCATAATATTGATATTCACTTTCCAATGGTCGAAGATTTTTCAACGATGAACGATAAGAGCGGTCAATATTTACACCATTCATAATTAATTCTTGATCAGACATGAAATTAATTGGCACACGAGAATACCAAGACGAACATTCGAAAAGGCCAAGATCAAGACGGATCGGAATATCTAATCAGTGAACATTGAAACTAAAATAAAAACTTTTTCATATATACCTTTACGACCCATTCCGCCAAGAATTTGATCTGCTGTTTGAATACTTCGTATAGCAGGTGAAGAATAACATGCGACAACGGGGGTATTATACTTCGCTAAAGTATTTCCGACATTCCATGATTGTTGTAAACCATTACGAGTTAACGGCGTGTCTGCTTCATAATCCGTCCAGTTAGAGCGCATTGGCAATGCTGGAGGCATATTTCCATCGACGGGATAGTATTGTCCATGATAATTGAAAACATGTTGTGTCCAGCCACGACCATAAGTGTTATCCATACGTTCTCCATGACGTATGATTATAAATCGGAGTAATGGGTCATTTCCATGATAATTCGCTTCTTCAGATGTCAAATATCCATTATAATGCATGGTTGGTGGTGATGGTTGTTGTCGTTGTTGCTGATGATGGTAGGAGCGTGACGGACGAAAATATTCACTAAGCTTCGAATGCATATATTTGTCTATCTATTTAAACAAAAAGAAATCTCTCTCTCTTTCTTTCTTTCTTTCTTTCTCTCTTAATTGTAATCAAACTCGTGCGAGCAATGTTTATTATAGAATCAGAGTCAGTGACTAGTATACACATAAGTTGGGTTATTACCTTTCTTTTTTCTCCCTCTCTTTACTCGTTTTCTTTTCAAGCGGCTTGTCGAAAGAACAGAAAATGCAGATGAGTAATTAGAGAATCAAGCAAGCGGCACGCGGTTGTTTTATGTTTGTCAAAATATAAAGGATGTACATCAGTGTGCATGTATATATAAAAGTGACTGTCGAGGAGAACCATTTACATGCGTGACTGATTCCTTTCTTTTGATCGTTGTTCTGTTTGAAAGCAAATCGAAAAAAAAATATAATCATATTGGAAACAGGACGACCGACAACTGACTTTCTTTTTTTGCAAAAAGAAACGAAAAATATGCATTTTTTTCATAATTTGATCAATTGAAATGATTAGAAGCAGAAAATATACCCTCCAAAGAAAAATGGTGTTGAAATTTTCACATCAACTCTCCCATAAAAACAATTATTTCATCATATTCAAGCAGATATCGATGTTTATTTTCAATGCAACAAAACAAAATAATCTGAACACTTCTATCTGACAAAGACAAATTCATTGCTTTCTACTAAAATTTATCGAGAGTATTCAAACGTTGGTGACAACATTCTTGACACAGTAATCTGTCACCTAATGGGTAACAACGACGATACTGTTCATCGCCTAATTGCTTTGAACAATCCTACATTAAACAGAGGGATTTAGTTGCACATTCGCCTTGAAATTCTCATCGAGTTTAGTTACCTCGCATTGATAACATTCGACATGAAATGTTTTACCCATTGAAATTATTCGAATTGTTTCGTTCGAGTCCTGAAGAACATATTCGAAGCAATGAAATGTAACATAAATATACAATTTTACCTCTTCAGGGAAGATAATTTCCGAACATTTATCACATCGCGGGCCGTAGGTCCTTTACAAATACGATTATTCTTTTCAATTGTTGAAAAAAGCGTTGTCTTACATGTGATAATCACGTACGCAGAACAGATTTCGCTTCTTATCTCGCATAAATGGAGCACCATCCAAACAAATCGAACACTTCGAACATCGAAAACATGTGAAATGATACGATTCACCCAAAGCTTGTAAAATCTAAACAAACACATGTGCTTTTATCTTATAAAACCTCTTCAATAACGTTTACTGTATCTGTTATCAAGTGATTACACGCCACACAATGTTCTAATGCTTGATGAAATCCTGTGTACTGAAATCAAGCCATCATTTTCGTTCGCAACTGAAATTTTTTCTTACGAGAAAATCTTCTTCACAGTATAACTGATCTTTGACAAAGAAATGCTTATTTTTCACTGATCGTCCACATATAACGCAAATTGCACAAGCACTATGATACGTTTCGCCGAGTATATCACATGGATCATCAAAACTTGTTATTATTTCTCCGCATTTTCGACATTCTCCTTGGTAAAAACAAAAACAATCAATTAATTTTATGGATCAATGAAATATTCCTACCAAAATATTCGCCAATCGTTGAGTCATTCTCGATCGAAAGAGCACTCTCGACTTCATTGAAGTTGACTGGTGATCGATAAATGGTTTTCGATGATTGAGGTGAATTGAAATTCGGAATTGTCACCGAATTCTTCTGATTACGTGGTGGAATAACAGGTGGGTATAAAGGATAACGCGGAGGCGGTGGTGGCGGTGGTGGAGAATGATCTTGACAGGATGGTTGAGTTATATAAAGTTGGGTGGTATTCAAATAAGTTGTACTAGTTTTCATTCCATTGGTTGGATATTGAGGTAGAAGATTGGAACGATGTATATAATTATGGTTTGTTGTTGATGTCAATCGAGGGACACGAAGTGGTGGTGGTGGTTTGAAATCATTATTTTGTTGAGGTGAATAAGCGTCTAAAATCGAATCGATGAATTACTTTTTGAGGTAGCAAAGTAGATGAGTAATACTTGATGTTATTGATATTTGTTCTTGAGAGTTAGATAATGGATTAGTTTTAGTTTTATCAAAGACTGTTTCTTCATACGTCGGTGGAGGATGATTTAATGTTGGCGATGATGATAATCTTTCCAATTGATCACTTCCATTCATATATGTTCGAATGAATGTTTTCTGTTGATTATTTGTAAAGTCATTTCGACTGTCAAAAGCATGTGCCATCTAAAAAGTACAATAGTTGATTCAGTAAGCGTGTGTGTTCGTTTTTTTTCTCGATTTTAAACTACGTATGTATAGACGTGTTTGACTTGCGTGTAAAAGAACGAGAAAAAAAACGGTTTTGTTGATAACACTTGATACATGGAGAAGAAAAAAATGAATAACGAAGAAGACAACGACTCACATTGAAATCTATACACACGATGGCTGAACTAAAGCGATCAAATGGAATGTGAATAGTGTATCATGTTCGGTATACATTCAACAGATAGATAGAGATTAGAACAACAATTTTTCTTCTCTCTTTTACGTTCTCTTTGAACTTCGTTGCGTTTTTTCTTCCTCGGTTACCGTTTAACGATAAAATGCCAGATGAAATGAATAGTCATAAAACGAAATCTCTTCCTTTTACATACATACATATATTCATACTCTTCAGTTTCATGTCGAATAGTGAACATGCTTCAATCAAAGTATATTTAGTATGATCAATTCAAAATTGCAATTGACACTTCTACTTGTTCGAATCGAAAATGTCAAACAGAAGTTGAATTCTTTTCACATTTCAAGTTCGAATACTTTTCACCAATCATTCTTGATATGACTGTAAACTAAGATAACTGCTGAGATTACTCAACATAAATGCAACTAAACCAATGACTCACAGAGTGATTCACGTTTTTTCCTCTTTTAAATATACGCGCAACTAACACGAGTTTATTCGGTAAACAATATGTCGATGCAAACGTTCTCCGTAGCACAAGTCGAGGTTTGTAAAAAGCAACATGTGCAAACCGATGAATTAACGCAAGAAGACTTGAATCGATGGGCGGGAAAAGGATGCCAATTATCGCTTGAGAATTATCAAACAAATCACCCATTATCGGCTGATTTGAATGGAAAAAATCATCGCGTTGGAAATGCTTTTGTTGCTACTGTATTCAAAGCATATTGCGAACACTATGCACTCGAACTTAGCGTTGAAGATATTTGGGTCGCGATTGTACAAGGAATTAGCATTCATTTGAATGAAAATTCCGAAAAATATCGAGAATTAATGGTCGCCCATGAAGGTAAAAAGACGTTAATAGTTCCAGTTGACTTGCTTTGCATACCCGATTCTGCTCGGCCGAAAAATGGAAATAAATCTGTGCCTGCTATCGATTGGGCTGCTGCAGTTGGATTCATGGGACAAGAAATCCGAAAGGATATGAAAGCTGATTTGACAACAATCATCACCACACCTTTTTCAACTACAACATCAGTAGAACAAGCTGTTTTCGATTGTACTTTGATGGATAGTGTGAAAAATTATTATGACTATCGATTTACTCTGTGTTGTGGAATTCCACAGGTGACAATTCGTGGTTCACCAGCTGATTTTCAACAAGTTATCGATCGGGTTAATGAACTTCGAGCCATCTTTACCGATTTTCATTGGTGGTTAGATCCACTTATACCACATCTAAAAGAATTCAAATCTAGTGCTGAAGGTAAACCAAATGTTGACTGGTGGCAAAAGATTTGCCATAGAGCCGGAGGTGGATCTGATATTAGTATGCTAGCTGGATGGTTAGCTGACTTTATTCCGTAAGTTCATCTTTAGTCTCAAAAGAAAGATCTAATCCGTGTTTTTTATAGGTATGCATCGGATGGGAAAGGACATTATCGTAAAGCTCGTCGTGATCATCATCATTACACACAAGTAAAGATTTTCTTTATGATACTGAAAACGAAAGCTTCTTTTGGTTTTGTTTAGGGTTTGATCAATGGTATTGAATTTCAAGATTTTGATGAAAGTGTTACTCAAACCGACTTTGTTCTGGATGATAATGGTCATGAAACTAAAATGAAGATCATTGCTGGATTTCTTGGCGTTGGTCAAAATCCACAAACCGGTGCACTTCGGCCATGTCTTGGATGGTGCACAGCACTAATCGTCTAAGACAATCGGATCTGTATGCCGTGGTTATTTTTTATATTTTCAAAAAGAAATAAAGTTGTCTAAAAGCGAGATATAATTTGAAAATTTATATACAAATTCTTTTGTTAATCTTTTATTGTTTGTTCGAATAATGCTTTGCCTACGTCATCCCGATTGAACAATTCTGTGCGCATTTGTCTTCCATTTCCCCAATCGTAAAAATTCGGTGCGATTAATTGCAAATGTGGATCGTTTGCATTCGCTGATGATCGACGATGATAATTTCCATAGATTCGAACGATTTGATGTGGGCCAAGTTCATAAATTGGGAATGTATATTCCAGACGTTGATCATCGACTGTTCGTTCGATGTACCAACCAGTTAAATCTCGTGGTTGATTACCTGTATTTTCAATTTCAACAAAACGACCACTGACATCGACAAATTTGATTAGAATATTTCCTAGAATGAAATGCTTCGTGAATTAGAGCGACGTGAAATGCCGTTTGTACCTTTGTATTTTCGTGTGATGTGAATTTTACTTTTGAGAAACTTCTCGTCGAGTTCGGGAACGTTACTTGTGCTTTGTTCGGTTGCTCCGTGACCGAAACGTCGTGTTGTTCGTGTTGTTGTTGTTGTTGTTCGATTCTGATCGAGTGAACTTTGTTGAATACCATACAGATCAGCATCTGGTCGAGCAGGGAGAAGTGGCCGTTCTGTTGAACGATCTCGATCGGTACTTTCACCATGAATTGACGAGGTTTCACCCGATGAAAGTGTCTCATAAGTCCAATGACTACTTGGTTTTTCTACCTGCGGAAAAAAAGACTCGTTCTCAATATAGAAAAACGACACAATTCAAGGACATTTACTTCGCTAACTCGAAGTATTGGTGTAATTTCATTCTGTCGTTTTATTGTTGTTGTGGTTGTCGTTACTCCAGATAGATTTGGTTGTGAACGTCGAAATCCGAACGAATCTCCACCCGTGGTCAGTGTATCAACAAAATGCTTTGTTGTTGTTGTCGTATCTCTTAATAATGGTGTCGGTCGATATTCAGCTGTATATGTATGTGTTGTTTCGGATAGATTCGGTTGTGATCGTCGAAAATCGGATGCACTTCCTCCAGTACTACTTGAATCGAAATAATGTGTCGTCGTTGTCGTTGTTTTCTTTGTTGTTTCATCGATAGCTGGTTGATTTTCCTTTCTACGATTTAATGAATTCAACAAAGCTTCGTAAATTCTTAATTCTTCCTCGACACTGAATCGAAGTGTGTAAGCTAGTTTATCTAATTCATCTTTCAATGCCTGATACTCCGCACGTGTTAGGTCAGTTTCATGTTCAAGTCGCGCATGTTGCTCCGCATTCTTTCTTGCTTTGTTTCGTAATTCATTTTCTAAATCTTGTAACATCCGCCGTTTGCGTTGCATTTCTTCTGACAGTGAACGATAATCATTTTGTAATTGATCGTATTGTTTTGTGCTTTCTTCCAGTCGACTTTCGAAACGTTGAGTTTCTTCTCGACGTCGTCGTTCATCTACAAAACAAAAGCATTGTCTGACCGAAACGAAGAAAAAAGAAGCCAACCGCTTTCATCAAGTGGTAAACCCAAATGAATTTTGTCTTGAATCTCTTTCAGACGAGTATTTAATTGAACTTCAATGTCCATCTGTTGATCTTTAGCCATTTGTTCATAATCCATCTGAATTTGTTGTTTTATCGTATCTAGGTAATCTCGATAGTAATTCTTCGATTCTTGAGAAATCCGATTTAATAAACGTTGCCATTCGTTGATTTCCTCTTGATTATACGCTAAACGTAGATTGTACCGTTCTTTCAACGATTGGATTTCGTTTAGGAGATATTGTTTATCTAATTCTAATTGCGACCATTCGGCTAAATACGTGCGAAATTTTGTTAACTCTTTTATATAATCATCGTCATGAGATTTGACTTGAGCATTGCTGATTTCGAGTCGCAGACGAATTTTTCGTAGTTCTTCTTCCAATTCATTTGTTAAATCGAACAAAATAGAACATTTATCACGATATAAGTTGATTATATCGATAAACACGACGGTAACTCGATCGATTACTTCGGTTTGTTCATCGAAGATTTTCGCTTCGGCTTGAAAAATCACTTTCCGGCGATTTTGATCGCCTAAACGCCGAATAATTTCATCGAGTTCTTCTAGAAATTTGTCGCGATTCTCCCCGCCGATGCCCCAATTTGTGATTAATGCATTCAAATCATCTCGCAGCTTCACATTGGCTCGCTCGAGATCTTCTAATCCATGGAGTAAATCTTCTAATCGATCATTCAGCGAATGCAAATAACGTTTCTCATCTTCATCTTGTCGTTTGATCGTCGAAACATTGTGCAAAGCTTGTTCAATTGATTGTTTTTCGTCCTGAACTTGACGATTGACGGTAGCATGGGTCGCTAGTTCAGTTGAATAACGTTGAATCAACGCCATTGCACTCGCATTCAATAGAAGTTCCTTCTATTTATACTCATAGAATATCCATCGATGTTCGATCGTAATCCTTCATCAAATGATCATTTGAAATTCATAGACTTTTTCTTCTCCTAGACTCATTTATAAAAACTTCTCATTAGTCTTGACCTTCATGGTCACGTCCTTCGACAAAAGTCGAGAATAAAACGTTGATGTGNAATAACGTTGAATCAACGCCATCGCACTCGCATTCAATAGAAGTTCCTTCTATTTATACTCATAGAATATCCATCGATGTTCGATCGTAATCCTTCATCAAATGATCATTTGAAATTCATAGACTTTTTCTTCTCCTAGACTCATTTATGAAAACTTCTCATTAGTCTTGACCTTCATGGTCACGTCCTTCGACAAAAGTCGAGAATAAAACGTTGATGTGTGAATGAAATTCTTTTTTTTTCCTAGGGAATAGAAACGACGGTAACAATGATAGTAGGTAATAAAAGAAAAAAATTCAACAATAAACGATAACAAGATGGCACACGACAAGAGAAAACGTCACACATTTTTGTTCTTTTTCTTTTTCAAAATTCATTCTTCGAAGTTTTTGATCATCATTGTTTACATGCATTCATCACCATGTCGACCTTTCTTTTCTTCTTTGTCGAGTTTAATCATATCATCAATACGTAAAATTGTTATAGCCGCTTCGGTTGCGTATTTCAATGATTTGATTTTCGATATAGCTGGCTCGAAAACACCGCCGGATTTACAATCCCGGATTTTACCAGCTTGAAGATCTAAACCGAACCATTTTAATTGCTCTTTATCCTTTTGGGTTTGAGATGCGTTATGATAGGCGCGAAGTTTAGCAACAAGTTCCGTAGCATCTTGTGCAGCATTAACACTCAATGCTTTAGGAATTGATAAAAGTGCGGAGGCAAATTCTGCAATAGCCAATTGTTCACGTGAACTCTAAATGATTAACAAAGAAACATGCGTTTTTCTTCAGGCAATTCGATTGATACGTACAACTGTGGTAGCGAAGTTTTCCAAATAGATTGAGAGAGCTGCTTCACAGCAACCACCACCTGGTACGACTTGTTTTGATTCGAGAACACGTTTAACAACACATAATGCATCATGAACGGAACGTTCAATTTCATCACACATGAAATCGTTTGCACCACGAATGATTATCGATGCAGCTGTACGTGCTTTTGGTCCACGAATAAGAACGAGTTCGTCATCACAAATGCGTTCTTGAACAACTTCATCGGCACTACCAATGACAGATGCATCAACTGATTC